CAGGGAAAGTCATGCATGCATGCATGCATGCTGGAAAGACAAACGAGAGGCGCTATATTGGGCTCCCTCAGTTCTTGCTGCAACTGATGTAACATAATGGGCACATCATCCTCAGCAGTGGCAAGCTCAAGGTCTCAGGGAAACGTAGGAAAGGCTGAAGCGCATGAGGCACAAAGTTGCTGCTGTTTTGATTCCCAGCTCTCTTGGCAAGCTGCTGTCCCACCTCAGCTTTTCTCTCTGTCATGAGACAAAGGTTCTTGAGAGCAGAAGCAGTAAGGCCTACAAAGCCTACACAATTACCCACACTGGAGGAATGGCAGATGAAAATGATGGACTATATGGAATTGGCGGAAATGACTGGCAGAATCCGTGACCAGGGAGAAGAGTCGGTGGAAGAAGATTGGAAGAAATTTAAAGTTTATTTACAGAAACACTGCAAAATCAATGAATGTTAGAGTGATGTTGGATTGAAGTTAAGTGGCTTCTAGCTGAACAGGTTTTAAAGCAATAAATGTATCAAGATTAAGGATTAAGACGTAAAAGATTAAGAGAAATGGAAAAATTGGTTCAAATAGGTAAAAATTTAATGTCATAATATATTAAGATTTAGGACTGGAATTAAAAAGGAGGGAAAGAAATTGCTGGGTTTATAATTTGAATTGGAATACAAAAGAGGGAGGTATGAGGAAGTCCGGGAAATAAGTAAAACTAAAAGAGGTTATGAAAGGACGGAATTATTTTTAACTGTTTTTTCCTTTTTTCTTCTTCTTTTTTCTTTTTTTTACTTTTTTCTATTTTGTATTTTGTATGGTGTATTGTTTTCTGTTGTGTTAAAATCTTCTTGTTTATTAATGTGATTTTATTCTTTCTGAAACTTTAATAAATATTAACTAAAACAAAAACAAAAACAAAGCCTACACAATTATTCAAGCCTGCTAACTGTTAACAGCAAACGCATTCTCCCTATAAAAGTAGCCAGCTTCTCTGTGGGCCTCAGTGTCCTAAGTGTGTGTGTGTGCGTCTCAGCCAGTGTCGGTGTGTGTGTCTCAGTGTGTGGTGGTGTGTTGCTGCAGACATAACTAAGACTGTGCCTGTGAGGTCAGATAGCTGCTACGAGCACTCTGTGTATGCTCTTTAACTATGCTGTTTATGAACAACTTTATTTTGTTTATGAAGAAGACTCTGCGTTGATTAATTCACCACTGCGCGGCACTCTCACCATCCAAAGACCTGTGCATTTTGTAAATATTTTCAGTGGCAGAATTCATTTTTTTCTTTGTCACCGATTCATACCCTCTCAAAAAACCACAAGCTTTTCGTAAGGGACTAAGTGCAGCCTGCGTGGTGTGGAACGTGTGTGTGTGTGGCAAACACAACCACTAGAGACACGACCCCCACAAGGGTGGGCCAAAAGCAAAAACTACCCTCCTTGGGCCGGAGCCACCCCTGTCTAAGGGCTAGCAGTAGTCATGGATGGATCTTCACCACAAAGATGTATCCAGTTTTTAAACTCAGCACTCACTGCATACAAATGTGCCTATGAATTAAGCTGCAGGGCTGCATTTTGGTACTATGGATATCATCAAGATTACCTCAGATGAGAAGCACACGTCGATATAGGAGTGCCATGCACATAAAGTGTTCTGTTTTCCCCTCCCAGCAGCTTCTCTGACTGCTGCTTCAGTCCATTCTTGTTCATGTCCTTTTGCTTTCCTTAGCAGCTTCTACTTCAAAACTTCCAATCACAATGGCCACGATCCATAAGCACACCAAACCAGAATATTTATAGTTCAGTCCCATTGATTACTGCGACTTGACCATTCCTGTCGATACGAAAATTAATTTGGACTGCAGATTTAAGGTTTCTTGAAATTCCCAGCCCTTTTCTCTGGAATTGCTGTCAAAACGTCTTCTAGAGGTTCATTGTTTTCAATGAAACCATTTCTGCCAAGGCAGTTTACAATTCAACACAAAGGATATAAAAATTGGTGGGGGTGGGGAGAGTCTAACTGGCAAAGTGCCAGTTCTCTTTGCCTGTATCTCTCCCTTTTTCCTCCCTCAGGGCAGGTGGTGTCAGTTGGCCTCGTGAGGGGATAGCCTGACTGGAGCAAGTCTTGATGTAGCCTTTGCCTGATTCCTTCATGCTCTTCTCTCCTATACAGTGGTACCTCGGGTTAAGTACCAAATTCATTCTGGAGGTCTGTTCTTAACCTGAAACTGTTCTTAACCTGAAGCACCACTTTAGCTAATGGGGCCTCCTGCCGCCGCCGTGCCGCTGGAGCACGATTTCTGCTCTCATCCTGAAGCAAAGTTCTTAACCCGAGTGAAATATACTCAGAGTCGCAAAGTGATTTCATGCTCTTTATTCAGCTCATAGTGGTGAGGAGGAATGAATGAATGCCCCCTCAAAGTATCTGCTTTATATACATTATTTACACAATGGGCTGCACATGATTGGCTAATTCCGGAATTCTACTGTAAGCCAATCAGGTTGTGGATTCACTTCTATCTGGAGCATGATTGGGTGGTTCCTGCTAACCAATCATACTGCTGTATTGTTCTAGGACCAATCAGACTGCTGCATTCTGAATCCTATTGTTCTAGGACCAATCAGACTGCTGCATTTTGGATCCTATTGTTCTAGGACCAATCAGACTGCTGCAGTTTGGATCCTATTCAACTCAGTACATAACACCGAGGTACTATTTCTGGGTTAGCAGAGTCTGTAACCTGAAGCGTATGTAACCCGAGGTACCACTGTAGTAGGTAAAAGTCTTGACCAGACTTTTCAGGGCCTGCCCTGAGGTTGTCTTTGCCTCCCATGTATTTGTGTTTCTTCTCACATCTTGTCTCTTTTTGGGTTAGCTTCCCATGTGTTTTCAGACTTGATTTTGGGGGTTCCCCCCTCCCCACCTGATAATAAAATGCAATTGTAGCACCAACTTGTTGAGGAACCTTTGAATGGGACACTGCTGATTGAAGATGACTATAAGAAGACCATTAGCAAACTCTGCATGTAAGCAGAAATGGGGAAATTGCCTCAGGCATCTTTTCTTAGCGTGGACAATAGAGGAAATTGAGGTTTAGGTATCCTTCCCTTGGTTTCTGCTATATGGGCTGTGAGTGCTGCTGCTTATGCACTGAATTGGCACCAGAGAAGTATTAGGAGATTCCAGCTGATCAGGGCCTGTGAAAGATCCTATAGCCCAGAAGCCAATACTGTTTTTGGCTTTGACTCTATTGTCAGAGATAAATTATGGGCTCAAGCAGAATCTTAGTACTTCATGCAGCTCACAAACTAATTTGGAATTGGTATAGAAAAGCAGATGTGCTGAAGATATACCTATAGAGCAACTCCTTGCCCTGTAGCCTTTCTGAAGGCAGGGCAATGGCTCACTGTTCTTCTATGGGATATGTTGTGCTGAGCTGTAAATATGAGGCAGTCTGCTTTGGTTAAAATTAGGAAATAAAGCCTGTTCCGTAAGGGGGCATGTGAAGAGAATACACCCTCAGATCGGTGCATAACACGTGTGTGTAAAATAATACTCCACAAACACTTATGTGTAAAATAATATTCAATGAACTCCTACTTTCTAAATAGGGAAGCAGTGCTCGCTTTTCACGAGAGAGCTCTTTCAACTGCAGAAGTAGGTGCTCCTTTTTAAAAAGTTGTAATTCCTGCTCCTTTGAGTCTGACCTGAGAGTGGCATGGTGCTGATAACACCAAGGTTGAAAGTTTGATCCCTGTATGGGACAGCTGCATTTTCCTGTATTCCAGGGGGCTGGACTAGAATAGATCATCCTCAGGGTCCCTTCCAACTGTGATAGGATAGGATATATGATATGATATGAAATGAAGAAATAGGATATTGTAATGAGACTAGATTGGACTAAATGGGTTCTTTAGTGCTAGGACTCTGGTTATAAAAAGAGGCTGCTAAAGAGATCAAACTGGATTGACCAGCTTAACGTGGCAGATACCATTTGTTGGGAGAATAGCAGTTATGACTTAGGTGATGTGTTGCACCACAAACTAAATAGTGGGTGGGGTATCTTTCTCCCTCCCCTCCCCTGGCTGGATGTCATCAAGTTATCTCTGTGTTACAGATAGCAGTGCTAGTCTTGAAACTGGGTCTGAAAGCTGTCATTTCCTTACTTGCTTTCTGGAAGAACTGAGAATGGTTTTTGTGCCCCTCCCCACCTATAAATATGATGAGGAGTTAATGATGCAAATCTTCTCTTTTATGTTCAGCCTGAATTTATGAAACTTTGTATCAGAGAATTGCTATCCATATCATTTGGATTTTATGACTATTGTTTCACTTTTTAACCTAACTGTAAACTGTTTAAGGATTTTTGTAATTTATTATTGTTGATTGCTTTATTGCTTGTAAGCCACCATTGCTGTATTTTATATAGAGAGCTGCTGTAGCAGCCAGAATGACAATGAATAAATCAACCTCTCCCCCCTCCCATTTATTTTAGGCAAGGATACTAGTACTGTTAGAAGTTGTCAAAACATTTAAGCAGCTCTACTTAAAAGGCAAAACATATTCAAGCATTGCACAAATGCTGCCAGAACCAAGGCAATAAATCCTAGTGGACAAAGGAGGTAGGTGGTTTTGCTGATTGGGCTTTTAAGATCCCCAGGGGAAATCAAATTCCACCGAAAAGGCGGTGGGGGCTCCATTAATTCTCAGGATAAGAGGCAGGACCCCACTGAGAGGTAAGCTTATTAATCACATGTAGGGAATCTGTTGGGGAGTTGCTTGCCATTCTGCTTCCTAAAGGAAGGAAGAAACAGAAAGCAAGGAGGGGTAGTAGATTAGGGAGGAACTTGTGCCTTTATGGCTGTGTGAGAGAAATATGCTACCAATATCTGCAGAAGGATGGGGTGCAGCTTAAACGGCATCATAAAGTTGACACTATACCTTTAAACGGTGAACAAAGTATCTTACTATCATTCTTATTTCCATTTATACAAGTCGCAGAAGACAGCCAACATGCAGAAAACTTTATTCAAATTAGTGGTATTTAATGGCATAAAAATAGAGCAACTTTGAAATAAACACTTTACAAGTATCCTATTTTAAGATACATCGGTTTAAAGTGTTTTCGATACAAAGTTCTTAACCTGCCAGGGAGGTGCTGGCTTTCTATTTAACCAAACTTCGGGCAGATCGGCACATGGTCAGGAAGATTTAGCCAGTAGCGCAGCAAATCTTTTTAATTACTCAGACCTGTGGATTAACCAAGCAAGACAGGTAATTAAATAGCACTGTTATTGATAGCACTTTTAGTTGAACAACCCGATCAAGAGCACTGGGAATCGTTTCAACAACCAAAGACAACATGGGGTATCTAAATTGCATACATAGAACGGTGGTATTCAGCTAAGTTTCACTCAGAATCAACCTACTAAAATTAAAGCACCTAGTTTTGTCATGTTTGTTAATTTCAGTGGGTCCACTCTAAGTAAACCTAAGTTGAATACCACCCTTAGTTTAGTAGTCGTTTCCTATTCCCACAAAAAAACTGGGAATCACAGTTCTATGAAGGGGCTATGCTACTAACAGAACTTTCAGCATTATTTGTAAAATTCCCAGAATCCTCTGAGGATATCAGGATAGTTAAACTGGCATAAAATGTTAAGTACATACGTTCATCACATGTAGCAGTATCTACATGTGATACCCAAGTACTGTATGTTGACATCCACACCAAATTCTGAATAATTTGTTCCTCACATCTTTAAAAGACAGTACATTCACATGTCTCACTACTCTAAGCTCATCTGTTCCTGGCAAATAGCAGTAAATTATTGTTTTTCCTATTCTGTTAATATGCTACAGTTTTATAGTTTAAGACTGTGAGCTGAACATTTTAACTCCGTATTTCCTACACACAACATGCATTTTTATCACATGCTTTTTCAGATATGGTAACACCAGTGGCAGATTTATCATTATTTCCTTAAAAGCAGATTTTGGGATAAAGAGCTACTGCTGATTTATCCCTCCCTCCCTCCTTTCACAAGTGCTGAAAAGACACTCACTGATTTAGATTTTGTAGTTCCTGCGGTAAGTCACAGCCAATGTAAGCTCCATTTGTCAAACTGTATTCCAAAAGAGCACTAAAGCAGGCATCCTGACCAAATAATAATAAAAAGATTGTTAACAACTGCAGAATTTATGAATATGAATTTTAACAAAAGTAACCCTGCAACCAATTTATAACTTTACAGTATTTGAAAACAGCATGCCTAAAGAAGAATATCTTTAGAACATTCTTGGTAGCTGACTTTCACATAAAACTGTTGTTAGGAAACATAGGGTGCTATTGTATGAGCTGGACTGCAGCAAACATATTCTAACACAGCCTTGTGTTTAAACTTGCTTGCTAGTAGACTACCAGGAATTTCATGCAGACAAGTGAGCAGGCTCGGCAAGAAGGGATGGTTTCTTTGGGTAGTCTATTTTTAATGAGCATGTTACTTTAAAAAGGTAAAGGTAAAGGACCCCTGACAGTTATGTCCAGTCGCAGATGACTCTGGGGTTGCAGCACTCATCTCACTTTACAGGCTGAGGGAGCCGGCGTTTGTCCGCAGACATTTTTTTCGGGTCATGTGGCCAGCATGACTAATCCGCTTCTGGTGAAACCAGAGCAGCGCACGGAAACACCGTTTACCTTCCTGCCAGAGCGGTACCTATTTATCTACTTGCACTTTTTGGTGTGCTTTCGAACTGCTAGGTTGGCAGAAGCTGGGACCAAGCAATGGGAGCTCACCCCATTGCGGGGATTTGAACTGCCGACCTTCTGATCGGCAAGCCCAAGAGGCTCAGTGGTTTAGACCATGACCCTATACAAACAGCTATTAAAGTGAGGTGTTTGAAGAGTTTATTATGTGTGGGGTTTCTTAGCTTATGTGATTTAGCCATATTTATATTTTAACTGTTGTTTTAATTTATGTTTCCATTGTTGTAGCTTTAAGGTTGCAACGTACTACAAAATATGAAATATGCCAAGAATGAAAACCATTCATCATTAATATCTATGCCATAATGGAAACTTCCTTTCTTCTTAGCTAAGGCTTTATTGAATCATATTAATCATATTAATCATTTTGATGAACAATTTTTGATATTTTCTGATATTTTGAATTACTATGACTTTACTGAATTGATGAATTTGTTGCTGTTTGCTTTATTTAAACGTTATTGTGTTTGAGAGTATAGCGACAGGAATGTTGTCATTGTTTCAATGCTTTTGTGGTCATTGTGAACTGCTTTGAGCTCAACGTTTGTTGTTGGAAGTGTGGAATGGAAATATTAAATCAAAATCAAATCAAATGACTGTGTTACAGTTCTACTGAAAAATCTGGGTTCTTTTGGCTTCAGTCAAGAAATTATTGTTGCATCCCAGGCTGTTTCATCTTCAACATAGCCATGGCTGAATTCACCACATATTCAATATCATTATGACCGTTTTCACTCTCTCATGGGTTAATATTGCCTGAAGTAGAAAAGCTGGAACACATGAGCAGGTGTAAATGTATTCTAAATGAAAAGCCCTTGCATATAACTTTTACAGTATTTATACTACGGATAGCCACAGGCAACCTGCCATTCCGCTCTGAAATTAACAGTTTTAACTGAAGCAAGCATGAATTCAACATTTTGCATTGGCAGATAGCAAGCAAGCAAGCCTTACTCTGACAAGCACATGAGGATTCCCCACTATAATGAGCAATGCCTTGGGTCTGGTAATTGCCACATTAAAGCGCTTTGAATTAGTAAGGAAACCTAAGAGTTGTTTTTCATCAGCAAATGAAGTTTCGTTTGACCGAACCTGGAAGAAAGCAGAAACATTAAATCCTGCAAAGGTAATTCTACAGAAGTGTATATGTTTGTGTGTGCGTTCATATATACACTCACTGATACACACACATATTCTATGCAAGGTCCAACTATGTCGTCTTGTGTTAGGAGGCAACCCTAAGAGATGTTGTACCACCACAATGCATTAGCTGTGCAACATCTGAGACTGCTGTGATTGGCTGGAGCAGTTGCAGCAGGTTCCAGCTAGAAGTTCAAAAGTCTATAATCCTCATTCCATAACTACTGGAGGGGATCCAGGATGCAAGGGCCTATGATTACAGCGCGCGTGACGGACAGCAGAGCCAGACCAGTCGGGTGATACAGTCCCTCAGAAATCCCAACAGAGTGCTGGAGCCTCTCTCTGCGTGGCTACCAAGACGGCTAGCCAAAGGGGGTGGAGCAGCACTTTGGGAGGGAGAATAAAAAGAGAATTTTCAGAGGGAAAGAGTTAGATAGGGACAGAGAGAGGGCTTGATTTGAGTTGGGAGATAGGGATTAGGAGAGGATTTGACTGAGGGAGAACTGGTTCTGATCTGAGTGGAACATCCACATTGAGGAGACTACTGTATCCATAGGGACAGGAAAGAGCCTCGCGGCTTTGATAGGAAGACCAGGTTGAGTGGGGAAGGTATACAGACAGGAGTTAACTGGAGGGCCGAGTGTGAGTCAGGAGAGGTGGAAGCTGTGGGAATACAGATTACCTGGGTCTCATTCTAGCCAGGAGCAGAGAGATCTTCTAGAAGGAAAAGACTCCCAAAACCAGTTAAAAGGGGTGTAGTGATCCCCAGGGTCTGTTACACTATTTGGAAATGCCTCAGGCAGGAGTGGGATTAAGAGGTTGGGTAACTGACAAAAAGTGCCCTTTGCTCGTGAACCAAAATATTAAGCTGTGAAGAAAGCTGTGCTGTGTCAAAAGTATTTTACTCTAACACCTGTCATAACTAAGTAAAGGCGTGAGAGTGAAATAACAGAAACTGAGTTAAGCATTTTACCATCTCTTCTAGAAAACTGAACATCTACCGGAAGTGTAAATCCTGATTTTTAGCAACTGACGTTTAAGAAAAGTTGTGCATTTACTACTTTAATGCCTCTGACATCTTAAACTTAGCGTAATTAATAAGTTAACTGTTTCCTGAAAGAACACAACTTCAGACCCATCCCTGTTTTTACTAACTTTGTTTTGCAAATAAAACCTTTCAAATTTGTTCAATTTCTGCCTAAGACTCCAAATCACTTAAGTTTTCTCTCAAACAAGAATTCCAAAAGATAACATGTGGTAATTTAGAAATTTAATTAATCGTTGTACCAAGCGGTAGGTTCACTACAGGTTTAATTGAGGCAGTTAGCGGTGGGATCTGCTAAGTTTAATTGGAGCTAGCAGTAGATCTGTTACAATAACATGGCTGCCAGTTTAAAAAATATAACAGAGCACAATCCTGTTCTCCCAAACACAAGTTCTGCCCTGACCAGTGTGAGCTGCCAATGCTTTGGACTGTGGACTAGCTCTGACCAGCTGCACACTTTCCTGGGAGTAAGCATTCTGGGAGTAAGCGTCACTGAACAAGTAGGACTCATTTCTGAGCAAACTTGCAGAGGACATGCCTATCTAAAATCTCTGCTGATCATTAAGAGTAATGCCACCTATTTTTGCATTGTTTTGTTGCTTCCACTCGCAGCTCTTGAGAATGTGACCAATACTTGGGTGTTTCAGACACACAAATAGCATCTCACTACATACTGTTGATAGGATGATCACTAGGAATTCTTGCCCTTGAAACTCCTCTACAGAACCCACTTTGATGTCCGCTAAATCCACACTGCGCAAGAGAATTCTGATTTTTTCTACCTAAAGAAGAGACAGTATGACAATTACATTTCAGTTATGGCATTCAACACAACTGGCATTAAACAGATGAGCAAGAAATTCAGTTCCTGAAATCCAACTCTGAATATGGACCACAGGCCAAAAAAGGTTAACCTCCCCAAAGCTAAACACATAACGTAAGGGAGAACTGTAAATTTAGGTGGCTCCTTCAGATATACTGGACCGAGGCCGTTTAGGGCTTTAAAGGTCAGCACCAAGACTTTGAATTGTGCTCGGAAACGTATTGGGAGCCAATGTAGGTCTTTCAAGACCGGTGTTATATGGTCTCGGCGGCCGCTCCCAGTCACCAGTCTAGCTGCCGCATTCTGGATTAGTTGTAGTTTCCGGGTCACCTCCAAAGGTAGCCCCACGTAGAGCGCATTGCAGTAGTCCAAGCGGGAGATAACCAGAGCATGCACCACTCTGGTGAGGCAGTCCGCAGGCAGATAGGGTCTCAGCCTACGTACCAGATGGAGCTGGTAAACAGCTGCCCTGGACACAGATTTGACCTGTGCCTCCATGGACAGCTGTGAGTCCAAAATGACTCCCAGGTTGCGCACCTGGTCCTTCAGGGGCAGTTACCCCATTCAGGACCAGGGAATCCTCCACACCTGCCCTCCTCCTGTCCCCCCAAAACAGTACTTCTGTCTTGTCAGGATTCAACCTCAATCTGTTAGCCGCCATCCATCCTCCAACCGCCTCCAGACACTCACACAGGACCTTCACCGCCTTCACTGGTTCTGATTTAAAAAGAGGTAGAGCTGGGTATCATCTGCATACTGATGAACACCCAGCCCAAAACCCATGATGATCTCTACCAGCTGCTTCAAATAGATGTTGAAAAGCATGGGGGAGAGGACAGAACCCTGAGGCACCCCACAAGTGAGAGCCCAGGGGTCTGAACACTCATCCCCCACCACCACATTCTGAACACGGCCCAGGAGGAAGGAGGGGAACCACTGTATCACAGTGCCCCCAGCTCCTCAAGACGGTCCAGAAGGATGAACTCTAAAATTCTTTTGAATTCTCATGGGGGCTTTTTGTTGGATGGGCAAATCACAATTTGATGAGGAAATGTTGAACTTAAATACTAGAAAAATAAGAAACCGAAAGAAACCAAAATTGACAAGATTCACCCATCTCTAACGTACACTTTGTTGTTTGGGGGAAATATTCTAATAACTTCAGCAATCTTAGTAGACTTATGTCCCCAGCCAGATGAGTTATAAATAGCAAATATGATGAAGATGATGATGATTGAGATGTACCTTCTGTTTTTTTAATAGTTGTGACTGCCATCCTACAACATGGCTTTTAGAACCTCTTAGGGTAAGCTGACAATACCACCCCAGGTAACAACCAGAACATGTACCCACAACATTCCATACAAAAAGAAAACGAAGAACAGACAAAAAACAAAGAACAGAATAGGCACAATAGAAATCCATAGCATGAAGCCTTACCTGCTTTTGATAAGGCGTAATCACTCCAATATCTTTCTGTGACACTGAATGGTAGATGCTTTTAGCAACAAGGCAACAATAAAACATTACTTGGACTGCTTCTGTAGGATTGAACCAAGAAGGATTGTAGCCTTCACGTGTTTCAGTGCCCTGGCAATTGGGAGGTGGGAAAAGAAAACCGTCAACAATGCACTTTATATTTATTTTTCTGAAAGTCTGATAGCCTGTTTTATTCTCATGATAACCATTTTGATAATACAAGTGACTTTAATGTGGTTATCACCAAACAAATGCATTTTCATATTAATTAATTAATGCATTATTATTATTATTTACCAGAAAAAGTCAATTATTTCAACAAAATTGGAATCTTTTTGTTTTTACTTAAAAATCTGTCAAAATTTTTCTTCAATTTCTAAGTATTTCGTTTACTTGATTTAGGGGAGCAGCTGCCCTCCCCAGCTATGCCCATGCCTAGACCCTAAGTTTTGCCAACCTCTCTTTGGATACAAACATGTTTTACGTACTCTCATTCCATGAAAAACCAGGGGGAAACCTTTCCTTGGCAGCTTGTTCCATCCCAACAAAGAGTTTGTCACAGAAGGATCAGCACACACTTCCAACTCCTTATGGTAAAAGAGTCTAGATGGCAATGTGAGCAGTGCAGCATGTGACCTGTAATTCTTCACAAGCTTTGTAATCTGCAAGCAAAGAAAGTAAAATCCAAAACAGGGAGCTATACATTATTATCTGAAGCAAACACTTATTGGTACATGGGGCCAGTTTTGCCACGTTTCAAAGAATGTCACTTCTGGAAGCGGCTTCCTGATGGACTTCACTGGGAATATGTCTGTAGTTTTAGATGTAAGGTAAGGTAAAGGAGCCCTGGAGGGCTAAGTCCAGTCAAAGGCGACTATGGGGTGTGGTGCTCATCTCGCTTCAGGCCGAGGGAGCTGGAGTTTGTCCACAGCTTTCTGTCATGCGACTAAACTGCTTCTGGCACAATAGAGCACCATGACGAGTGCCAGAGCATACAGAAATGCTGTTTACTTTCCCACCACAGTGGTAAATATTTATCTACTCTACACTGGTATGCTTTCGAACTGCTAGGTTGGCAGAAGCTGGGACAGAGCAATGGGAGCTCGCCCCATCGCATGGATTCAAACTGCTGGCCTTCTGATCAGCAAGCCCAAAAGGCTCAGTGGTTTAGACCACAGTGCCACCCACGTCCCTAGTTTAGATGTACAGATTGGTTCAGTTTGTGTTGATCTTTGCCAGCCCATGTATTAAGACTGGAACAGGAGCTGTGCAGGCCACATTCTTCGCAGAGAGAAGAAACTTGAGTTCCCCAAGACAAATTCCATCAATGCCCCCAATCGTACACGATGGCACTGACTCACTAGGCTGGGGAGCCCCAAATGTTTACAACCTTAAAGATGTGATGCTACTTGCCGAAGACACCTGTTTGAAAAGGCTACTGGAGTCAATGATATAATTTGTACTGTATTTTAGATCTGCTATATAATATCTGTTGAGACGTGAAGAAATTGCCTAGAAGACAGCAGCTTGCATTTAATGAAGAGATACAAGATTATATACTATACATCAGAGTGGAGAATCTTTTTCAGGTCGAGGGCTGCGTTTCATCTGGGCAGCCTTCTGGGGTCATGTGCTAGTGGTGGGCAGGGCCAGAGGCAAAAGTGGGAGGGACAAGAAATATGAATTTTATCTTCGGGCAGTATGCTAGTTTCGATACACCTGCAGACACCACCACCTATAAATACAAGCAAGTATTATGGGGGTGGCAAGTTCTGATGAAACATGGTTTTATCTGGTATTCATAACATTTGCTTTGTATTCTTTCGGTATCAGCAAAACTACTGGTTGACTGCTGTACTGAATAACTTCAGAGACTGAGCGGTTAACATCATTCCCCAACTAACTTACCAACAGAGGATTGTATGATTCAGTAGCACCAAAAGCCTCCTCATCTCTCTGATATAGAGGGCGACTCATCAGTCTCTCCAGCAGGGAAATGTGCAATCCATAAACTGAAGCAAGCCTGGATTTTATTACTGGACCTAGCTGCATCGGATCACCTGAAAGGACTATCTGTAAATACAATTGTTTATTATTATTATTTAAAAAAGGGAAACTTAAAATCAAGTTCTAATGTAACTTTTTCATGCAATGTATTTACAAAACATGTTCAGGGTATCTTGGAGTAGTGTGCCATCAACATGCAGGTGGCTTCCAGCTCACTCTGCTTTTACAGCTGTCCAAGGAGGACCTGATGATGCCCCAAACAGATACCTGGAGTCAGTAATGGGCTGTAGGAAGGCTAGCAAAGTGAGGCTAAATACAGATTTTTTAAAAAGAGGTGCTGTTGATGAATGGTCTATCAGTCTAGGGAAGTGGTATTCAGTCTGCTCTAGATCCCCACTCCTCTCTTAAGGCCAGCGTTCACAGTTGGAGAGGGGTGGGGGGGGGTACTGTGTGGTCCAGCACTGCTGCTAGATGCTAAGGTGGGCAGCAAAAGCTTGCACTGGTTTCTATCAGCTCTGGTTGGTGAGAGCTAAATGGGCCAGATTGAAAGGCACAGCTAGACTGGATTTGAAAGGCACAGCTAGACTGATTTACTGCAATGCACTGCATATACAGTATGGCACATTCGGAAACTACAGCTGGTCTAAAATACGACAGCTGGACTATTAAGTGGGAATGAACTCTCTGAGCACATCATGCCAGTATTAAGTGTGCTTCACTGGCTAGTGGGACAGTGCTGGTTTTCACCTTTAAAGCCCTAAATGGCATGAGTCCCAAGTAACTGAAGTACCACCCTTCTTCAAATTAACCTGCTGAGCAGTTAAGATCTTTGTCTGAAGCCATTCTCTTGGGTACGCACATATTCTGAAATTAGATGGGTGGCTACTAGAGGGAGGGTTTTTTCTTTTTTCCAGTGATGGCTTCCAATTATGAATTTCCATTATTGAGCATATGGGTCTAGGAAGCACCGGGCAGTCCTTCAGGCTTAGTGGAATAACTGAGTTTATGGGTAATTTGTTTCTCCCTAAATCTGAATTAATTGTTTTAATGTCTACTGGTTTCAAGATTTTACTGCTGTATTGTACTGCCTATTGCTGCTATGTTATTGTTTCGACAGCCACCTAGAAACGTTTGCAAAAAGGCAGCATTTGTTAAATGGGTCCACAATTCTCCTGCCTACAGTTAAGTCACTGAAATCTTCTGTCTGGGTGCTATGGAAAGATATATCGAGAACAATAATGTGCAATATGGAAGAAGAGCCAGTTCAGTCATTCCTCCTGCTCAGGCCAATATCTTTCCCAGCCCTGCTCAAGAATTCCTCTCTTCCTTTTGTTTTCTTAGTTGGAGATGCTGGAATAAACATGAACATTAATTTGTGACCATGTGGCGTATTACCTTACTAAGCTTTAACAGTGTTTGATAACTACAATATTGCAACAAGATGACAATTAAAAATCAAGCACATTGCCATTTAGAGCATGTTCACACTATCAAATCTTGTCTTAAGAAGCATGAGATTCATGCATCCCCTTTGCTCCTGTTTTTGCCAGCAAATAAGCCTGGAAGTCACAATCAAGCTTTGCAGCTTGGGCAAAGGAAGAAATGACGTAGTTGCATGCAGCGAGTGCTTTTGTATAAGCACATCCTTAATATCATATGCACCAGCAGCATATGACAAAATCTTCCAAAAATGTTATATTTTCTTCTTTCTAGAAACTTTATCTCACGACTCTCAAAGGAAAGGAAAGAGGCTCAACCCAACGAAGGCGGTAGAAACGTACACACCTGCCCACTGACTTCTGAAATCAGCCCCAGTGGAATGAGGCTTTCTGGTTCACTGGCCTGTCCTGCTTCATCCAAAAATGCATGTGTAAAGTGTCCAAGCCTAGAGTTAATAGAACAAAAGTTGAAATTGCTGGCTTGTTGCATGTTCTGCCATTATTTAAAAAAACAGAAATACAATACTTGTAAATGAATAGTGTTTCAATCCAGTTAAAGCCTTTGATTATCAATTTGTACAAGATTCAACAGGCTGCCTTGGGGCTGCTTCACATGTTACAATAAAGTGAATATACATAATCACCTAACATGCTGATATGTGAACAAACTGTGGAAGACTTGAGGCTTGTGCAATCCCTTCTTTTGCTCCTTTACAATCCGTGGAGCTCATGTGCTCCCCTCTCCTCCTCTTTCACATTCATGAAGAAGAAATGGGAAAAGTTTTGCCAGGAGCAGTGGGTGACAAGGTCACTCAGTGAGTTTCATGGAATTTTTTGATAGTTAAAATGACACGTTAAAACATTCAATGACTCATTATGAATAAAGACCACAGAATGATGGTTGTTTTTGAATTTCCTCATTTTTCTTGGTTCAGGTGACTACCTTGGGGCATCTTTACACCCCTGTCTTGTTCTGAATGTTTCACAAAAACATGCATTTGCAATACCTTATTCCTATTTGGTAGAACATTCCTGCACTGCTGCATGTCACTATAATGATCCTGAATCGAGATGCTTTCCAAATGTCTTCTCCGTCTTTGCTGTAAAGCTTTATCACATCACTGAGAGTCTATCAACACAAAACCAGCAATTGGACATTAAGTATTTTTATCACAGGGTAAATGTACAGCGTATAGCTCATGTACACAGAAGGCAGTACAGTAAGCCTGCAACCTATGTACATTTAACTTGTGAGCATTCACCTTTATGTGAGTGGCAAAAAAATCTTTAAAAGGGGGCATGTTTCTGTGAAAAATGACTTTGGCAATCCTACCTGCAGTTGCACTCAATGGGTTTTGACTATATGCAATTTTGGATTTAGGCGCAATCCCTGGAAGGTAACCCCTGTGTAAGCTGCGGACTTACTGTATGCCAAAACCAAAGCAGATGCCAATAATTTGTGTTTGTTTCTGTGAAGTTTTACTGACTGCGAGTCAACAATTCTGAACTATATGGGACCAAATGTCTTGACTCCATATAAGGCAGCTTTCTATGTTGCTAAGCATTGCTCAGTACAAATAAAGGGAGAAAAACAGCAATGAATTCATAATAAACAAACTTATTGTACATAGCCAATGCTGAGCTTTTAAATACATGATCTACCTCATAATGCAATTAAGATACAATGAAGTCACATAGGGTACATCAAGCTTTTAAATAAAATTTACCTCTTCATTTCTGCTGGAAGCGTTAACTCTAACCATAACTCCTGGCTTTAACAAGTTGCTGTCATGAAGTCGTGAACAAACTAGATCTGATGCACTGTTTGATGGTGCGCAGACCAGTATTCGGCTGTCTGGTATGGTGTAATGTATCTAAAGTTTCAATTAAAAATAAATAAATCACAAATTGTTAAAAATACTGAACAGAATTTTTTTGCTATTTTTTATTTATTCATAAGTCAGCTGCCATTTAATAAACAAAGACCAACATTTGTAATAGTGATTTCCCCCTATTCACTCAAGTTATTGTGAAATCGTCTTGAAGAGGGACAAAGATAGGAATAATGCTGCCTTCAAAATATCTCCGTTATCCACCAATTACAGCTGCATTCACATGCCATGGTAAATCACAGTTAACGGTTCACTGTGAATGCATATATGGTTCCTGCTTCGTTCCTCTCTTAGTATGAGCAACAAAGCATGATTTTTGGCTTAGCGTTGCGTCCAACCTGGGAATTGTGGTTTGCTTTGTAGCTTATTGTTCACACTTGTGCTAGGGGAGATGCAAAGCACAAGCAATCTCTACATCCAAAGCAAACCATTAACTATGGGTTACCATGGCTTGGGAATACTGGCTACGCATCAAATTAGGGTTTTCCCTTTTTATATTGATCCGCCATAAAAGGTTTCCATTCTGAAACACATGAAGTTGCTCCCCTTCAATACATTAGAGCAACATCACTGTGTTGAGTCTCACGCCCAGAGGATACAGTGTAGACAGGGCAGGTCATGCTACCCGCAAATCAGAAATTACTTGTGGTAGAACTCTATTGCAGACAATGCCTTGGTTCTCTCTTTCTACCTTCTCAAGCAATGGGAATGGACCTCAAAGCTAATTCATTGTTAGACAAATACAGCTGTACCTTGATTTTCGAACAGCTTAGTTCTCAAACATTTTGGCCCCTAAACGCTACAAACCCGGAAGTGACGTTCCGGTTTGCGAATTATTTTTGGAAGCCGAACGTCTGTCGGGGATTCCGATTGGCTGCAGGAGTTTCCTGCAGCCAATAAGAAGCCGCACTGAATATTTTGGAAGTCAAACGGATTCCATTCGACTTCCAAGGTACGACTGTAGTTGACAAAGTTAAAATTCTTTAAAGTGGCAGTGTTGAAACCCAAATATATTGTTGCTAACTGTTACCTGCAAAATTGCTTCAATCACTGTGACAGTTTTACCAGTTCCTGGTGGTCCAAAGAGAATGTAAGGAGTTGGACGACATTCACCACTAAGAATCCTTTTCACTGCTAGTTTCTGATGCTCATTCAGCATGGGATTGAAGAAGTCACAGTTTCTTCTACTGGATACTGAAGTTCCATTTACTACATTCAAAATTGTGTATATTAAAAAGTGTTTTTCTCTGGCTTGCAAAAAAAAAATTTAAAGTCAGTATTTAAAAGGTTTTTCTATTATTTACAATATTCTTATACTAACGTGTTTGTGTGGCAATAGTCACCACGTCAGAAATGATAGCTCCCTCGTCTTTTGGCATCCTTCTTTCATTGCCATTTTGTACCCTCTTATCCTGCAAGTAGCAAAAGAGAAGATCCAACAGTATTTAAATATACAGTATTTAAAAAAATAGTAGCATCTGTTCAAATTTAGATTTCATAATTCTATGCAAGTCATGACTTAATAATTTCAGGCACAGCTTATTCCTGTGTAAATTCCAAAGAGACTTCAAACAGTTTGCATATACAACACTGCTTGGAAAAACATTTGAAAAATGTTTGGAAAAGAGTTCTTAAAATGTGAAGAGAGAAGACAATGCACTTTTCTCCTCATGCTGTCCCTGACTTAACTAAACTCATTGGGAGGAAGAGAGAGATTAGTTGCTTAATTTGGAAGAGGGGAAAGATGTCCATGCTTAACCTTCAGATACAGCCACTCTGGGCCTTTCCCATTCTGGTAAGCAAAGTTTAAAGTTTATGATGGAAGGAGAAAAACAGGGCATGAAAAAGCCAATAAAGATTTAATAGAAATTCCCCAGAGCTGTAGAGGCCAGACAGTGCATGTAACTACCCAGCTTACTCATGCAGCTATTCAAAAGAGCTATGCAAATATGCAGCCAAACTCCAGGTTACTCTGTTTTGAATATTTTTCCCACCAGGGATTTAGGAGTATAGCACACCAACTCTACCAACCCCAGTCTGGGCAATGTTTACAGAAGAGTGTTCGGTGTACTTGGATGCAACAATGCAAAAAGCCCGCTGGGATGAAGGGGTAAGGAAAAGGATTTGCTTGGTAGGCTGGACCCTGAGGTCCCTGCCACCCCACTTTGATAGGTGGGTGTGGCTTAATTTTAATTCAAACCCCCCCTTGGGACAGGGATTGGTTCCACTTGGGAGCGGATCCCAGTGGCACTTGCACCAAAATTTAAGAAGTGTGGAGTGCAACCCCTGCTTGCAGAGGAGGAACTGGAAGTGCACACTAACACTCTTGAATATTCCTTTGCAGCTGTGGCCTTACCCACCCCACACCTGACATCAGGCGTGCGTGGAAACAGCATCATAGGTCAAATTAGGACTACTGGCCTGGGGGCTGGAGGTTCCCTATGGCTGCTCTAGCATAAGAGGAATCTGCATCCGTTTCCTTTGGCAGGTCCTCTCTTTGGTATTCATCTACAGGGAAAACTACAATGGAGGCATTATAAAGGGCAGAAGACATAGATGGTGAAGATGTGAAGTTGCTATGGGGAAAAACATGTATGAGTCATTAACTTCACAGTTCTTCAGTTCGCATTTTCAAGACAGAGAACAAACTATTGTATCGAACATCCCAAATGACATTCTGACATTAATATCCAAGTATAAAATGTTGGCAAGTAGACTATTTATAGTGGCAAAGGAACAAAATTAGGTTCTCTTATACATCTTAACTTTACAGACTGCCACACCATTTGGTAGTAAATAGCTTATTGTAAAGCAGATAATAAATGGATGGCAAAGGCATACCTCATCTTCTTCTGTGATGTTTTGCTTTTGTGCATCGGAAAGACATTCTGAATCACGCCACTGCTTGACAACTTGTGGAGATTGCACAGTGACCTGATATGGAAATAAAACTTGGGAAAGAACAGGAAGGAGAGAGAAACGGGAATGGTGTATAATTCTGAATAAGAATTTGATCCACTGAATTGCTTAATAGAAACTGACAGTAGAAGATGTCAACAGGATTTAGTCTTGCAGTCTTTTAAGGATCAGAATTTCAATAGTGTCTTCCCTCAGCCTAACCCTTTTTCAGCTGAAGTAGCCCGCAGGGGCGGGGGGAATCCAAGTTACAAAGTCAGCAAAAATTCAAACAGTAACACTCTCTCCAAAGTGTATTAGTTACTCCCCTGTGGACACAAAGACTTGCAGCTTCAAACCTCAACTCCAGTTCTACACCAAAAAACTGTCCCGAGACACATCAGTATACCTGGAGGAGCGTTTCCACCCCCATCGTTCTGCTTGGACACTGAGGTCCAGCGCCTAGGGCCTTCTGGCGGTTCCCTCACTGCAAGAAGCAAAGCTACAGGGAACCAGGCAGAGGGCCTTTTTGGTAGTGGCACCCACCCTGTGGAACACCCTCCCACCAGATGTCAATGAGATAAACAACTACCTGACATTTAGAAGACATCTGAAGGCAGCCCTGTTCTGGGAAGCTTTCAATGTCTGATATTTTAATGTATTTTTAATCTTTGTTGGAAGCCGCCCAGAGTGGCTGGGGAAGCCCAGCCAGATGGGCGGGGTACAAATAATTAATTAATTATTATTATTATTATTATTAGTAGTAGTAGTAGTAGTAGCGTATGGTAATGTAGGAAAACTGATCTGATATATGAGATGACACAAATATCCCACCTTTTTGTCCTAAATGTATGGCTTGTTCTACTGCAAAATGGCATCTTCGGCTGGTGGTCCTGTCAACAGATCAGATTACTAGTAAGAGACCACAATAGTATCCATAATCAATATACGTGACATAGCTAATATACTTTAGGGCTGATGTTATATTTACAATAAGAAAATACTAGTTTCATAAGCTAGCTAGTTCTGTTAAGTCAATGCACATTAACACCTACGAAAAACTGTGACTCTGAAATATATTATTCAGCATTTCCCGAGTTGCGTGAAGAATGTGTGCCCTTTTGCTTCATAATGAATTGAAATACAATTTTTAAAAAAGCATACCTGCTAACAGTAAATTCCACATCCATAGGTTCAGAATTATATGCCTGTTCAAACTGTGGGTTAAGCTTCAGAGTAACCTCTTCATCATGAATCTGTATACAGAAAGGAAAAAAGACCACCAACAATTATTTATTATGTTGTAGCACTGACAGAACTCTTAACATGGTATGATGGCGATGATAAAAATAAATAATTATTTGTACCCCACCCATCTGACTGGGTCGCTCCAGCCACTCTGGGTGGCTTCCAACATATATATATATAAACATAGTAACATTAAAAGCTTTCATATACAGGGCTACCTTCAGATGTCTTCTAAAGGTTATATAGTTACTCATCTCCTTGACATCTGATGGGAGGGTGTTCTATGCTAACAGTAACTTTTAAGCTTTTAAGAAAAATGTTTTAACAGAAATTGCATTTAACTGTTGAAATTCAGAGATTAGTAGCACTGAACATATCTAAGAACTCAGATATAAAATAATTCCAAGGAATACCATTAACAAAGTATTTCTTGTACTTTTGTTTCCTTTCAAAATCTTAGGCTGTCATGCTATAAATGCTTACCTGGGGATAGGTCCCACTTACTTCTCAGTAAACATGGATAGGGCATCAGTGTTAAAAAAAACAAACTAAACAGGACAAAAGCCAAATAAAGCAAAAGATATGGGGACCTTACCTCAGTGACAAATGCAATGTAGTGGACTATGGGCTCTGAATAATCTTGGGTCTTTAATATTACTCTGTCACCTGAATTAGAAGATATAAATTATTTCATTGGTCCTGTACAAATTATAGCAATTAGGTGGCTATCCTGTACACAGGAGACTGAAAGAAAAGATCTATTACTGAGAATGATCAGCATAGTGCTATTGTGAAATACAGTGGTACCTTGGGTTACATACACTTCAGGTTACAGACTCCACCAACCCAGAAATAGCACCTCGGGTTAAGAACTTTGCTTCAGGTACAGTGGTACCTTGGGTTACATACACTTCAGGTTACAGACTCCACCAACCCAGAAATAGTACCTCGGGTTAAGAACTTTGCTTCAGGATGAGAACAGAAATCGTGCTCCAGTGGCGCGGCAGCAGCAGGAGGCCCCATTAAGTACTTAACACGAGGTACCACTGTAACATCTTTATGAAAGATTATTAGGATTTGTGATTTTAAAACCCAGCTACAGTGGTACCTGTAATTACAAACATAATTCATCCTGGAGGTCCGTTCTTAACGTGAAACTGTTCTTAACTAGAGGCATGCTTTCGCTAATGGGGCCTCTTGCTGCCACAGCGCCGCCAGCACACGATTTCCGTTCTCATCCTGGGGCAAAGTTCTCAACTCGAGGTAACTCTTCCAGGTTTGCGGAGTTTGTAACCTGAAGCGTTTGTAACCTGTGGCATTTGTAACTCAAGGTACCACTGTATTTGTCAGGACTTTAAGGACACTGCTATGGAGCTTTATATACCCTACTTATTCTGCTGTTTCTGAATTTTTCTGTCATATTGGGAAATAAATGAAAACAGATAGGCGATACATTGCTGAGATCTCAGATGAAAGGAGATGCACTTTAAAATCAAAAAGGGTTTATGTTTATATGTATATTTTCTGTAGGTTTTTGGCTAAAAAAGATATAAGAAACAAAAGTACTTTACTAGGTCTGAGCCCTGCCAAAATGTATTGGCAGGACCACTTAATGCTGTTCAGATGTTCTGCTGACAGAGCGATATCAACACTGTGTTTAAGACAATAGAAAATTCCACACCTATACATAAAGAAGGGCGACCCTCTGCAATTCCTGGCACCCGAAGTACCAACAAATTTCCATTCTTTTCCAAGGTGACTCCACACATAGATAATTCTTTGATTTCCATCTCTTCATAGATTTCCTCCAGCCACAGCAGAGCAGAAAATTTTGCTTTATAATTAGCTAGAGTCAGGGCCTGAAAAGAAAGAAGCTTTATATCACATCAGTTATATATTACAGAACCACAAGAGCCCTCAAATACCAATGAAGGGCTGTGGAACTGTGAACTCAATGTAAGAAAACATTGCTTTTGAGGAAGTCACAACACACATCAATTCTGCAAGCACTTCTCAAAGTCTTTTTATTTAGCACATCTATATTCCCATCTGTTCATCATGGAAGTCAAGGCAGTATTTCTAGAGAATCCAAGGCAGTCCAACAGCCAAGTACTGACTGGGCACAACAAGTTTAAGATGTCCACCGTGTAACAAATGGGGTAAAGCTGGTCATTTAATGCTGGGGTGGGCAGAAAGTCGATCTGATCTACTGCTATATCTCTGGGTGATTTGCAGTAGATCAGCAAGGATTTCTGGCTCAATATTGTTTAACAATTAAGGGACGCGGGTGGCGCTGTGGGTAAAACCTCAGCGCCTAGGACTTGCCGATCGTATGGTCGGCGGTTCGAATCCCCACGGCGGGGTGAGCTCCCGTCTTTCGGTCCCAGCTCCTGCCCACCTAGCAGTTCGAAAGCACTCTTAAGTGCAAGTAGATAAATAGGTACCGCTTTATAGCGGGAAGGTAAACGGCGTTTCCGTGTGCTGCGCTGGTGCCGGCTCGCCAGAGCAGCTTCGTCACGCTGGCCACGTGACCCGGAAGTGTCTCCGGACAGCGCTGGCCCCCGGCCTCTTAAGTGAGATGGGCGCACAACCCTAGAGTCGGACACGACTGGCCCGTACGGGCAGGGGTACCTTTACCTTTATTGTTTAACATTAGCAACAAACATCCCCCTTCCCAAAAACTCCTCTAGTGAAATGAATAAAGCTTGGAGAAACTAAGAACACAATGAAAACACGTATTTATAGGCAATTATAGCCCACCCTTCAGCTGCCTCTGAGCTATGTATGTTATCTATGTTACAGCAGTATCATCCTACCTCTCCAAGACTTGGCTGAAAAATCAGTATGTCCATTTTCTTTTCCACACATCTCCTTAATAGATCTGGAATAGGGTACTGGGGAAGGAAACTTGGTAGTTGTCTCCTTGAGATTCTAAGGCACCAGAGGTTAATAAACAGTAGTTTACTGTCAGGATACAAAATCAATTCTTACATATTCCAAGTTGGCCAGTTAGGATGGGATTTCATTTAGCAAATTAAGAAAACTTATCAGCCACAAAATGCATAGGGACTAGAGACTGACTTGACAAAATGCAAGGCGCTGACCTGCTAGATTTTAAATTTTAAACATTTTAGATTAGTTGGTTCCCGCAGACCTTATCGGTAAACATGCAACATCCATGTTAAAGAGCTACCTTGGTCATCCCATTACCACAAGGAATTCCACTAGCCCAATGTGACTTCCCCTTCATATTCCAACCACCATCATTTGCTCTGGAAGGCACATGGCCCTTCGAAGATTGAACATAAGAAGTCAGAGTAAATACATTTAAAAATTGGGAAATCTGTTGCTAAGACAGATCTGTATCATGTCCAGTGCTGTTAACATGGATTTGCAACACGTCTGGTGGTCCTTTTCTAAAATTCAACTTAAGTGGGAACAACAGTTGATTGAGAAACTGCTTCTCTTCCCATGGGGAAGGATGGAAGATTAAAGAACTCAAGAGTGCTAAAATGGATAAAACTGACAGATGTAGTTTCCTGAAGAAATGGACAGTTAGAACAAACACCTAAGTAGCATCCTTTTATTGTAGTTTAGAATAAAGATCGGGTCACAGGAATATTTAAAATCTCATTGTATTTATCTAATCAATTCTCTGTCATTAAAAATAATAATTATGGAGACTGAAGATTTGTTGCTGTCAACTCCCAGCCACATTTCAAGGTGCTGGTTTTATCTTGAAAACCGTAAATGAACTGGCCCACAAAAGTAAAGGACATTATCTTCTCTACTACAAGCTCCAGCCTCAATTTTCTGATGGTCAAGCTAAGCTAATGGCCACAAGGAACAGGGATCTACCAGGTAATGAAGTCAATGAGACTTTTAAGATTTTATGTATATACTTCAGGGTGCTGCCTCTGCACGTGCTGCTCGCCAACCTCCCCATCAACCCCTTCACGCTTTCTTCAACCCCCTATCCCCCCTCCAGCTCACCCCAATTCCAAGAATTACGTTGCTGCCACTCACAGAGTGGGAAAGGAAGAGGAGAGTGTCTTTTCCCCCTTTGCCCCATGCTGCTAAAATAAGAAAGTGTGTATTCTGAAATGCATGCTTCCTTTTGACTGCAGTGGACTAAGGAGTGGTGAAAATGATGGAGAGTGTGTGAAGGCTTTCCTGAGTCTCTAGTTAACCATTGGAATGGCTCAGTCGGTAGAGCATGAGGATCTTAATCTCAGGTTCGTGGGTTCGAGGCCCACTTTGGGCAAAAAGATCCCTGCATTGCAGGGGGCTGGACTAGATATAATAATAATAATTTATTATTTATACCCCGCCCATCTGGCTGGGCCTCCCCAGCCACTCTGGGCGGCTTCCATAGAAACCAAAAATACAGTAAAATATCACACGTTAAAAACTTCCCTGAACAGGGCTGCCTTAAGATGTCTTCTGAATGTCAGCTAGTTGTTTATCGCTTTGACATCTGCTGGAAGGGCGTTCCACAGGGTGGGCGCCACTACCGAGAAGGCCCTCTGCCTGGTTCCCTGTAGCTTTGCTTCCCGCAATGAGGGAACCGCCAGGAGGCCCTCGGCGCTGGACCTCAGCGTCCGGGCAGAGCGATGGGGGTGGAGACGCTCCTTCAGGTATACTACAGGTATAGATGACCCTCAGGGTCCTTTCCAACTCTACAATTCTATAGTTCCTGCTAGCCAGTTCGCTCAGCCTGACCACCTGCCCATGTGTGTGTGTGGCTGCCCGTTTGCTTGGACTCTGGGCTTTCCTTGCTCTGTTGTGAATACATGCAAGAGGCAGCAGTGATGACAACAACAGAGGGAACATGGGAAGGTCTCCCTTGCTCTGCTGGCCTGCTCACTTTGCTCCATTACTGTCACACTGTAGCTCACATGGCTGCCAGTACAACTTTAAATTGCAGAATTATTCCACAACAACAAAGATGGATACAACAAAACAGATATAACCCCACCCAATTATTATTATTTTTCAATTAAAAAAATCTAAAGGCTTGCTTAAGCAGATTATCATGGTGTACTTGGCAGTACCTTTTCAATTCTGGTAAAACTATTGTTGCCTTCTCGTTATGAGAGTCCGAAGTGATTTGACGTTTTCGTTGGGAAAAAGGCTGAGTGGCTGCTATTAATAACTCCTCTTCTGTTTCTATAGTTGCTTCAATGTAGCGACCGATAACACAGTCAGAAAAGCAGAGCAACAAGAGGTCTTTGCAGCAGCCAGGGTTCCTTTAAAGGCACAAAAGCAAGGCAAAGCTTTCATTAAAAAACCTAAATGAGACAAAGCCTATAGAAAAGTTGTATTTTACTCTGTGCTATAAATGCGAACAAGAGAACCAAACAAAGAGTATCTGAGTATCTGAGCAATTTTCCGCTTCTTTGGTGGACAGCAGAGCTTGAGGTTGGAAGGTGAACACAGGAGTGAAAGATGAAAATGGTGTGTACAGAGATGTATGGGGCAAAGTTGTGAATGAGACAGTCAACTTTTCATTCTTGACTGCAAACTGTTGGACCTGGAAGGTGTAAAATTAGAGCTAGTCATCATCAGACATGACAGTGAAACAGGTTCCAGTGACTGAAATAGAAAGCACTCTCTCTTTATCTGTCAATGAACTTAGCCGAGTGTATGAGAAAACGCAAATAGCAGTTGTTCTGGAGGATAAAGGTAAAGGTAAAGGGACCCCTGACCATTAGGCCCAGTCGTGACCGACTCTGGGGTTGTGGCGCTCATCTCGCTTTATTGGCCGAGGGAGCCGGCATACAGCTTCCGGGTCATGTGGCCAGCATGACTAAGCCGCTTCTGGCGAACCAGAGCAGCGCACGGAAACACCGTTTACCTGCCCGCTGGAGTGGTACCTATTGATCTACTTGCACTTTGACATGCTTTCGAACTGCTAGGTTGGCAGGAGCAGGGACCGAGCAACGGGAGCTCACCCTGTTGCGGGGATTCGAACCACCAACCTTCTGATCAGCAAGTCCTAGGCTCTGTGGTTTAACCCACAGCACCACCCACGTCCCAGTTCTGGAGGATACCTGTCCCTATTGCAAGCCACATGTACAACTTAATATCTTTTATTATCTGCTACTCCTCTGATCATTTGTCCAGCCTATTTTGCTCTTATTCTCATTAAGTGAGTTCCTGTACTCATCACTCTCTTTGCTTTGCCACTGACTCAGCTGTTCTGGTGGCATAACCTATGAATTCAGAGAGGCATGCCCAACGTCTCTGGCTACTTTAAATCAGAGCCATTGATTACAAATTCTTTCAAACATCACCTTAAAACATCAAACTGGTTGAACAGTAAGACATTTCATGCAAAGACAGATTCCCTTGCATATAAACCAGGACTGATTCAAATGTTGTTCTGAATAATTGGTGCATACTCCAGAGAGCTAGAATCCCCTCTTGGGTGACAGCTACTTCCCTGATGAGATCAACTGCTAATTAGGCAATTCCTTTTCACACTGCAGGCAACCTTCACTGTGCTAGCCAAACTTCTGTTGAGGGGGAGGAATATGAAAGCATAAATGTTGAATATATTATCTGTTCTTAGACAACCAGATCTTCTGAAGCCAAAAGCAGGTATTTAGCTACACCAAAGTTGTTTCATACCTAGGGATTTGCATTACTAAAAATTGCACACTGGACTGCAATTCCTTCTGACTATCAGTTAGCTTTCTGGCCACTAATCCCAAAGCCCATAATTTACTGTTGTTTTGTAACATTTTAAAACAGCAAGAAAAAGAATGTATACTTACTTTGCAGTGCATGTAACTACTATAGAAATCTTTCTCCCAGAAGGCAGAGAGATAGCCTCGATGGGTTCTGCTGTTTTCTCTTCTCCAGTTTCTTTTTGCTCTTTTTCTAGTTTCTCAGGCTGTCTGCTAACAAAGTTGTTATCGTCTCCAATATTGTTTTCATCCACAGGCTGAACTTCTATGGAAGTAAACAAATTGCACTATTCTAATTACACAGAATATAACCTGCCGAGGCTTCTTTATAGACAAGAGAGGAATTAGGCATATAAGTGTGACTTTTTTCTTATATTTTTATATTTACCTGGTGGATTCCCTAGGGATGCTGCAGAACTCTTCTGACATGTTCCTGGCACTTGAAGACAAAATTGCTTCTCTTTATCCCAGCCACCTAATTTGCAGCTAATTAAAGAATGTGCTGCTTTCCCTTTATTCCTGAAAAGGGGGGGACACACACACACACACACACACACACACTTAAACCTCACTGTTTATACGTCAATAGAAATTCATTCTATTTATTATTACAATTTATTATTACTACCATTATTAGATTTACATTCCACACCTTCCTCCATATGAGCCCAGAGCAGTAAGATGATACACACGCCTACCCTGCTGAAACTGTAATTTGACAGTAGCAAGCAGATGCTCTGACAAGCATGTCTGTGTTCCAAGACATCCACAAGGCACAAGGGGTTGCATCCAATACTGCCCTTATGCAAATGGAAAAAGTCCTTTCAGCTGCAGAAGGGCACTTGGTCGAGCAGTGGCATCCGTGAACACAGGGGGAGCTTAATTTCAACAACTCATCCCACCCTTCGGAAAATCTGTTAAGAGAGATTGGGGGACCCTGTGGAACATCTTAGGAAGTGGCACTGATGAAAGGTTGTTTAGTGGAGGCTTCTACAAGATTAAAGACCTTTCTGTAAATGGAAAGACTACTTCTATACAGGCAACACCTGATTTGTTGCGTTCTGGGTCATTGCATGCAATGGTGGAGCATGCATAAGCACATTCCGTCCCCTTTTCCAGCTCCTTCTGGGTCACTGTAATGCAGTCGTGCACATATGAAACGTTTGTAAATCAGTCATTGCCTGAAAGGATGCAGGTCAAGATTTGTTATTATTTAAAGATGCAACAATACACTTTTTTAAATTCAAACCTATTTCATCTCTTTATCAAGCTTAAGTAGTGACACAGATGTGGCTTAACCTGCCCTTTCGCCATAAGATGCAGCATCACCAGATTTACATTTTCCAGTGGGGGGGGCATATAACCAAATACTTGAAATCCACATCACCTGGGTCCTCCATGGTCCAGATGCATGGCTCATCTCCACCAGGAGGTATGATTACAGTACTGTGGACCAAACTTTGCAGAGTTAACTCCAGACAGAGATCAGACAGGTTGCATTCCTGTTATTCTGGCATTTGATGAAGACTCTATTTCAGCAGGCATCTTAAGTGCGCTTTTCTGATATTATGGTTCATGTCAACTGATTTTACTCCTACTGCATCCCTTCTGTAACCTCATTGTACATTGAGAAACTACATGGTTAAATGATATTTAAAAACACTGAAATTAAATTAAATGTGGTGTAGTGGTTCATGTGTCAGACTAGGACCTGGGAACCAGGATCCAAATCCCCACTCAACCATGAAGCTCACTGGGCCAGTCCCTGCCTCTCAGCTTAGCCTTCCACACAGAGTTGTTGTATTAAATGAAGAAGGAGAGAAGCATGTATTCTGCTTGGGAGCTTCTTGGGGAAAAGGTGGAATGTAAGTGCAATAAACAAACAGTATGTGTAGGGAGAATGCTAGAAATAAATGGAGGTTTGTGTGCTACTTACCATTCACAAAATTTACAATCATTAATTAAAATTGTAGTAAAATTAGTTTTTCACATTAAAGCTTCATGCATCTAATGACGCAGCTATTTACAAAAGGAATGTTACCAGTTTTACTGACCCTCCCACTTCCAAACTCCTGGCTGAATGGACTCTAAAAGCCCAACTGCAAAGATAACTATGAGGAAAAAAATAAGTCATGGTTTCATGATGTATAAATGCTTTTAAAGAATAAATGCTTTTAAAAGAAAAAATCTAGGGAAGAAGAAGTTACAACTTACTCTATCCATACTTCGATGCTTTTATTCATTCCTAATTTTAGTGTTCCAAAGTTTATCATTTTTGATACCTCTAGGCCTTCTTTGTCCTTCATTAAATTTTCATATGATTCATCCAAATTGGTTGCATTGGTTAGAGATGACCTGTAAGATTTCAAAATTAGAAACCACGCTGCATAACTACGAATATACAATTATGTAACAAAGCCCAATCTGACACACATCTACATTTTTCTTTTCTCAAGTTAGAAAGTTAAAACTGACAAAACTTTCATAAAATGCTAAAACCAGAATTTTTTTTAACCACTCTTCTGAAGACATACATGGAGAATTATGAATGCAATTTTAACACTTCTGGCCTCACTTCAAAGTAGATTTTTAAAAAGTGAACTCTAAGCAGTCGTTGACTGAGAGAAGAAGTTTTTTATTACCTGTTATTTTCTGCTGGAGCCATACAAAGTGCTCTCCAGATATAACATGATTGGTTACTCTCCACAACCACCACATTGACAAGGTCATGTCTACGAGGAAAATAACCATCAGGAAGTTTCAGGAAATCCAGGGTGAAAAAGATACTGTCATCGACTACACCAGTTCTTCCACACACACTGGAAACACGAAGCTGTAAAAAATGTAGTCATCTTTAGATGCAATAAAATCAATGTAAGAATGCATAACCCATTTGAGGTTACTGAGTGGGCACTGTACTTCAAGCCATCCAATTACAGTGGTACCTCGGAACTCGAACGTAACCCATTCCGGAAGACTATTCAACTTCTGAAATGTTTGAGTTTCAAGGTTGAGCTTCTGGTTGGCCGACAGCTAAGTTTTTGCACAGGGAAAGCTGTGTCGGACATCCGTGTTCTGAGGACCGTTTCAAAACCGGAGCACTTATTTCCAGGTTGTTGGCATTTGGGAGCTGAAATGTTCGAGAACGACGCTGTTAGAGTTCTGAGGTACCACTATACTCTTTAAAAACTGCCACATAGTATATTAAACCTTAAACTGTATGTTGTACTGTACTCTAATTATCTCAGAGGCTCCCTTGTTAAAGAGATGTATCGGCGCCTCTGAAGGTGGAAGAGACCATGGTCCAGAAACTCAAAAAGTCTGCTCTGCTCTGCCTCTTCTCCTCTTTCGGTCCATCCATCTGCCTTCCTGCCTCCTTCAACTCGCTGCTTTCTCTTCTGTCTCCTTCCTCTTCCCTCCTCCTGCAACTCTCACCTGCTCTCTCCATCTTTCTTCCCTCTGAGCACTCTTCTCACACTTCTAATAGTACTGTCAGCTGACTGGCGATGGGAACCCTGCAGGGATGCTGCAACAGCTCATGCCAGCAACTAGATTCCTCTGCTGAGGTGCCCAGATGGGCTCCACAGTGGAGAGGTGTGATTTTGTGCCCCCCCCCGGTATGCCCCTCAATGTTCTTAACTGCCAAATATCGTTAAGTCGTCTTCTATGAGCTGCTTGACCAAAATATTGGTTTTGTTAACTTTGACTCTTGGAGCACTACATGCAAAGTGAATGATCACTCCACATCACCTGTGGAGTGATAGTCAATAACTAGATTTTTTAAAATTGCCGGTGATCATTACATAGTAATAGTAACATTTCCAAACTACAGCTCCATTCAGGTGTTAATACTTTGGTTGCCTCTATGCACGTCTCGGGACACTCCCAATGTCACTGTGTAAGTAACATTCAGACAAAGTTTGGAAATCCATTTGATGGACACAAGCTAACTCTCACTGCACACACACACACACACACACACACACACACGACAAGCTTCAAGTCAAAAGGTATACCTAAACTACAATCTTGAAACTTTACAGTGGTTTAACTGTCATGGCTTTCTATAATACTTCGCAACTGTACTCTTGTGAAGGGTTGATGACTCCTTTACAGATTCCACAGAACTAAAATTGTCAGGGATCCTGATGATAGAGGGAAACCATTAACAGTTAAACTACTTGAAGTCCAAAATGTGGTTTTCAGAGTTGAGGCCCAAATCAGGAGATTTTAATACAATGAACATGCTTCCTATATAAACAGGGTAGCTTTACATGCAAGGATAGTTCCTGCTATATAGTTACCCATCCTTTCTCCTTTTACATTGTAGTATTTGATACAATATTTTTAAGAAATCCCAAAATTAAACCATTCAATAGACATACCTTGTCAATTCTCTTATACCTCAAGGGCTTTACAGAAACTGCTTCACTGGTCCAGGTTGTTGGGTTAATGAAATATTCTACTTGCACCCAATCTCCTTTACAAGGGTCAAAACCTTAACAATAATGTTACAAGAAAATGGAAACAGTTTGAACAAGGCTAAGTCTCTTTAAGAAGAGTTAAAAGTACTGGAGCACTAAAAGGCAAATATACCTAGCTACTAGATCAAAATTTGGATTAACTGAAGCAGTGACCAGAACGGTAGCCATATTAGCACGTTGCAGCAAAAAACAGGAATTTTCTGGCACCTTAAAGACTAATGAATTTATTATGGTATAAGCTTTTGAGGACTTTAACCTGCAAAAGATTATGCTGTAATAAATTCATTAGTTTTCAAGGCATCACAAGACTATTTGCTGCACTGTTTTATTCTTCGAAATACCAGAGGTCAAACAAAGTTTCAAAATGGAAAAAGGGAAAGTACTCCAAACTTCAAGAGTTCATTCAAGTTTTGAACAGATCTAAGATTACATGGCTTATTCAACAATAAAGATCTTATTCTCAAGAGCAAACACATCTCTGAAATGTAACTGAGATGATAAAGATGCTTACAGATTCACATAAACAAAATACAGTTTTCTAAACCAGTTTATGTTCTTAGAAACCCTTTTGTCAACTCATCTAAAGCAATTTTCAAAGAAAAAACCCACTGCAACTTAAAATCACAACTTTGTGTTTATAGCAATTGTCAAGGTAGGCATAACAGTTACCTTCACAAACATCATCCATGGAAAAGGAGGTTGTCTGATTAACGCTGCCACCAACTGCAGTTAGAGAAGTAATACGGCCAATGAGTGTTTTGGTGTCCTGGTCCCCTTGATAAGGACATTTGCTGTCATCTTCCCATTTATCAGATACCTTTTCTACCTGTAGAACAAATCAAAATTACCTACAGGAGGCATCCTAGCAGGACTTTCAAATGTGATTTGAGACCTAAGGCTGAGGTTCTTCTGTTGAATTGTGGCCCCTCTCCAAATGCTGCACAACCTCTTCAAACATGTACATAGCTGTCAACCTTCCACCAATACAAATCTTTATGGACTGAACCTGAAAGTGTGCTCAATACAAACCAAGGGGCCAAAACCAACCAGGATCAGCCTTATATTAGAGAGCTTACCAGTATTTTGGCCATGAAGAGATGTCAAAAGACACAAAGGCACTTAAAGAGAGCCATGAGGATCCAGTACACTGAGCTGCAGACACTGGAGAGGGTGGAAATGCAGGTGGCTGCTCACAGGTCTTGGCTTTGAAAGCAGGAGCAGACAGTTTCAGAAAGGAACGTTTTGGTATCGTTTAATTAATTTTAAGTTCTGCTGAACCTACCATTAGAGCATGCACTCAGATTGTAAGGGCTCATACATTCCTTGGCCCAACAAGGAATCAGGTGTGCCATTTAATCAAGCCAGCTTGGTAAGAGAACTAGATGAGAGGGTGCACACTGTTGGGGGTGGGGTGCTGAACCAGACGGTATATGCTTTCTAAGACTTTCCAAAGTTTATCAATGACCACTGGAAGTTGCTTGTGAATGCGTCTTAAATTTTTCTTTATATACGTATCAACCACCGGAACAAGGTGAGATAATTTGATACTGTGAAGACTACCAAAGCGTGTATTAGGAAGCTTCTTAATATGTACTCTGCTGGATGGGTTAACTGCTCAATTCTAGCTGATTACTGTACCTTCCATCTTGGGCAGTTACGGAACTACTGCCAGTTAGGGATGTTGGAGAATTCTGACAAAAACAAAGATGAATGGAAATTCCCAATGTTCCCTTATTTGTCCCATCTCTGGAATAGAAATCAATCTAGCAGATATGATTGGTATTCAGCACTGTTATTATTTTCAGTCCGTAAATGACATATAAGTGATTTTATCCCCCCACCTCCTTGCATTTTCTTTGTACAGAAATGGTGGAATAATGTAACGACAACGTAATTAATTGCTGTATGTAAATTATGTAATTTTGCCACAGCAGACAGCAAGACAAGTATGAACTGCAGCAGAACCAAAACACTGCTGCATGTATGTATTAGGTTTCTCTTCAGTTTAAATTCGTACGTGTTAGCTTTCTTCGGTTTGAGTTCGCTTTGATTTACAGCTCTCAACAGAATTGATCTGTCTCTCTCTGGAGTGATCTGCTGGCAACTTCCTGCAAATTTAATGGAAAATGACCCTTCCTATTTTCAGGATGGGAAGAAGTGCTGCTTCTTTGCAGTATCTGAAGGAGCATCTCCAACCCCATTGTTCTACCAGGACACTGAGGTCCAGCACCAAGGGCCTTCTGGCAGTTCCCTCACTGCGAGAAGCCAAGTTACAGGGAACCAGACAGAGGGCCTTCTCGGTAGTGGCGCCCTCCCTGTGGAACGCCCTCCCACCAGACGTCAAAGAGAACAACAACTACCAGACTTTTATAAGACATCTGAAGGCAGCCCTGTTTAGGGAAGCTTTTAATGTTTGATGTATTACAGTATTTTAATATTTTTTGGGAAGCCGCCCAGAGTGGCTGGGGAAGCCCAGCCAGATGGGCGGGGTTGCTGTTGTTGTTTAGTCGTGTCCGACTCTTCGTGACCCTATGGACCAGAGCACGCCAGGCACTTCTGTCTTCCACTGCCTCCCGCAGTTTGGTCAAACTCATGTTGGTAGCTTCAAGAACACTATCCAACCATCTCGTCCTCTGTCGTCCCCTTCTCCTTGTGCCCTCCATCTTTCCCAACATCAGGGTCTTTTCCAGGAGTCTTCTCTTCTCATGAGGTGGCCAAAGTATTGGAGTCTCAGCTTCAGGATCTGTCCTTCCAGTGAGCACTCAGGGCTGATTTCCTTCAGAATGGATAGGTTTGATCTTCTTGCAGTCCATGGGACTCTCAAGAGTCTCCTCCAGCACCATAATTCAAACGCATCAATTCTTCGGCGATCAGCCTTCTTTATGGTCCAGCTTTCACTTCCATACATCACTACTGGGAAAACCATAGCTTTTACTATACGGACCTTTGTCGGCAAGGTGATGTCTCTACTTTTTAAGATGCTGTCTAGGTTTGTCATTGCTTTTCTCCCAAGAAGCAGGTGTCTTTTAATTTCGTGGCCATTGTCACCATCTGCAGTGATCATGGAGCCCAAGAAAGTAAAATCTCTCACTGCCTCCATTTCTTCCCCTTCTATTTGCCAGGAGGTGATAGGACCAGTGGCCATGATCTTCGTTTTTTTGATGTTGAGCTTCAGACCATATTTTGCGCTCTCCTCTTTCACCCTCAATAAAAGGTTCTTTAATTCCTCCTCACTTTCTGCCATCAAGGTTGTGTCATCTGCATATCTGAGGTTGTTGATATTTCTTCCGGCAATCTTAATTCCGGCTAGGGATTCATCCAGCCCTGCCTTTCGCATGATGAATTCTGCATATAAGTTAAATAAGCAGGGAGACAATATACAGCCTTGTCGTACTCCTTTCCCAATTTTGAACCAATCAGTTGTTCCATATCCAGTTCTAACTGTAGCTTCTTGTCCCACACAGAGATTTCTCAGGAGACAGATGAGGTGATCAGGCACTCCCATTTCTTTAAAAACTTGCCATAGTTTGCTGTAGTCGACACAGTCAAAGGCTTTTGCATAGTCAATGAAGCAGAAGTAGATGTCTTTCTGGAACTCTCTAGCTTTCTCTATAATCCAGCGCATGTTTGCAATTTGGTCTCTGGTTCCTCTGCTATTAATAATAATAATAATAATAACTATTATTATTATTATCATCATCTTTCCATATGCATCATTGCTTAGTGTTTTTTTTCTACAAATCCCTGGAAATGATTACTGTACATTTTTGGAGAGGTACTTGCATCTAACATTTAGTTTTTAATACCACATTCTCTTCTCTCTTGATGTTGTATTTTGTCTAGTGCCAGCCTTGCTGATTCTAGAGGAGGCTGTAGCCGACTACTGGAACTACAGCCAGTGGGACAACTCTGCCACCTACTGGGTCCTGTAGGTATTCCTCCATCTGGAACACCAGCGATGTACAGTACTTTATATGCTTTATCACATGCAAATTCATTCTTTAAAAATTGACTGTTAGGGGCCTAGCTACACTACAAACGCACAAACTGTTTCTAGAGCCAGGTGAACAAAGACTTTGTTCTTATAAAGGAGACATCCTCTTTCATGGGTAGCTGAACATAACAGTGGCTGCCTTCTGAAGACCACTGGCAAATTATGATCTTTTCTGTATAAACTGAGACAGCTCACTACCAGTTAATAAATGTATATGGACCAAACTACACGCTATGAAATAATAAATCTATCTGAACTAAATCAGGTTGGCTCCTTGTTCTTCAGCTCAGTAATACTCAAATCCATTTGTGGAACCGTTTAATAAAACGCTGAATTTCAGAGCAGATTGGTTTAAATTAGCAAGAAAAAGGTGTTTAAATCATGTTTTCCACTGAAAGATCTTGTTGACTCTTCACAGTAAGGGCTTGTCCACACTTCTGCTTGTTCTGAATCTAGAACACAGAGGCCCGATTAGTTTTTTTCCTTTGTCCCCCCCCCCCTTCTTCTGGAAAACCTGCTGTTTACTGCTTAGTTGGAACAAACATCAATCTACTGAAAAAATGATTGGCATTTGTTCTGATTCAACAGTAAGCAGCAGGTTTCCCCAGTGAGGGAGAAGTGGCGGGACAAGTGGAAGTGTTGACAAAAGCCCTAAATTGGTAGAGGAAGAGCTTATCTACGTTCAAGAGTCTGAAGTGACTTCGGCTTTCTTGCCGAATAGGCATATATAGGAAAGTCTCTCACTCTGATCAACTGAGATCAGTTATATAAAAAAATTAAAGTTTATTTTACAGACAGTTAACATAATCACATGACCAATTTCTATAGCTATTTATTTGAATCTCACCCTGATTGCCCTTAATCCATGAGAGGTTTTATCTTCTTCAACAAGAGCTACAACCTGCTGTCCAACTTGCAGGGGAATGTTGCTCATCACAGCTTCGCTGGTGAAACAGATCAAATCATCTATCAAGCCGTAGTCTAGGCAGAATCTTGTCACTACACCATTTACGGTTTTTAACTCACTGCCATCTAAAAAGAAGACAAAATACATTTAAGTTGTGTAAAAAATAATTTGCTGTATTTGCTACAGCATTGGGAAATTATTCTTGCTGCATCTTGCCACCTCTAACAGAACATCTGTAAGGATTTCTATAAATGACGATGGTTAGCAAAATAAATGTTATTTATTCATATGTTTTCCCTCCCCTCTTCTGATTAGATTCTAAAGCAGCATAGAAACAAAGTGGTTTTTTATGACTAGCTTATTGGAGCAAATGAAGCCGATACTTGCCTTTTCTCTCCTTTCCTCACAAGCTCAGAGTAAAAATGGACTGGGCTTAACCTTCAGGGGTCCTTTACTTTTACAACCTCAGAGTAATGACTTATTGTCTGGGTTTTGTCACACCATAGTTTTACCAAAACATCCAAACTGACAAAACTATGATTTGCACTTGAGCAAGGGAAGGAAGGAAGTTAACATGCAAGCCCAAAGCTCCTTCCAGGATTATTCCTGCGGTGCCAAACCATAATTTGGCATTTTGGCCAAATGTAGAGAAAACTGAATTATCTTAATTTGGTTAATTCCTTGACAGGAGGTAAGGTATCTTACTGAGTTTATTTAAACGATAATACCACATTGGGAAACTTTCCAGGTATCACACCCGGCAGCCCTAGTGTTGGAACGGCCTTCACCAAAGAGAGCTTATCAATGCAAAATTTAGTTGAGCTGAACTTGATGAATATCAAGTGAGATCCAATTTCTATATTCTTAATGGCAATTTCCCTATATATGTTCTGGGGGTTTCTAACATTCTCCACACTATACAGTACATTATGGTTTTGTGGTTTTGTGGGGAATAGCTATCTCCAAATGGGGATCAGGTCAGATAAATTTGTTTGACAAACATCAAAACCACAACATGGAGGGGGAAGACCTTCCCATTCACCACCAAGAAAATAGCCAATAATTCCTCAGAATAAAAGCAACTCACAACTACTGTAGGTTTAAGTCTACTGAAAGAGGAAGCAAAGTCCTATGTACAACTTTACAGACAGGGTTTCCTTAGTCTTGGGAATAACTTATATAAGGGTGGCAAACCTGCAGACCTCCAGACATTAAGATCATAAGCCAAAGGTCTATCTATTCCAGCATCCTGTTCTTACAGTGGACGATCAGATGCCTATGGGAAACCTGCAAGCACAAGAGAACTCTCAGCTGCGACTCTCAGCAACTGATATTCAGAGGGAGAAAAACAACTCTGTATTCATTTTCTCTACGCAGGGGTTCCCAACTGGTGGCCTGCTGACCACAGAGGGTCCACGTAACCCACCCACGAGATTTGTGACGCCATTCACATAACAAAAACTACCATATCAAAATTTTCAAAAGTAGGGAGTCTATGGCTTGGCTTTTCAAAAACAGGGGGTCTGCAGTACTTAGCTAACAGGTAACCACTGCTCTACACCATGTATATTATTGTGTACGAAAAGAGTGTCAAATGTTGTAACCTTTCCACATTGGGGAGGTAATCCTAAATTTGTTTTATGAACCCCAACATGGAATTCAGCTTTTTCACAGCATACTGCACATTGGGCCAACTTCTTCAACAAACTATCTACTACAGCCACAGAGTCTTGTTACTTTTTAGTCACTGCCAGTTCAGACCCCATTACCACATACATAAAATTGGAATTTTTTTGACCCAATGTGTATCATTTGTAAAGGCTTGTAGACATTCAGTGTTGCACTCAGAGTTGTTGCAATCAATGTCATTACTAACTTAAACGTTTATCAATTTCAACAGGTTTATCTGAGTAGGACTTAGCTGGATACACCCCTTGGCACTTGTGGCTACCTTCTGTAATCATGCTATCAATCAGCAGGACATATTCACAGACAATGCATTTGGAATCCGGATATAAAGCTGCCATAATTGTTAGCAGCCTAGTAATTAGAAAAAGGAAAAATGCAGAAGAGGAACAATTTCATATAAATTCTCCTCCTCTCCCTGAATCAACTTGAGCACTGAGACATTCTCATGTTGAGTCATTTCTATGCATGGTTGGCGAGTATATGTGTGAGATTGAGATAACGCTGTCAATCTCACTAGACAAAGTAATGTCTAGCTACAACTACAAAGGCCCACAATTTAGAAGAGTGCCATTAACTATAGAAATTAAGTAAGACTGATGAACACTGAAGAGAATTCCCAGTGAATATGCGTGATGATATTTCTTAAACCCTTTGGTAAAGCGAAAAGGCTAGCTTCAAAGAAGAGCACACCTTTCAAAAACACATAATTTATATGACAAACATTATGTGTTTACTATATCCTTGTATTTAAGCGGTGATAGGCAATAAGGAATCGCATGCAAGCAAGTACATGGACTTCTATACTGTATATGAGAATGAGTGGAGAAGGGGCAGAGCTTTTCATCCCTCCTCTACAAGCTTCCAGCAGGCTAACCAGGCTCCCCCCCCCCCGAAGGCTAGTAACATTAATGGGCTTCTTTACAAGGCTGGTTTATGAACAGCTACTCACTTTTTGAACAACTAATGTTTACATGAACTCTAGTTGTAGTCACTTGAAATGTCAGCATTCGTGTGGGTGTGTATGTAGTAATATTCACAGAACTACACTTCTTAGAAATTCACTGATTACTAACAGTAAACATCACGTGACAAATACAACACACACAAAAGTTGGACACAAATTAGGCAACAAGTAGGAATCGTTCCCAGAAAATGTAGAAATATAGAAGCCTAGAATGTTAGTAGATTTCTTAGAAAGGCTCTTTTGTAGCCAAGAGGAGCAAATTCTTAAAGGAATCTATTCCAGATTTCCTAGTACAGGCTTTGTTGTTGTTAATTTATTTTCAACAAGTAAGTAAAATAATAAATATATGAGGGGTGGCCAACTTGGTTTCTGCCAATAGCTGTGGCCTACAACCAGGGCCCACCAAAACATTTTGGCACCTGAAATGAAGGAAGAAAGAGCGAGTGAAAATCTCCATTAGCAACAAGGGTGAAGATGGGGAAATAAAGCTCTACATCAGGATCTCTCTCTGTGTGTGATACCTTGCTCTGTGCACTTGTAGTTATGTACTTTTTATTTTTCAATAAAGAATATAAAATTAAGAAATAATATCTACAACAGGATCTGCTGCCTGAGGTGGTCACCTAACCTTGCCTCATGGATGGGCCAGATCTGACTACAACTCCCAAGATCCCTCAGCAGCTGAAGCTGATGGGAAGTGCTGCCCCCAATTTGGAGGGAACAGCATTGTCCACAGGATAATAATAATAATAATTTATTATTTGTACCCCGCCCATCTGGCTGGGTTTCCCCAGCCACTCTGGGCGGCTTCCACAGAAACCCAAAAATACACTAAAATATCACACATTAAAAACTTCCCTGAACAGGGCTGCCTTAAGATGTCTTCTGAATGTCAGGTAGTTGTTTATCGCTTTGACATCTGATGGGAGGGCATTCCACAGGGCGGGCGCCACTACCGAGAAGGCCCTCTGCCTGGTTCCCTGTAGCTTTGCTTCTCGCAATGAGGGAACCGTCAGGAGGCCCTCGGCGCTGGACCTCAGCGTCCAAGCAGAACGATGAATGGATTCTCTTTTCTAATAATAACAGTAATAAATTAAAATGCCCCTTAAGACTTTTAAGTGATGCATACAAGAACCACTATTCTTGGGACAGAGATCTCAAGGCAACAAGTCATTATTATAATAACCTGGGATCTCTGGATAAAGGACGGTACGTAAACTGAATAGCTAATAATTATGGGATACCTCAGTTGGGAGAGCATGAGACTCTCTTTTTTATCTAAGATTTATTTGGTTTTTCAGATTAAAATTTTACAGTCACATATTCAACATACAACATAGAAATAAGATTCCAAGGAATCTCTTGCAATTCCCTCCTCCCCTTTGTTAATCATTTCCTCCTGCATCTTTTATGATAATCCAAATCTTTTATCCCTCCATTGTGTCCAAAATTCACCATTAAACGACGAGTGACATTCCAAGCCTACTAACGATTTTACCCATTTACAGACTCTCAATCTGAGGGTCATGGGTTCAAGTCTCAGGTCGGGCAAAAAGATGAGGCTGGACTAGATGGTCATTGTTCCTTACCTTTCCCGCCCCGACCTGGCCACAGTGATCCATGCGACCGTCACCTCCAGGCTTGACTACTGTAATTCCCTCTACGCGGGGCTGTCCCAGAAACTCCAGCGGGTGCAGAATGCTGCAGCGAGGCTCCTCACGGGGTCTCTGCCTTGGGAGCATATTCATCCAGTGCTTTTCAAGCTGCACTGGCTCCCGGTGGAGTACAGGGTCAGATTTAAGGTGCTGGTTTTGACCTTTAAAGCCCTTCACGGCCTAGGACCCTCATACCTACGGGACCGCCTCTCCCGGTATGTCCCACGGAGAGCCTCAAGGTCCATAAATAGCAACACCCTAGTGGTCCTGGGCCCTAAGGAAGTTAGATTAGCTTCAACCAGAGCCAGGGCCTTTTCCACACTGGCTCCGGCCTGGTGGAACGCTCTGCCTCATGAGACCAGGGCCCTGAAGGATCTGATTTCTTTCCGCAGGGCCTGTAAGACAGAGTTGTTCTGCCTGGCCTTTGGCTTGGAGCCAATTTGATTCCCTCGCCCTTTCTTTTTCCTTTCTCCTCCTGTGATGAGGCTGCATTTTTATATTTTAATGTTTCAATATTTTAATGTTGTTTTTAAGTTGTATTCATTCAACTTGTTTTTATTATTGCTTGTTAGCTGCCCTGAGCCTGGCCTTGGCTGGGGAGGGCGTGGTATAAATAAAATTTATTATTATTATTATTACTATTATTATTGTGGTGCCTTCCAACTCTACGACTCTGTGACCCTATAAAGCCTTTTTGTAAAAAAATAATAATGAGGTAACTAATGCCAAAAAATAATAATGAGGTAGCTAACGCCAAGAAAGGCATCAGTGAAGAGTGGCAGATGGAAATGATGGACTTTGCAAAACTGGCGAAGCTGACGGGAAAAATCCCAAACCAGCACGATCAAGTATTCCAAAATACTTTTTGGAAACCCAGCCAGATGGGCGGGGTATAAATAACAAATAATAAAAGATTGGAGTAAATTTACACAATACAGTCATACCTCGGGTTGAAGTAGCTCCAGGTTGAGCATTTTCGGAACGTGTTACTTCTGGGTTTCGCCACTCGCACAGGCACTTAAAATTACGTCACCGCATGCGCAGAATCGCAATCCGCACATGCGCAGAAGTGGGTTGCGTTCGCTTCAGGAGTATTTGAAAGATCATTGTAAGCAATTAACAACACTAGTAGGGTTATCTGACGACTTGTAATAATTTTTTTTTTACCTTTTTACATTTATTTAAACTTTGAGGTATTTTGTGATGAGTTTTATTAGAACTGGAAAATATATAAAATGCTGTGATATAAAGGTTAATTTTGAAAGCCAAGAGGTGGGAGGGAAGGAAGGCGATAGGCTCTAAAGAGCCACAGAGGTAAAGTGGATAATAATGATGGGATTATATATGTTTAAATGGAAAATTAATAAAAAAAAATTAAAGAAAGGAATAGGGAGGGCCTGAGCAGGGACGTCAAAGGCTTTTTGTGTGTGTTTAAGGCTCCAGTCCTATGCTCGCTGTCCTGGGAGTAAGAACCACGGAACTAAACCAGGCTTACTTCCGAGTAGACCCTGAAGGAAGGAACCCAAGGAAGGGAACAAAGCTGAGCTCGGAAGGGAGGAAATGGGGGGGGGGGGGAGTCAGTCAGCTTCTTCTACCTCCGGCTGCCCGGCGCCTGCCTCCTTCCATCTCCTCGTCAGCCCTTCGCCAGAAAAAAGAGACGACTTTGGAAAACAGGTGGTACATCTTCTCACAAGCCGGCTAGGCGCCTCTCTTGCGCTTCCCGCGCTTTTCCGCCTCCGCCCCACGAAGCGCTGGACACCGAATGACGGGTCGCGCGGGAGGCGGACTGCGCATGCTCGGACCCGCTCTTATAAAGCCGCGCCCTTGCGCCGGCGAGGTAGAACGCGCGCTGGCGCAAGCGCAGTAGCGACGCTCGGTTTCGTTTTCCCGCTCGCGCCTCGGCCGTTGCAGAGCGATTGACGGGGGCGGCAGGTCTTTTGTGGTTAAGCGTTTCCGATCGTGAGGTGACGCTCTACGTTTCCTCAGCAGCTCGTACCTGTACGCTGTATTGTTAACATCAGGGGTGCCAATTTGAATCAAATATTGGGGTTTTTTTTGGGGGGGAGCGCAGGAAAGCCCCGCCCCGCATAATGGATCACATGACACGCTCTTTGAATGGCAATGTCCATCAACTTTGGGGCGGGGGGGGGGGTCCTGGCCACCTCAAATATTTTATTGGGTGGTCGAGGTCCCCTCAGGCCCTAGCAGTTGGCTATTATTATTATTATTATTATTAATATACCGCCCTGTACCTGGAGGTCTCAGGGCGGTTGACAGAATAAAATCAAAATATTATTATTAGCATTAGCATTTGAATTTATATACCGCCCTATACCCAGAGGTCTCAGGGTGGTTGACAGAATGAAATCAAAATACTGTATTATTATTATTATAATTTATATACCTCCCTATACCCGGAGGTCTCAGGGCGGTTCCACAAAATACATAATCAAAATAAAAACAGCAACCCAATAACAACCCCCCCCTAAACCTACATTTTAAAAGGGCATTGGATGCCAATCAAATCAACCAAAGGAATAGAGAATGCATGGGATTGCATTGTAAGTCAGTTTGCAGTGTGTACATTTCCTCATGGATACATTGCTGTGTGTTTTGTAGCATTGGGGACATCAGAGCCTTGTGAGTATGTAAGTGTACAAACTTTGGGCCGGATCCAGATTTAGCCTCTGTGTTGGATCCATTGATACTGCTAAGCTTGACAATAGGTTTTCCATCAGTGGAAAAGGAACAGGTGCAATTTTTGGCATATCCCCTCCAGCCCGCTCCAAAAACTGCTCCAAATGGTTGGGGGACCTTCTAAAACAGATTTCAGGAAATGTGGGAGCGCAGACCCTCCCTGTTTTCCAGGGACAGCTCTGTATTTACAGAAGCCACCCCGGTTTCTGATTTAACCCCGAAATGTCCCACTTTTCCTTAGAATATCCCTATTTTCATTGGATAAATGTTGGAGGATATGGAGTCATGTGACCCCTGAGCCAAGGAGATAAGTAACTATACAACAATACTTAAGTTGTAACTAAGTAACAGAACACATCTGAAGGCAGCCCTGTGTTGGCAAGTTTTTAAAAAAATGTTTTAATTTTTTACAGTGGTGCCTCGCAAGACGAAAAGAATCCGTTCTGGGAGTCTCTTCGTCTAGCGGTTTTTTCGTCTTGCGAAGCAAGCCCATTGATGGGATTAGCGGATTAGCGCTATTAGCGGCTTTTAGCGGCTGTTAGCGGCTTTTAGCAGCTGTTAGCAGCTTTTCAGCTTATCAGATACGCAGGTCAGCGGCTTAGCGACTTAGAAAAGAGGGGGAAAAGGGGAAAAACCCCAGGAACTCGCAAGACATTTTCGTCTTGCGAAGCAAGCCCATAGCAGATTCGTTTTGTGAGGCACCTCCAAAACGGAAAACTCTTTCGTCTAGCGAGTTTTCCGTCTTGCGAGGCATTCGTCTTGCGGGGCACCACTGTATTAATATTTTTATACATGATAAAAACCTCCTTGAGTGGCTAGGGCCACACAGTCAGATGGGCAGCGTGTAAATAATAAAATTATTATTAGTAGTAGTATGGAATAGGACGTCCATATTTTCATTGGAGAAATATTGGAGGGTATGGGGAGGTTGCAGTGGCAGAAATCACGAAGAAAAGTTTCTCTCATTCTGATGGAAATCTTACTGTCAACTGATCGACACTGTTGAATACAAACCAATGTTCCTCATGCAAAATCTTGTGGAAAAGCCCATGCTGCACAATGTTACAATGGAGAAATGCATACAAAACAAAACTCACAAACCCAGCAACATAGAACAATTCCCATGTGCATGAGGTGCCTTCAGATGGTGTGATGTATGCCACTTTATGTAGCAAGTTTTAACTCAGGTGTAACTGCATAAATTCAGAAAGACTAACCAACCTTTTAATAAAAAAAAAGTAAGATAATACTGTGGGATGTTTACAAACATTTCACATTTTGGCCTGAAGTTGATTTTTAATCCTATTACAAGTTGACTAAAATTCAGAAACTGTTTAGCTCATTAGTGTCGTAACACTACAGAGACAGATAAATTAATTTTTGGACTCCCAAACATACTTTGTACTTGATGAAGTATTAATTACCTTCAAAGAAATTATTTTTGCTGTAATAGTGGCAGATGCCCTCTTTTTAGAAGAAAGATTTTAAAATAGTTCCCTTAAAATGAGCAAATATGGAAAGTGTATAGAATTAGTAATACCCATTGCATTCAATGGGATTTACTATAAAAGCTTGTCCGGATACGTAGAACGTCCACTGAAATCTGTGAAACTTTCTTCCAAGTGAACATGTTTAGGATTTAATTACCTTTTATGTTCAAGTTCCCCCCCCTCCTGTGATCACACATTTTACAATTTTGCTAGCTTTTGAGGATAAAAGTTAAATAGTTTAGCGAGAACAGCTAATTACTGTACAATTCTATACATGTCTACTCAAAAGTAAGTCTTACTGAGGCCTACTCCCAAGTAAGTGTGTATAGGATTGCAACTTCATGACTATCATAAGATATAATTTGATTAAACTGTGTATTAAGTATTTTAAACATCAAAGATAGTTTGTATCTTTGTCATATTGAAACTTTTGCTTCAATTTTTGCTTGCCCTAAGACAATTATGGAATCAGCCTTGTGAGAATATGGTACAGTAATTTTCTAGTATGTTCTCTTCATTAAAATTCAGTTGGCATTTCCCTGTTCTCTGGCTTAACTGTGGTCTTTGCTGTGCTTTTGTTCCATGTATGAATAGACCTTGTTGAAAGCCAAAGTAGAAGAGCAAACTTTTCAAAGGCAGCATGAATCACTAAGCAGTGAGACTATAACAAAGTGTACGGACAACTTTACTCACAAAACTATTCAAAGTTGAATATTAATTTCTCAGTTTAATGTAAGTATAACAGATTTTAACAACTGGTAAATATGTGGTTAAGTTTTAGTAATCGGTATACTCCATAATTATTCTAAGTGAGTTGGGGGGATAAGTAAAATGGATAAGTTGCATTTATATAACAACAAACAATTTTGTCATGTCATCAAGTACTGTATGCAGTGTGTTTTTAATGCAATCCTATACATTTAATGGGACGGGACTTACTCCCATCGAAGTATGTATAGGATTGTTGTCATAATTGTGCTTATTTCCCATTCTGTTGATAATTATGCAGAAGTGAATGTTAGGAAACTATATATGTGTGTGTGTATATATATATATATATATATATATATATATCAAGCTCTTTCTAAAAAGTAGAAGTTGTTAAATGGTTTGGATATATTGAATTATACTCATTTAATTTGTTGTATGCTGGCCTATATGAAATATTAAGTATAATTGTTGATTTGTTTGCACACTGGGGTTGCTAAATATGATTAGAATGTAGAGTACAGAATTGTGCACTAATGTGAAATAGTTATTCACTGTGCAATCCTATTATACCCATTTAACTCAGTGGGACTTCTGAGTAGACATGTATAGGACTGAGTGGTGATTAAAATTATCTTCAGTATTTAATAATTCACAATTCAGTCTCTTTTACTGTCTTGGAATGGACTTTCGAGTATGAAAATTGTTAGGAACACAGCTTAATAATGTGATCCTAGCCATGTTAATGTGAAAGTTCTGTAGAAATATGTAACTCGAAATACATTGAAGTAAAAAAGAAGGTTCTTAGCTCAAGATCCCTGAACATATATAGAAACAATGTAAGATTTATTGGGAACTCCAAATTCAGAAATAAAAGGAACATTTATTTTCACTTTAAAGCACCATGACCAAGGAGGAATCTTACAGGGAAGAATTTAGTTATGACAGAATGCCAACCTTGGAGCGTGGAAAACAAGAGAATGGAAATTATGTTCCAGATATTAAATCAAGCGACCTTCAACTATCAAAGAGGTTTCATCCATGTTTTAGTTATAAAACATGGATATATTCTTTGCTGATGGGGGTAAGTATGAAATATTATCCCGGCCTGGTCAGGGCTGAATAGGTAAGGTTGTACTGGGCAAATATAGTAGGTTAATTTTTATCACATTATTACCCATGTCATTAAATCTGTTTGAAGTTGGAAAGTTTTGATTTTCTAAAAGTAGTATTTACTGGAATTAAGCCCTACCAGTGCAAGCCTAATAGTATGGCAAAATGATGCAATTGTCACAGAGGGCTGGGTCAAAGGTAAAGGATCCCTGGACGGTTATGTCCAGTCAAAGGTGACTATGGGGTGCAGCACTCTTCTCGCTTTTCAGGCCGAGGGAGCTAGCATTTGTCCACAGACAGCTTTCCGGGTCATGTGGCCAGCATTACTAAACAGCTTCTGGTGCAATGGAACACCATGATGGAAACCAGAGTGCATGGAAACACTGTTTACCTCCCCGCCACAGTGGTACCTATTTATCTACTTGTACTGGCGTGCTTTCAAACTGCTAGGTTGGCAGGAGCTGGGACAGAGCAATGGGAACTCACCCGTTGCGGATATTCGAACCGTCGACCTTCTGATCGGCAAGCCCGATGTCAGTGGTTTACACCACAGCGCCACCTTCGTCTGGTGCCAGCCCAATAATATGGCAAAATGACACTATTGTCACAGAGGGCTGGTGCGGGACATGACAAACTGGTGCTCTCCAGGCTATGTTCTCACCTTATTAACCGCTTGCCTGTCCAGCCAGGTGGTGAGGCAGGCTCTCTGCTGCCCTTTCCACTACTCCTCTCTGCCTTCTCTCTTGCACTGAGAAAAGGATAAAGGGGTCTTTCTGCAGAATAAGGCCTTCTCGGCAGGATGACCAGGAGAGTGCCATTTAGGTCCCTTCCAACCTAGCGGAAAAAGAGTTTTTAAGTATTCTGCCTTGCTTGCCTTTAACTTCTGGAATTTCAACCAGTTGGTCTTCAACCACATATGGTTGAAATTGCACGAGTTAAATGTGCGTAAGATTGGATTGTATTTTAAATTGTGCAGGTAGCATAAATTCAAGGTTTTCAAAACCTTTTCAACCGATATGGACCATGCATGTATAAACCACACAAATGACTATAATGCACAATGGTTACCACTGAAATAACATTCCTTAGTTTGACTTTTTTTGTAGGCTTGTTTGTTTGTTTTCTGAGTGTGCTAGTAATTTTATTATAGTTTGTAGTTTTATAACTGGCATTTCTAAATGTCTAAGTATACATAGGTTGCAATCCTATATATACTCACCTAGGAGTTAATTCCACCCAGTTTTTGGCACTTGGTGTGTTTTGAAGCATGTGATGAATTTGTAGGATGTATGAAGTGTTAGAAAGGGACGTGGGTGGCGCTGTGGGTTAAACCACAGAGCCTAGGACTTGCCGATCAGAAGGTTGGCAGTTCGAATCCCCGCGACGGGGTGAGCTCCTGTTCCTCGGTTCCTGCTCCTGCCAACCTAGCAGTTTGAAAGCATGTCAAAGTGCAAGTAGATAAAGAGGTACCGCTCCGGCGGGAAGGTAAACTGCATTTCCGTGTGCTGCTCTGGTTTGCCAGAAGCGGCTTTGTCATGCTGGCCACATGACCCGGAAGCTGTACACCGGCTCCCTCGGCCACTAAAGCGAGATGAGCGCTGCAACCCCAGAGTCGGCCATGTCTGGACCCAATGGTCACAGGTCCCTTTACCTTTACCTTTATGAAGTGTTGGGGAGGAGTGGTACCTCTGGTGGGTCACACATCATGCTCCTGAGGTAGCATAGGCGCCATCTCGTGCTGAAGATTGTGGGTGCCTGCAACAAAGGGCTTCAACTTTGCCCATTGACTGGGAGGGCAGCCCCCACAAATATATTATTGTGGGTGCCGAAGTTGGCTCCAGTGTGAGGTAGTTTGCCCAGCTTTGTTCCCCAACCTGCACTCAGCTCTCACCCATGGCTCCTAGAAGCTGTCAGCATGTGACAGCAGCCACACCCCAGGAAACAGCTTTGACTGGCCGGCCAAACCAGGTGAAGGTAGCCGATGGGTATCAAAGCCTCGGTGAGTTAGGGACTTACCCTGCGTGCGAAGACAGGCTCTAGCAGATTAAGCAAATGAGACCAGTAGTTGGTCCAATGGTCAAGAAAGTGGTTTCTGCACGTACTGTAGAAGGAAGTGAGGGGCAGATGGGAAAGTAGCCCTTCCCATCTGGGAAGTCAACCTGGGAGAAGGAAAACTCTGATCCTAAACCTCTGCTGTTTTGCGGGATATCATTAGGAGAAGAAAAGTCCAAGGAATAAACCCAATACGAGCTGGTGGCAAACATTTCAGCGCGGTCGAGAGGGAGGGCGAGTCTTGCTGTTTGGGCAACCCAGGACCTCCATACACACTGCCCAGGCTTGCACCCCAGGGAGGTCAGCTAACACTGCGGTTTGACTTCACCCCCAGAGGTCGAGATAGACGGATGCCAACAACAACATGAGAATAAAAGTGAAAAATATAGTTCTTGATACTTCTTGGGAATACTGTGGCTATAATAATTTAAATAATATAATATGCTTGCTTATTAACAGAAAATGTTAGGCACTGAAGCTGCTAGCACATGATAGTTGCAAAATAAATGTTTAGTAGTAGCAGTAACAGAAACTCCTGAGGATTTCCCCTGAGTACTGTACTTTGTTTAACAAGAACTACTAAAAAAATACTTAGAATGCTTCACTGCATAGCCACAAGATGTAGACAAGCTGTCTTTGCTGCGAAGTTTCATTGTTTTGTTAAGCATGCCTGCCAAGAAAGGAGCTTATTTTCTTTAGTTAACTTTAATTTACTGCTTTAGTAAGATTTTCTTTTTCCTAAATTGTTGCTGCGAGTGACAGCTAACTGACATCTTTTGCTAAATTCTTACTGTCAATAGAGGAAGCATCATAAAGAGTTCCACTTATTTTTATGAACATACTGAGCAATTTCAGTCTATTCAAAGACAATGATTCCAGCTAAAATATATAGACTCTACAACACTGAGATTCCCAAAGATTGCTCGTGCTTGGGAGTAAAATATACGATAAGGAAGAGAGATGACAAGCATTAGAAAAGGCTGAAAGAAAGAATTACAGAGACTAAGGGTGCTTCCAGGCGACCTGTTTAGCCGGCATTTATCCTGAGTTGTTTGTAGGGAAATTAGAAAACGTTGGCTGTTTAATGAACATTCACTCTAATTTGTTTGCAGGGAGGCTAGACAATGTGGTATCAAAATGTTATCACACACTTTCCATTGCATTTTTCTTATCACATCACAAAAGTCTGATCTTTTGGGGAAAACAAGTCTGTTATGCAAGACCTCCCAGTCATCTATAATTGTGCAAGCAGAATTTACCTGTATGTGATTGAATCCCACCCCAAAATAGCAACAGTCTGGAACTATCCAAATAAACTGTTTGGATGATGCTTATTACTCTTACCTCTACATTCAGTGAGATTAGGAGTGAGCAGAGGAATTGCACACCCCTTCCCATTGTGTGAAGAAGGTAACAGCTGAATTTCTGTGGCATTTCCCAACATTGTAGACTCAGGGAAAATCCTGCTTTCAAATAAATGTGGGCTCACCCAGTGCAACATTACTCTCTTTATATAGTGAGGGGTAACTGATGAATGAGGTATACCCAATATTTACTTTCGTTCTCACCATACATAGAGGTGAGTAGAAATATATTGTACAAAATGGCCAAAGATGCAAAAGGGAGGCCAGTGGGAAAGAACATTGTGGAGGCGCTAAAACTCTTTAAGTATGAAGAGTCCTACTTAAATCCTCTCTGAGGACTGTATAAAGTGACGTGCGAAATAAACATTTTATCAAGGATTCCCAACTTGTAGGGTAGAACTATATGAAACAGTATGGACACAACTTACTCACATTTAACTTGTGTGCATTCAGCTTTACATGCTTGGCTTTATTTTTAATTTAAAAAGGGGCAGATATACAGGGGGGGGGGGAGAATTCTGGCAATCTCACCCGCCATTGCTAGGGTTGCCATACGGACATAGCCAGAATACTGCAGTCAGAAGCAGTGTCCAGGTGGAAATCGCAAAAATGTCTGGGAAAATCCGAATGTATGGTGACCCATGTCGGCAGAGTCGTTTTTGGTGATTTCCCTTTAAAATAGCTCAAAGGACTTCCTTTTTCCTTTACTTTTGCTATTTAGCCATAAGAGCTCAACAACTTTGTTCCCCTGATTTTTACTTTTTGAAATATGGCAACCTTAGCCATTGCACCCAATGTGTTATGACTATACACAATTTTGGCTTTAGGTGCAATGCCTGGAATGTAAGTTGTGGTCTATATGGCCTCGGCCCAGTATACCTGAAGGAGCGTCTCCATCCCCATCATTCTGCCCGGACACTGAGGTCCAGCTCTGAGGGCCTTCTGGAGGTTCCCTCACTGCGAGAAGTGAAATTACAGGGAACCAGGCAGAGGGCCTTCTGGGTAGTGGCACCTGCCCTGTGGAACGCCCTCCCATCAGATGTCAAGGAAATAAACAACTATCTGACTTTTAGAAGACATCTGAAGGCAGTCTTGTTTAGGAAAGTTTTAAATGTTTGATGTTTTATTGTGTTTTCAATATTCTGTTGGGAGCCGCCCAGAGTGGCTGGGGAAATCCAGCCAGATGGGTGGGGTATAAATAATAAATTATTATTATTATTATTATTATTATTTACTGTACATGTAGTTTTGAGTTGTGAATTTAGAGCAAAGAAGCGGCCATGGGGTGGGGGAAATGAGAGGGCTCAACTCTCTGCTTCTTTACATCAAGTTTCTCAAGTTTTTCCCCTGTCTCAGATATGGATCTAAACTGATATTTGGCATCCTATTAAAATCCTCAGATGTAGCATGTAAAAGCTACATGTAAATGAGGATGAAGTGTGTACAATTTGGAGAGCAGGAGTAGCAAATCAGGCAAGGTTAGCCACCCCCTCCCTCTCACTTCCCTCCCTCTCCCTCTCACACAGAGCAAGTGCTTGTTTTGTGTGAATCTTCCCACAAATCCAATGTATTTATTGATATCTATTTTTATTTAGTTAAATACGAACACTTCCTAAGTTGTTACTCTTTTATATTGTTGCCAAGTCATTGCATAATAGTTCTAGAACTTTGCAGCAAGACAACATGTTCTTTTGACTTATAAAGATCTTTTGATGTTTGGTATCAGTATCATTAACACAGAGAAACAATTGTTAATGGTTCTAGTATTTGTATTTTTGAAAAGAACTGCCAATTCTCATGAAGTTGCTTAGCTATATAATTTATGCTAATAAAGTAATGTAATTTCTTCATTTCAGACTTGCATCCTTGTTACCTCTGGATTTTCACTTTATTTGGGGAATGTTTTTCCTTCTGAAATGGATTACTTGCGCTGTGCAGCAGGTTCAGTAAGCATTCCTTTTAATTTCTGTGGCTGTCTAGAAATATAAATTAGAAATATAATTCAATTTTCTCATTTTCATTATGCTTCAAAAGCCTTATCTCAGATATACCACTTGATCCAGAATTAAACTGCTAACACATGCTCTCTTTAGATAATTCCTCACTCTTGATTTCAGAGAAATTGTTTGCTTTAAAATAATTGGCAGCAGCTTGCCAATTAAACACTTGGTTTCTCCCCCCCCCTTTTGCTTTATAATAGCAGATGCAACGTTTAGTTATTGTGTGTTATTTATTTTCAAATAAACAATGTAATGAAACATCACATGAGCAAATATCAGGGGCACAGAGAATCATATAAATTTCCTTCTCTCTCCGTGTATATTTGTAAGCATGAAGCTAGGGTTGTGTAAGTAACTTTTATCTCTGGATGATGTCTTTTGAGTTTTGTTCTTAGTGTGTTCTCGTGTGCACACACACAAAAGGCCCTGATTCAGTTAAATTAGTTATGACACCAATGGGACTTGAGTGAGTTATGTCCAAATGATTCTCTTAGCTACAGTGGAAGTTTAAAAACCCAGTCCTATGTATTCTATCCTTTCTTACTGCAACATGGAAGACATTGACTTTATCAATTCATGTATTGCCAATGAGCAACTGATGTTTAATCTTGTGGACCGCCCTGAGATCTACAGATGAAGAGAAGTATATAAGTATTATGAATAGTAATAATAATAATTTCTTCTTGGAAGTAAATCTCCTGGCATATTAATGAATGCATCAGAGTGTAGCCCTAAGTCATGGATAGTTCAAGTGGATAGGAGCCAAATTCTGTGACAATTCAGTGTGAACGGGACTCTGTGCTTTGGGTGATTTTAGATGATGAGAAAGTGGGGCTCAGTTGTCACACTGGAATCATCCAAGACATGCTCTCAAGGGTAGGCTCTATACTGAAGTCAGTGAGTATAAATGAAGATGGGTGTCTACCATTGTTGACTAGGTCAAGTAACAGGAGGAACTGTGACAGATTTACAGGTTCTAAAGTGGCTACAAAAGGCCCGCTCAGTTGATCCAGAAACAGAATTAGAAGGGTGGCATGCACCATGGGCCTTTACTGCTGGTCTTTGCTGCTCTAGATGGCTTGGGCACCGAATAACGGCTTTCTCCTCTTTATGCAGGTGACTCTGTGGTCTAACCCACAGAGCCTAGGGCTTGCCAATCAGAAGGTCGGTGGTTCGAATCCCCGTGGTGGGGTGAGCCCCCGTTTCTCGGTCCCTGCTCCTGCCAACCTAGCAGTTCGAAAGCACGTCAAAGTGCAAGTAGATAAATAGGTACCACACTGGCGGGAAGGTAAACGGAGTTTCCGTGCACTGCTCTGGTTCACCAGAAGCAGCTTAGTCATGCTGGCCACATGACCCAGAAGCTGTACGCCGGCTCCCTGGGCCAGTAAAGCGAGATGAGCGCCACAACCCTAGAGTCGTCCGCGGCGGGACTTAACGGTCAGGGGTCCCTTTACCTTTACCTCTTTATAAAGAGGAAGGACAAGAACATTGCTTCATCCTGTTCTGGTTAGGCTAATCTTGGGGTAGGAAACGCTTTCCCCAGTCATATTGGTGGCGCAAGAGATCCTGCTCCAGTTAGTCGAGTAGTACAACTTCAGGGCAAGAGGAAATGAACTCTGAGAGGGAATAAAGCCTGCTACTGTATCACAAAGCAACCACACCATATTTACCTGATACCTATCTGCCTATATCTCTGTAGCTTAATGGAAAACGGTGCCAACAGGGTGCTGACCAAGGGGCAACAGTTCTGGTCCAGCTGCCTCAAACAGTCAGCTGCATCTTATCTCTCTGCTATTCACAGAAAACCATTGACTATGTTGGATGGGAGTTGGAGTTCAACAACATCCAGAGGGCCACTCGTTCCTCATACCCACCTTGGTATCAAGCCTTCCAAGTTCCATTAAACATTTGCTCACTGTACAGTCTGAAAGAATTATTGTTGTTGTTGTTGTTTAGTCGTTTAGTCATGTCCGACGCTTCGTGACCCCATGGACCACAGCACGCCAGGCACTCCTGTCTTCCACTGCCTCCCGCAGTTTGGTCAAACTCATGTTCGTAGCTTCGAGAACACTGTCCAACCATCTCGTCCTCTGTCGTCCCCTTCTCCTTGTGCCCTCAATCTTTCCCAACATCAGGGTCTTTTCCAGGGAGTCTTCTCTTCTCATGAGGTGGCCAAAGTATTGGAGCCTTTGCTTCACGATCTGTTCTTCCAGTGAGCACTCAGGGCTGATTTCCTTAAGAATGGATAGGTTTGATCTTCTTGCAGTCCATGGGACTCTCAAGAGTCTCCTCCAGCACTATAATTCAAAAGCATCAATTCTTCGGCGATCAGCCTTCTTTATGGTCCAGCTCTCACTTCCATACATCACTACTGGGAAAACCATGGCTTTAACTATACGGACCTTTGTTGGCAAGGTGATGTCTCTGCTTTTTAAGATGCTGTAGAATTAGGCATTCTTAAACACATTTATTTCAGTGAACTGAGTTTAAATGTGTCCATCCCTGTATTGGATTGTGGCCATTGTGGATTTTGTTAAAACAATGTTCTTATTTTCTGTTATGATTATTTTTCATATCTGTAGCACTTTTCAGGGTGCATTCATTGCACCATGCATCATGTGTGTCACAGGGCTTTTGGATGTGTTTAACAAACATTCACCTTCCCGTCACTCCATGGCAAATCACTTTTGAAACAGAGTGTAGGTCTCAAAAAAAAAAATGTGTTTGGGTTATTTGGGGTCTGCTGTTTTGTTTTAAGTCAGTGGTCCCCTCTCATGTGCTAAAGCCCTTGGGAACATCTTAAGTAGATCTTTGGATTGTGACTCTTATCTTTATCACAGTTTATGTTTAGGGCAGTAGTGGTAGGTAATCTGCAGCCTAATTTCAAAAGCCCTCTGCAAGTTCATGCTTGCCAGAAGAGATGAGGGAGGAAGAGACAGAAAAAGTGGGTTTCAGAAAGAGAAAAAAACAAACAAACAAACAAAAATGTAGCCTGAAAGATAATGGGTTTGCCTAAATTATCCAAAAGCTTTATGGGTGAGATGAGGCTTTTGCTGTGATTTACTATGTTCACATAGGCAAAGTATGTCTATTCTATACTCAGTGGGAAATTTTATTATTCATGAAATTCTAGTTTAGTTAGTAAATTGTACTCTTAATTTTCATTAATTTCTCTCCAGTGTATTCCCTCAGCAGCTGTGAGTTTTGCCATAGCCCGAAACAAAGTTAATGTGGTAAGTACTTTATAAGCTTGGAATGACTGTTAACACTTAATTTCTTTAATTAAAGCAAAAATGAAATATTCTTAATGTGTGTGTGTTGTTTTTTGTTTTTGTTTTTACAGATACCCAATTTCCAGATGCTGTTTGTTTCTACATTTGCTATTACCACAACATGTTTAGTTTGGTTTGGATGCAAACTTGTCTTGAACCCTACAGCAGTAAATGTGAGTTCTTAACAATAAAGATTAATTCTATAATTAGTTTATTTGATATTGAGTTTGCTTATTTTGTTCATTGTATATATATAATCTTTCAAAAAGTTAATCAGACACTACTTAGGCACTATTTCATAATTTGCTGCTTTTGTTTTTAAATCTGAAGAGACTTTATAGGAAAATACTTTTAATGTTTTAATGCTGGCATGTGTTTGGGCATTTCATTTTCGCTTCTTTTCTTGCTATATTATTATTGGTTCTTCAAGTTCAAGCAACAAATGATCAAACATATCAAACAGATTGCTAGCAATTCTCATTCTCAAAACTCTAGGTATAAAAAATTGAGCGAGCTGTTCTAGGCCCGATTCAAAAGTTGCATTTGCATTATGCTAGCCATTGAAAAACCATAACTGTGTTGATCCTGTTCCACATGGAAGGTTTGTGTGAAATGGTTCCCTATATGGTTCATCCAGTTTTAAGTATGCCAATGCAAAGCCCCTGTTTAGAGGGGCTAAACTAGAATGGTTAGCCAAACTTCATGAGAAGCCACAACAATGGTGCTCCCATGGTTCCATTTTTCATTGCAAGTGCTCCATTGCAAAGGTCATGCTCTGGATTGGACCGGGTGACATTATAGTAATTATGTAGATAAGTTTATGTTAATCTAAAAATTTTTAATACCTTTTATGCACAGATAAATTTCAACTTGATTCTCCTCATTCTACTGGAAATTTTCATGGCAACTACTGTAATAATTTCAGCAAGGTTTAACGAGGAGTGCTGCAGGAGGAAGAAAGTAAGTTTTTCCTTAAATATTTCTAAAATAGCCTAAAGGCTTTCTACAATCTCTACTTCATATTTGCATACTGCCTCAGAAACATAGTCACTGTGATTCTGTCATATAGCTATGATATCATATGCCTGTGTACTACTGAATATTGGGGGTTTTGGGGTGCATTTCTGCTGGGAATAACTCTTTTTTTCTGTATTTTATATGAGCATTACAGATTTCATACAAACATCTTTCTGGCAGTGAGATCAGGAGCTTCCTTTTTCCTTTCCGGTTAGCACATGCTACTTTCAAAGATTATCAGTGCAATGCAACCCCACTTTGTACTGGGCTCGGGGGTGGTGGATTGGACAGAGATACTCTTCTGTCTAGTCTTGCCAGTCTTCACTGTGAAGTAATGCCAGCATTATTCTGCTGGCATGGAGCTTCTTGTTTGGCTCACCAAATGGGGCATGGAGGGACTGAGCCATCCCAAGCCAGCCTCATAGTTGTCACATGATGGCATTGGGCCTGATGGCTGCATCAACTCCAGGCTGGCACCCCACCTTTTGCCCAGGCAGGTACATGCAGCAAGGATGTGGATGTAACTGTGACTCTGCCATTCAGTTAAGCCCCACCAGGCAGTGGCCAAGGTTTACGTTGCATCCTAAATCAATATCCACATTGTAACATCTACAAGTACAGAAAATCTATCTTTGCTGTAGCAATTTTCTTGTGAATACACTGGGCCTGTATAGTTATATATAGTTCAGGCAGTCCAACATCTCCATACGATGTATTGTCTATAGCAGTGATGTCCAAACTTTTTTCAAAAAGGGCCAGATTTGATGAAGTGAAGGGCCGTGAGGGCTGACCAAAGGGATAACCAAAGTTGCTGACCATTTTTTAGGATTGAAGTTGTTGAAGTTTTTTTAGGATTTTACCCCAGGAAATAAACTGCCACAGGGGCCAGATTAAACCGACCAGCGGGTCGGATTAGGCCCCCAAAATGGACTTTGGATGTGCCTGGTCTATAGCTTTGCTAGCATATTAACCCATGTAGATATATGAAAATTACAGAACACAAGGAAACGGGGAGCTACAAAATGAAACAGCCTTATTTCACCTTAAAAACTAACAAAACTTGCTTGCAGTAGAAGAGTAAGACTAAAATTCTCAAACAATGTATTCTATCTAGCTAACCTTAGGTAGTTGAATGATTTTTCCTCCCTTAGCACAATATGCGTACACGAGAAAAGAGAACTGAAAGCTGTGTCGGTGTTAGCACAAGGTGTTGCACAATTTCTTGGACAAGGTCTTTCACAACATCTCAAGATGCACACTTGAACTCCTTGTTGTGCCTAGTTTTCTGCTAGCTATTGCTTAACAGTTTGCAGAACAGTGCAGCTGCCAGAATTTCTTTCATTGCACTATCTCTGGAACTAATCCCCTATCTATGTAATCCTCCCTCTGAGCAAGCTGTTTTATGAATGGTATTGACATTTCAGCTGCAGTACTTCAGCATGAGTGGGTCATGTTAATGAACAGGCATATTTGTGTACATATACGTACATGTGTAGCTATGTAGATGGATAGATTTGTATATCTTGACAGGGAGAGAGGGAGAAATTATGCTGGTATGTCTTGTATTTTAGTATTTTATGCACACAGATGGAAGCAGCAGGAGGAAAAGGTCCTTTTCACATAAAACACACACAGCTATGTGTGTTATGGGTTGCATGAGTTCAAACATGAATTCCCTTTTAAGTTTTTAAACATAAAGTCGTAAGTTACCAAGTTGTAAGTTCTTCCAATCTGCGGGTAGCTTCTACACCCAGATGACTAATGCTTGGTTAATAGTTTATTTACTCTGATCATCTTTTCCCCCCTTTTAGACGACAATGTATGATAGTGCCATCACATTGAATAATGTCAGCTTTCCAGCACGGATCCTAAAATCCTATTCAGTAAGAGATCTTTGTTTTATCAGTCTCTAAGAATCTGCTATGAATTATATATAATTTTATATAATATATTTTTATTATATAAAAATCCCAAGCAAATTCTTCTTCTTTTTTAGGTAATTGAAGTGATTATTGGAATTTCTGCTGTGTTTGGTGGAATAATAGCTTTGAATATGGATGTGCTAGTCTCAGGGCCATATCTTTCAGTAACTTTCTTTTGGATTTTAGTGGCTGTAAGTATTACATCATTGAATATAACATTTTATAAACTGTTGTTCACTTTGATGAATAACAGGTTTTTAAATGTACCATCAGTGTCTTATACATATATATTAGGAACATTCTACTTATTCTTGTAAAACTGTCACACTTTATTATTAACAGCATTTGTACACCTTTAAGTAACAACATTCTGTACAGATAAGAAAGGCTGGTACTCTTGAGCAGCATTCAACCAACTTGCTTCATCTACACAATGATTTCTGCTTGTGCAGTGGACTTTCCCCCTCCTCTTCCTGTGTGCACCCCTCCCCAAATCTGTTCTGGAGGGCTGGGAGAACCCCCAGAAGAGATTTAGGGTATGCAGGCAGGGAGGAGAGAGAGGAAAAGGTTCTGTTGCACAAGTGGAAATCCTTGTGCTGAGAGTATGAATTAATTGAAAGACCACATGGTGTCTTAATTTACAGGACTATTTGGAAAAGAGCCCAGGTCCTTTGTAGTCAGGCATATTAAAAAAAACAACAACTAGATTCAGAAAGGTGTGTGATCTAGTAAAAATCAAGGAATATGAATCAGAAAAAAGAACAAATAGCTTAACGAGAGATTCTAGCATTTATCCAGGGTCTGTTTCCTTAGAATGAAGGCCGTTGGTTATTTAGAATATGTGGTCTTATTTACACATATATACAACCTGAGTACAAGATGGAGGGACTCACTTCATTAACAGTCTAACACAAAGTCTAGCTCTTTGCTTCTTGTTCTCCTTCGCACAAGGTGAAGTGGCATTCAGCCAGGTGAGGGGGGGGGGCTTATTCCCTCCTCCCAGAAGCAGCATTAATTAGCATTAACTTGTTTCTATAGCATTATGGCTAACTATTTAGACACGTTAAAAATGTATTTACAAGTCTGGCAATGACCATTAACTTAAAAGAAACTAGTTTGATCAGTTCAGCAGTTACTTCCAGTGTAGACCATGTCTTACAGATACACAATTATAGGTTTGGTTGGGACCCACTGGCATCATCCAAACCAATCCTTCAATCCTATATACATACAACATATTGGTGCAGATAAGAGTTTGAGATGGTATATCCCATTCGAGCTATAATCAAATGCCGACTTTTCTAGCCCCATTGAATACAGCTGGACATACCACTGAATAAATGTGCACTGGGTTACTCTTTAAATCAGTTAGGTAGATAGTGTGTATTTTATAATTTTCCAGTGGGCACTAGGACTCTGCAAAGTGGGGCGCATGTTCCTTCTCTTTCTCAAAGCAGGAAAAAGTGTCTTCACTCCAACAGCATCTCTGATTGATTCCCACCCCCCTTACTGGAGTGATAGTTCACTCTCTGGCCAAATTTGCTAGTACTTCAGAGGAGGGGGTCAGTCAGAGATTCTGTTGGAGTGAATCCTGCCTCAAGCAACAGCAGGAATATGTTGCCTATTTGGTGGTGTCCTAGTGCCCCTTGAAAAGCACCCTTTTCCTTATAAAACAACAAGAAATCATTGGAAGTGCAGTTGGGGTAATCAGTATATTTGCTAATAGGCACTGCTCAACCAAAATATATCCTGATTGGTCCTGAACATTTTCTCATATTTAGTTTCTTTTTAGTGTTTTCCCAGTGCCATTGCAAGTCATGTTGCCGCTGAATATCCAAGCAAATGCTTGGTAAGTATATTGTTAAAACAGTCTGGTGGAAGTACTTCAATGAACTGATGCAATCATAAATGTTATGGTGAAAGATTTCAGATTTCAGATTTAGATTTATTATGGCCATTGGCCCATATCAAAAACAATACATCAGAATTTATCCATAAACAATACAATTTAAACAGTTCCAAGTTAAAACACCCTTATAAAACCAATTTTACTTTAGTTAAGGATGGTGAAAATAGGTCCAGTAGAACTTTCTGAAAACTGAACAGCAACTAGACTGATTTAACATTTCTGCCATTTCAAATCTCTTCCTTTGGGCCAGGGAGTGATGATATTTTTTCACACAGTTTATGAAGGAGGCATAATGGAATCATTATCTTCTGGGTGTACAGTGATGCCTTAGTGATCTCCAAAAAATTGGCTTTATAGATGTTTATGTTTCTTCAAAAACTGATTGGATAGGAAATTAATAGTGGGTCAAAATGCTCTGTACTACGTCCAAAAACATTGCAATCCTTATTTATTGCACTTTGATGCTCTCCATTCCATCCAAAATGTTACCATCTGCTACATTAGCTACATAAAGCATAGTGAGAATTCTTTACTGGCTCACATACAGTATCAAACTTTATGATCTTTTCTTTCACTTGCTCTGTTTTTTTGGCTTTTTCATACATAGTTATATCTCTCCCTATGCTGTGATGCATTTCAAAGCTGGAGAGTCTGTAAGCATTTAATAGTGTAATGCTATGTAATGCTCAAAAATAAGCTCCATTGGTTTCAATGGTACTTCCTAGTAGGTGTGCTTAGGAATGCAGTCTAAGTATATCTGTAATCACTTTTGGTCCCAGCTGCGTGTGTAATGTTTTACTCTCCTTTCCCCCCATATCTGTTTTGTTGTCTTTCTCCCTTATTCACAATTATCCAAAGCACCACACAAATGGAACACAGCATGCAGTTCTTTAGAGGGGACTGGGCCTTTGTCTGGATGTTACGAATACCTTGGGTGCTCTGAATACACACTTATTAATATGAGTTCTAAAATATTCATCATTGTAAATACTTTATACTCCTCATTCACTTTTCCAGGGACTAAGCTCACATTTTGAATTTCTTTTTATGAATAAATTGCAAAAAACTTCATTTATGCAAGCTTGCTCAGAGAAACAAGAATACATACAATATGAATCTTTTTTTAATTAATAACAAATATCTATCTAATCACAATTCTATGTTTAATTTTAGGTAGAAGTCCTGATTGCCATAAGCAGTGTTACATCTCCATTATTATTCACAGCTTCAGGATACTTGTCCTTCAGTATCATGCGAATTGTTGACATCTTTAAAAACTATCCACCAACAGTTAAAGTATGTATTGCTTTTGAATTACCAAGCAAACAATCAATGTATCTTGTCAGTGTATTGTGACCAAGGCCACAATGTTCCATACAAACTACTGCTTTCTATTCTACATAGTCCTAACTTTTATAAATGCTGTGATTCAGGTTTTTTTATGTGTGACTTTGGAACACGTAGGGAGAGAAGTAGGAGTATTGTGTTGTGTGCAAGCAGGATTGCTTTTGAGGCTGAGAAATTGTGAGCCAGGATCAGGAGCCAAAGGGAAGCAAGATCAGAGAGGGAGTGGAGCATATTTAAATTACCTATACATTATTTGGCTGCATTCTTACAGTTTACCATAGCATGCTGGCTAAGTAAAAGCTAGTGAATGTATGTAACATTTCCCCCCTGTGATATCACTTGTGCAATTTCTAGTTCTTGAGATGTTTTAGAGATGCTTATCAGTTGATTGAAATCTGTTTATCTGTTGCTTGCAAATTTGCATCTTGCCAAGAACGTCAGTTTCAGGAAATAATTTCAGTCCTACTGTAAAGCATGACAGGTTTGTTCTTGCCCGGTATGATTACTTAATGTGCTGTGGTAACGGAATGTGCTGGGACTCCCAACCACAGATGTCCAAAACAAAGGTCTCAGCCATTTTAAAATATGAGATACGGAAGCATAGGGTACATGGCCTTTTCCCAAGGTATTATGCTACTACTACTGTTTGAGTTTATGCACTGTCCTTATTCTTGTACACATTGTAATGCATAAATTATTATTTCTTGTGCACTATAAGAGGTGGGGAAGTATAAACTACAACTTCAGTTCCTATAATATCAGGAGATGATTTGCCAATTTATACCCAGCGTTAGCAATTATTTAGAGTAAGTATGTAGTATATAAGGAGTACAGCAGATCTGCCATAATGTTTTGTGGTTTCCCCATAATTTCCCTAATGACTATAAGACATATACAAACTGTGGCCCATAGTTGCTGCTTTCTGCGAGGGAGAACTGGAAGGCGATACAGTGGTACCTTGTTTCTCAAACTTAATCCGTTCAAACTTAATCCGTTCTGGAATTCTGTTCCAAAACCAAAGCGTTCCAAAACCAAGGTGTGCTTTCCCATAGAAAGTAATGCAGAACAGATTAATCTGTTCCAGATTTTTGAAAACAACCCCTAAAACAGCAATAAACAATGTACTGCAGTCACACAATCAGTCAGTAGCTGAACTGGGTTCCACACAGTCACAAAAAAGAGCCACAAAAACGCAAAATAAATAGCAAAAACAGACAGACCTCAGCATAACGCTCAAAATGGAAGTGTGGCACTCAAATCGGAAGCGTAACACTCAAAATGGAGCACGTTTGGCTTCTGAAAAAAGTTTGCAAATTGGTACACTTACTTCTGGGTTTGCAGTGTTTGGGTTCCAAGTTGTTTGAGTACCAAGGCGTTTGAGAACCAAGGTACCACTGTAGGGAGGTTATCAGTGTGCAGAAGCAGTGAATTGGCTCTATCATATCATGTTAACTCCCCTTTCCCTTCTGGTCAGTGGGCAATGAATCTTGCCCAGAGGCTAGGCATGCAATGGCACCCCTCCTTACCAATTGCCTGAGCCCTGAGTGGGAACAAGTGCTGATCATAGCCCTTAGAGACTGCATGGGAGTTGGCAATGGGTGGGCACAGAGAGAGAAGGAGGAATAAGTAAAAATCTGTTTTCTAACAAGTCAAACTATGGAAAAACTTTGTAAATCTGTTTCATTTTGCATTCACATAATAAGGAAATATATACACTTGAATGTGGTATGCCTGGGCATTCACACTTCATATTGGAAAACTCATGCTAATAAATGGTGACAAAATATGCCGCTGACTCCCAAACCAGGACAGAATGGCCTTTAAGGATATAGAAGTTTGATATTGGAAGTAAGGGGAAACCAGAGCATTGCAGGTGCCTCCAGTAAATGTGACCTTTGGAGGCAGAAAAGTGTGTAACAGTTAGCATACCTAAAGGCTAAAGCCTTTTCTATGTGTGTATTTATTTTTTTAGCAGTCTTACGACGTGCTCCTCCTGCTTCTAATGCTGATGCTGTTAATTCAAGCTTTCCTGACTACTGGCACTGTCATATTGTGTGTAAGCTTCAAGGCAAAAATGAAGATGCGGGATTCAGTGTGGGCTGTGCCACAGATGAACAAACAAGAGTACAAAGCAACAGAGGTGAGGGGTGATTTCACTTTAAAATTGGTGTAATCATGGAATGTTGCTGATCATTTCGGTTTCATTGCCAGCACCCATCGCAGTTCTTCTTTAAAATACAGATTTATTTTTTAAGTGAATGTTATATTGACATGGCTAAGTGTGAACGAGCAAACATGTGGGTTCCTAAACTGCAGATTTTGCCTACAGTGCTCCTATTGGAACTAAGCCATGTTGTCTGGAACTAAGCCATGGTTTGGCTTGTGTTACTTCCAGACCCAGGCTCATAGTTCCAGGCAAACCACAAGCTGTAACTAAGTTTGTTCTTGGTTTACCACTTATGCTTAATCTAGGGAGAGGACCTGATTCAGATTGGGACTGCAGTAAAGTGGGAGGGGGGGTTGTTTTAAGTTTTTCCTCCAATGCCATTTTCTCAATGAAAATTTCCCCCTGAAATGGCTAAATTCCCCCAAAGAGAAACTGCTACGTGCCTCCAAAGCTGCCTGGGCAAACAGCAGTTGGGGGGGGGGCATTTTTGGTGAAGAAAATGGCATGAAGGAAGGGGTTAGGTCCCTCTTACCCTGCACTGCAGTCCCAATCTGGATTAGGCATCTTCACTGTTACTAGGTAAAGGTAAAGGGACCCCTGACCATTAGGTCCAGTCGTGACCGACTCTGGGGTTGCAGCGCTCATCTCGCTTTATTGGCCGAGGGAGCCGGCATACAGCCTCCAGGTCATGTGACCAGCATGACTAAGCAGCTTCTGGCGAACCAGAGCAGCACACGGAAACGGCGTTTACCTTCCCGCCGGAGCGGTACCTATTTATCTACTTGCACTTTGATGTGCTTTCGAACTGCTAGGTTGGCAGGAGCAGGGACCGAGCAACGGGAGCTCACCCCGTCGCAGGGATTCGAACCGCCGACCTTCTGATCGGCAAGTTCTAGGCTCTGTGGTTTAACCCACAGCGCCACCTGTGCCCCTTCACTGTTACTACTTTCTTATAAAAATGCAAGACGTGGAAATGTGATCACACATCTAATGATTTACCCTTAGTCTGGATTCTTCCATTCTAATTTGTCAATAACAGTGTTTGAATTTATTTATTTTTTGTAGGTTTCCAATAACAGCATGAAGGATTTCGACAAAGAGAAGGCTTGGAAAGCTGTTGTAGTGCAAATGGCCCAGTAATCTGGATTTAGGAAACTGAAGCTGGAAAATTGCTGGAATAAGGGCATGCTAGCCTTTGCATTTGCAAGTGTTATGGGCACAGCCACAAACATCATGACAGCCCTACTGACCACTTCCCTGTGGTTTCCAAATAGTAGAATTTAGTCAGAATGTTAGCACCATGCAATCTTCCTTTAAAACCTCTCTCATGCCTTTCTAATAACTTAGAAATTAGCATAGCTTCAAGTTTGCAACACAACTTGTTTCAACAGAGTGTGTCTTTCATTTTAGAGTACTAGCATCTTAATTGCAAACCGACTCTACAACCAGAAACTGCCAATTAGAAATTAAGTCCATCTGAACAGCTAAACATAAGTAACTGTGTGGTAGGTCTTGCTTATTGCAAGAGAACTAATATAACTGCTGGTATTCAGTTGATGTTAACAGACACATTTATAAAGTTACAAATGCGTGTCATCGTTGATGCTTTTGCTTATAAACTTCACTTTTGTAGGAGTTAAGTCCTTAAGAATTGCATATTACTTTTGTATAAAATAAACATCTTTATCACAAGTCGGTTCTAGGTGTACATTGTTGTTGATTGATGCAAAATGGGAGAAAGACCCTTTATAATGAATGTGTGTATTGTCATGCATACAAAGGCACATTATTCACATGGTGACCAGGCGACTTGCTGGGAGATGAGCAGTTTTGCCCCTCTGCATCATTGCCCCTATAAGGGTGAATGTCAACCATCATTGATGGGGTGTGTGGAGTAAGAAAGTATACTCAGAGAGACTACTCAAGTGGGCTACTCATGTTCCCCAAACCTGGTGCCTAGTGTGTGTGTGGGGGGGGGGGGAGTTTTTCCTGGTAAAATTGCAGCTGGTTTACTTTGTACTACAGTTTTCAGTGGGAGCCTGAGAACTAAGTCTGCTACTATTTGCATAGCCCTTTCTCTAATCTGCTCTGAGTTCTACTCCTTTGTTTGATGCCAGAATATTAGGGAGGTTTAGAAATGCTACAGAGACACAGAATACTTGGGCTATAAAGTATATATCAAAGGATGAGAATGCTGGGATTTGGCAAACAATTCTCTGTGCTTCCCAGTAATAATTTATGAATTGTATTTATTTCTAAAAATCATTTACACGCTAAGAGCAGAGAACACTAAAGTACAGCCGTTAAAATATAATAAAAAAACCTGTAAGAGCAAGTTTGAGGCAAACGCCTGCATGGGTAAAATTAAGTTTTTACATCATTTCAAAAAGTTTGAGTGTATTCAAGTAGCCCCAGAGTAATGTTCTTACAAGTAAACAAACACTGAATGCTGAACTGGAACATTCAAAAAGGAAAACGAAGGCTTCTTGCACAATCGAATCCTGACTCAGAAGGCAAGATTAGGTCTTCTCACAAAGACATGTGTTCAAACTAGGAACTGTCTACCACTTTAGAACCCCTGTGCTATGGTCCCAGTCTTCATTTGCCAAGAATCATTTCAAAATCTGCAACTAAATATTTCCAGTGACTATCAAGGAGGCTTGAACAAATCTTAGTAACTATAAAAAGTAAAGAAAAAGTCTGTTAAGTTTTTAAACATTGGGAGGTAGCCCTACCACAGAAAAGCTTGCTTTAGCTACAGCTCCTCCACCCAGAATGCACACGGTTGCCTACCTGCAAAGGTCACAATGGTAGTTAGGGAGAGAGTATGGATAACTCTTAGTGAGGGAAAGGGACTAAGCGAGGAGCCTCCAGTGTCACCAAGTAGAGGAGCTTTGCTGTTCCCTGGAGGGTAAGATTAGCATTTGGAAGGGAAAACGGTCAAGGATGCCATCATTGTCCTTTTAAAGCCAATAACTTCATTTTTGAGATGTCCAGGTATAATATATATATATATGACGCGGAGAGCGAGAGGATCAAAGAATTGACTACACAGACCTGTGATATGTCTTAAAATTCTTTATGGATTGATTTGGGAGAATCTGATGTACAGCTGACCTCCCACATCAATCCACAGAAGTGGTTTGTTGGAACATAAACACAGCTGCTTTTTTTGCAGTGACAGCAGAAAACATTATTTGATCTGTTCATTTTGTGTCCCTGTTCATTCTATAAGGAGACATTGGACTGGAAGCGACTGAATGGGGAACATGTAATTCTATTGTTCCTGAAAGAAGAATTTCACTGAGAGTAATGATGGCATATTCCCTAGTATTTCCTATTTGAGATTTGCTTTCTTCACAGAGGCTATCTAAGTCTAGCGTATGGTCTTTAGAGGGGTGCCCTAGTTTGGCTGCAGGGACACGGGTGGCACTGTGGTCTAAACCACTGAGCCTTAGGCTTGCCAATCAAAAGGTCGGTGGTTCGAATCCCTGTGATGGGGTGAGCTCCCGTTGCTCGGTCCCAGCTCCTGCCAACCTAGCAGTCCAAAAGCACATCAAAGTGAAAGTAGATAAATAGGTACCGCTCCGGCGGGAAGGTAAACGGCGTTTCCATGCACTGCTCTGGTTCGCCAGAAGCGGCTTAGTCATGCTGGCCACATGACCCAGAAAAACTGTCTGTGGACAAACGTCAGCTCCCTCGGCCAGTAAAGCGAGATGAGAGCCGCAACCCCAGAGTCGTTTGCGACTGGACTTAACTATCAGGGGTCCCTTTACCTTTACCTTTACCTAGTTTGGCTGAGAAGAAGAAAATAAGTTTAATTTAAAAGCAGTGATGGATTTATACCATGTTTCTCTCATAACTGTAACTGGCCCATGATAGCTTATCATTTATAGCATCTATCAGTGATATTGCTGCTGGTTTATTACAGCCAGGTTTCAATGGATTGGCAGAATTTATAAAAACCAGGACATTTGGCAGAATTTAAAAAACCAGGCATGAGATGCTACCTAAACTGTTGTCTGAATTATTCTAAGCAGAATGCCCTGGAACCTATTTTCTATTCCTAAACTCAACTGTAGCCCATATGAAACAGTAATAGCTTACCTCTGTGCACCCCAAAGAAATGATAGTAGCAGAGAGAAAATAGGAGGTAGAAAGAAAAACTGCTTTCCTTTGAAGAGATAACCCAGCTAAGGATAAGCTGGAAGAGCTTGAGAAACGGCAGAATCAGTAAAACATGGCTTGGGACATCCTTGGCTTTCACAGGTTTTGTATAACTATAAGAAATCACAAACCAGCTTCAACGCATCTGGGATTGAAGGGAAGGGTTTTAAGGCTGAGGGAATAGATCTGAACTTTGGCCAGGGCCAGCTCTACCATTAGGAAATGCGAGGTAGCTGCCTCAGGCGGCAAGATACCTTGCCCCCACCCTGTAAACTTTCCTACTGCCCTCAAGTGTGCTGGAGAATCTTGTCCTGTAGTCAGAACTGAAGTAGGATTATGAAGCTGAAGTAGGTGGGTGGGTGGGAACACGCCACCTTGTCCTTCACACAAAGTGTAATGAGATGGCCCTTACAAGAATTAACTACTGAACAGAACACAATTTTAATGTGGAGTTCTCACTGAAAAGGAAACTCTGCATTTTGCTATATTCACATTGGTGTACAGTGATACCTCGGGTTAAGTACATAATTCGTTCCGGAGGTCCGTTCTTAACCTGAAACTGTTCTTAACCTGAAGCACCACTTTAGCCTATGGGGTCTCCTGCTGCCACCGCGCCACTGGAGCACAATTTCTGTTCTCATCCTGAAGCAAAGTTCTTAACCTGAGGTACTATTTCTGGGTTAGCGGAATCTGTAACCTGAATCGTATGTAACCTGAATCGTATGTAACCCGAGGTACCACTGTATTGGGATTTCATGGTCAAAATCACAGGATTCTGAGTTCATGGCAAAAGTGGTTGTGGCGCTGCTGTGCTTGGATCCCAGCTCTGTCCACTTCTATTCAGAAATGTCCCCCTGATTCCCAAAGAAGTTAGTAAAACTGGGCTCCCACGCGCCTTTACTTGGGAAGTGATTTAAAATAAGCAAGCATAGCACTGGGCTGCCCAGATGTGTTTGCTGAATTCCGTTAAGAAGACTTAGCAAAAAAGACGTATGACTTCTCTCAAGGAAAGTACGGTCTCTTTTAAAGCAGCAGTAATATAAATATAAGGGACGTGGGTGGCACTGTGGGTTAAACCACAGAGCATAGGACTTGCCGATCAGAAGGTCGGCAGTTCGAATCCCTGCGATGGGGTGAGCTCCCGTTGCTCGGTCCCTGCTCCTGCCCACCTAGCAGTTTGAAAGCATGGCCAAAAGTGCAAGTAGATAAATAGGTACCACTCTGGCAGGAAGGTAAACGGCGTTTCCGTGCGCTGCTCTGGTTCGCCAGAAGCGGCTTAGTCATGCTGGCCACATGACCCGGAAGCTGTACGCTGGCTCCCTCGGCCAGTAAAGCGAGATGAGTGCCGCAACCCCAGAGTCGGCCACGACTGGACCTAATGGTCATGGGTCCTTTAATATAAATATAGAAAACGGTTTTTAAAAGTTAGAGAAGCAACCAACAATTATATAATTGCTTTCCCCACAATGTCACTATTTTTCAGGGGCAGAGGAAGGGGGGGTGCGGTGGGTGTGGTTCGCTCTGGATGTCCCCACTGAGGGGGGGGCACTCACTGTGGGGCTTGCAGCGCACCCAAGCCACGCGTCTCTCCTGGGAGCAATGCGGTGGCTTGGGCACCCGCAGGCTCCACGCTGCCCCAAACTGTCCACCCACCGCCTCCCCGTCAGCTGTAGGGCGGCTGTTTTTGACTCTGTTTGAAACTTAAAACCTCAGTGTCTTAGTAGGGCTATGTTGAAAACTTGTTTGAGTCTCTGCCCTGTTTTTGAGTTTGTTTGAAACTTCAAACCTTAATTTTGTATCGCTATTGCTTGGTCCTCTTAAATAGGGCTATATTTAAAACTTGTCATTGAGGTTTTCATACCTTTATTGTAAACTCGAGGAAGCATTTCCAGCCCTGCTCTTGAGCTTGTTTGATATCACTTAAAATCTTATAATTTCTTTATTTCCTTCTGAGGAAACTGATTAGTTCAGTGAATCAAGCTTTGTAGCCGGCATCTTGTTAAGTTTTTCTTTAATTCTAGTTTATTTTTTGATTTTTGTTATTCTAGGGTCGATTACTTCTCGTTTCAGGGATTTTCACGGTACAGTGGTACCTCGGGTTACATACGCTTCAGGTTACATATGCTTCAGGTTACAGACTCCGCTAACCCAGAAATAGTGCTTCAGGTTAAGAACTTTGCTTCAGGATGAGAACAGAAATTGTGCTCCAGCGGCGCGGCGGCAGCAGGAGGCCCCTTTAGCTAAAGTGGTGCTTCAGGTTAAGAACAGTTTCAGGTTAAGTACGGGCCTCCAGAACGAATTAAGTACTTAACCCGAGGTACCACTGTAATTTCTTTTGTTCTGTGTAATTTCTTGGTTCCGTGACTGTCTTTTTTTCACGAGTGGGAGGAGGCAGGCAGATTTCTCAGATGTCCCACAGAGTGTCTTGCCCCGGTTGGCCCCGCCCCACAAGCAGCTGGCCCCGCCCCTGGGCGCCGCCTGCCCCAGGCTCCTGATCGGCTTGCTATCTTTGTTTTCCCTAACGTTTTTCCTGTCCTTTTAGGAAACCATGTGGTTATCTACTCAGTTCCATTGGACTCATTCTGTTGATGGTTTGGGGACTGTTAGGTATCTGTCTACTATGGAATAAAATGTGGTGACAGAGCGGCAAACTGATTGGAAGGCCACATGCCTGTTGCATCCTCCTTGTGCCACCCTGCTATAACCGCCTCCCCATGTGCATGGGGCCATCACCCTGGCAGACCCCGCTCCCATGCTATGCCCTTGATAAAATAGTGGGTAAAGCATCCTGGAACAAAAATGGAAGGTTTCCATCAGCTAAAAAAGATGTAAATATTGTAGCCAGATGAAAGCATGTACAGTGGTACCTCGGGTAAAGAACTTAATTCGGTCTGGAGGTCCGTTCTTAACCTGAAACTGTTCTTAACCTGAAGTACCGTTTTGGCTAATGGGGCCTCCCGCGGCCGCCACATGATTTTTGAAGCAAAGTTTCATCCTGAAGCAAAGTTCTTAACCCAAGGTACTACCGTATTTTTCGCTCTATAAGACGCACCAGACCACAAGACGCACCTAGTTTTTGGAGGAGGAAAACAAGAAAAAAAATATTCTGAATCTCAGAAGCCAGAACTTCAAGAGGGATCGCTGCGCAGTGAAAGCAGCAATCCCTCTTGCTGTTCTGGCTTCTGTGATAGCCGCGCAGCCTGCATTCGTTCCATAAGACGCACACACATTTCCCCTTACTTTTTAGGAGGGAAAAAGTGAGTCTTATAGAGCAAAAAATACGGTCTTTCTGGGTTAGTGGAGTCTGTAACCTGAAGTGTCTGTAACCTGAAGCGTCTGTAACCTGAGGTACCACTGTAATAACAATCTACCTATCATAAAGTGCATTTTTAAATATTTGGCTGTATGTGTAGCCTCTCTGCACCTTTGGTTGGAAGCATAGTTTCAGTTATTCAATCTTTCTCAGTTTGCAGGATTACTGCAAAGCAGTGAAGCAACAATGACAGGATGAACCGGCTTCATATAGAAAGAAAACCGTTCCTGGTACCTATAAACGAAGAGGCAAAACATGAAGGAGAAAATCGTTAGTGTTTGCAAATCATTTTCATTTTGTCTTACTAATTACAGCAAAAAATAATAATATTGATTTTAAGTCAGTAAGTAAAAAACGGATTTCAAGATAGTGAGGGAATCGATAGATCAAAGTGCTCCAAATTAATATTTTTAGAGATGACCCCCAAATAGGGTGACATGACCTTATACACTGCTTCGTTGCAGTAACAATTCATAAGCACCAATACAAATCTGATTCCTTTCCCATCTATGGTAGCCACTGACGCTCTTCCACTGCTGGGTTCTTGCTGTCCATTGTGGCAACCTGAGATCAGGACTTGCCCAAGGTCATCCAATGAGTTTGTGAGTCCGAAGCATTAAGGAACATGGTCTTCCAGATCGAAACTCAAGTCAATTCTATTGACCTATATTTAAGTTTTTCATTTAATAGTAAATCAAGAAAGCTTTATGTCCCAACTTCCTGTGAAATGGGTTACCACAGAGGTGATCGGGGAGCCCAAATCTATGCATGTTTACTCCAAAGCAGGTTTTGCTGACTCCTGTAGAACTTACTCCCAGATAATGATAATAATAATAATAATTATGATTTATTATTTACACCCCGCCCATCTGGCTGGGCTTCCCCAGCTACTCTGGGTGACTTCCAATGAAATATTAAAATACAGTAATGCACCAAACATTAAAAGCTTCCCTAAACAGGGCTGCCTTCAGATGTCTTCTAAAAGTCTGGTAGTTGTTGTTCTCTTTGACATCTTGTGGGAGGGCGTTCCACAGGGCGGGCGCCACTACTGAGAAGGCCCTCTGCCTGGTTCCCTGTAACTTGGCTTCTCGCAGTGAGGGAACTGCCAGAAGGTCCTCAGAGCTGGACCTCAGTGTCTGGGCAGAACAATGGGGGTGGAGACGCTCCTTCAGGTATACTGGACCGAGGCCGTTTAGGGCTTTAAAGGTCAGCACCAACACTTTGAATTGTGCTCAGAAATGTACTCGGAACCAATGTAGGTCTTTCAAGACTGGTGTTATGTGGTAAGTATGCATAGGATTTCTCCCCTTTCACAAGAGCACATCTGAGTGAGCGAGTGACTGCCCACTGTTGGAAATAGGATGCATGGATGATATATTACAGTTTCATGTAAAGGAAATCTTAGGTTCTTACGTTAATCATGTACGCTCAACAGAGAATCACAGTCGATACTGGTTCTCTGACGCATGAAACTCCATGATGCACAGCTTTGTCATCTTGCTCCCAGCTGCTGCTCTTGGGCACCAGTTTCAAAACCAGAAGGCCATTGTGTTGTTATTATCTCCCACAAAACTCCGAAGTAAGGGCACAAAGCATCACCCTCACTCTGACTTGGCTTCTGACATTATCACCCTGGCAACATGAAGCCATATCAGAGTGAGGGTAATAGGCCTGCCCTCTGAAGGTTTAGGTTTGTTTGCTTTTAAAAAAATATACCGTATTTTTCGCTCTATAAGACACACCAGACCATAAGATGCACCTAGTTTTTGGAGGAGGAAAACAAGAAAAAAAATATTCTGAATCCCAGAAGCCAGACCAGCAAGAGGGATCGCTGCGCAGTGAAAGCAGCGATCCCTCTTGTTGTTCTGACTTCTGGGATAGCTGCACAGCCGGCATTCGCTCCATAAGATGCACACACATTTCCCCTTACTTTTTAGGAGGGAAAAAGTGAGTTTTATAGAGCAAAAAATACGGTATATATTTGAGGTAAAAATGTGGCATTTACCAGCAGTCCTATAACGCAATTACTGTTCACCCCAAATTTTGCCCTTCCAGCACTGCTGCCTCTCAAACAGTCTGTACCTTTAAAAGCACATTTAGATGCGCATCTCATGTAACATGTGTTAAAGATTTTAGGAAGATACTCAGAGATCTTTAAAAAACTATAGTCTTTGTTGAAGGTGCAGCTGTGTATGTTGGTTTGTGATCTTAAGTAATCTTACTTCCTGGAAGTGTATTCTTTATGTTTGTTAGGCGGAATCTTACCGATGGGCTACTGTAAAAGATCCCACGTTCAGTGGTGCAGGCATAAATTAATGCAGTATTATTATGTCGCATAAATAAAACACTGCTCTAGCTACCTCATGGATTGTTTCCTGTTATTCTGTTCTTATTGTCCCTCTAACAGGATTGGCAAAGCCTGAACTCCCATCTCAAAAATTCCTGAAAATCGCTTTAGACAATTGCGTTCCTGTAGTTTCGTGCCACCAGGGACTGTTTCCTGGTATGTCTCCAGCAACTTTGTGTTCAAGAAATGTATGGGGAATTGGGTCAGAAAGGTTGATTCGTGCTTTGAGTGTATTCTGACAGGAAATCCAAACAAAAATAATATGGGTATTTGAAGGAAAATTGGACAGGGGCATCAATTATAGGGGGTGGAAGGGGCAGGGGGCCAAGGGCCCCCCAAATAATGAGGGGGTTGCTATCCCTCACCACTGGCTGACTCGCCAAGTGGGGCCAGTTGAGGCGGGAGGCGCAGACGGTGATTTTCACTCTCTGTGCTCCCCACCACTGACCCATTCCCCAGCTTGCTGCTGCTGGGAGAGTGCTGGTGATGTCAGGCCCCATCAATGTGTGGGGCAAGTTGGCTTCGCTGCTCCCCAAAGTAAAACACCTTGAATTCAATGGGGCTTCTTAGCAGGTTAGTATGCATAGGGTTACAGCCTTCAATAGTGATTCTCGACTTTCCTGAAACAAAGCAACTGTTGGGTAGGTGTGGCGTGCGGATAACATCTCGCCACTGTTCCACACCTTGCTGGAAGGGTAAATGGAAAAATCTAAAATTATTTCAGCTTACATGATCTATGAAGAAATCTCCCATTGTGGGCAGGGGCCTAGAACCTCGAGAGCGATTCTGTTATTAAAGTCAAACCAAAGTTCACGGTTAGTCCAGACTGGCCCCAGGATGTTAGCTTGGAGGTGCAGCTGAAATAACTGGGGGTGGGGGTGGGTGCATTTCTTGTCTACGTGTGCAAGGATTGTTAATTCAGGATGATAATCCCCCAAACGATCTTGGCATCAGCTCCTGGTTCAGCTTCTGCTCACGTGGAATGTTCCTCATTGTAATAGCATGTAAAGAGAGGGGGAAAACTCAATAAAGCCTCATTCTGTGTGGGCAGAGACTTAAGAGTATATGTGGGCAGAGTTTTAAGAGCAAGCCCTAAGGCCTGGGTGTTAAAGGGCTTATTGCCATTACTTTTGGCTAACTTTACTGGAGAATAAATGGGTTGAGTGTTGTAATAAACTGGCTGTGTGTTACAGTGGCATTTGCACAGTGTTCAAAATTCTAGTTTGATTTTATTTAATTTGATGTTCTTCCCTCTTAAAACGTGAGCGTGTTTTCAGTGCTGACTGACGTATGTTTCTTCAGCTATGGCATGTAACTTTTTTACGATAGGTCTCGTGTAGGGTTACCAGACGTCCCTGTTTCCCAGGGACAGTCCCTGGATTTACAAATCAGTCCCCTGACAAAATCCTTCTATTTAGTAGGAAGTTGAAAAGTGTCCCCAGATTCATTGGAAAAAAATCTGGTAACCTTAGTCTGGTGGCATCAGCACCTGGTGTGGGATAACCAGCCTGATATAACCAACATGCTTAAGTCTAATTAATGCATGAAGGGGTTAATGCCATAGAGAAAGCTGTCCTGCAAGGCTTTGCTAGGTCACTGTGGAAGGAAGGTAATTAAGCCTTTGTTTCCCTTCCATTTACCTATGAAGCTCAGCGTGTAAAGAGGCTGGAGCTGGTTGCTCCAAATTCAGACCACACAGCTCTAACAACCCTTTATTGTATTCCTGTACCAATAATTTAGGAACTTACCACCACTTTAACTAAATTTTATTGCCTGTGTTTTCTGAATGATGTATTGAAAACACATGAATCTGACATTTGGAGAGTTTGTAAGTACACCATTTTTAGCTCACCAAATGTGTGGTCTTTTTTTTCTATGCTAGGGGAAGAGGGAAACTTTTTGAAGGAACTTTGTTGTTGTTGTTTAGTCGTTTAGTCGTGTCCGACTCTTCGTGACCCCATGGACCAACGCTGGACCATAAAGAAGGCTGATCACCAAAGAATTGATGCTTTTGAATTATGGTGCTGGAGGAGACTCTTGAGAGTCCCATGGACTGCAAGAAGATCAAACCTATCCATTCTGAAGGAAATCAGCCCTGAGTCCTCACTGGAAGGACAGATCCTGAAGCTGAGGCTCCAATACTTTGGCCACCTCATGAGAAGAGAAGACTCCCTGGAAAAGACCCTGATGTTGGGAAAGATGGAAGGCACAAGGAGAAGGGGACGACAGAGGATGAGATGGTTGGATAGTGTTCTCAAAGCTACCAGTATGAGTTTGACTAAACTGCAAGAGGCAGTGGAAGACAGGAGGGCCTGGCATGCTCTGGTCCATGGGGTCACGAAGAGTCGGACACGACTAAACGACTAAACAACAACAACAAAGTTCCTTCAAAAAGGGCACATTTTAAAGGTTTCATAACTTAGATTTCTACTCTTTACTTTGCTGCATATTTTGTGATTTTAATTTTCTGCTGGGGCTCAACCACCAAAGAGTATTTGCCCCAAACCTGGCTTTTTGCTGATTCTGTTCTTTGATGTGGCATACCACCTTGATATATTTTTATGTAAGTGTAGATGATAAAGATGTAAATAAGGGAAAGGGATAAAAATAAATAAATAACATGATGCTGAAATTCTATGCTAAATTGTTCTCTCTCATCCTGGGATTAATTTTTAGCTCTCTCTTGTGTCAGCACAGTTTATAAATGGCAAAGGTGTATGTGAATGGGATCTACAAAAGAAGCTTTGTATTGACTGAATAACCAATACTGTATTTTTCTTGTTTATTTTGGTAATGTGATATTTTCTTTATACTTTTAGAGCTGACCCCGAGGACTGTGGAAGAACTGCCTCCCCCCCCAAAAATAGACAAATACAAACTTGCAAGATTTTTAACAGAGAAGGCCATCAGGGTATATGTGACTAGAAATAGTTTTTTTATCCAAAGTATTTATTGGTTGTACTGTAAAGGCCTGGAAACGATGCCTTATGAGGAACGGCTAAGGGAGCTGGGCATGTTTAGCCTGGAGAAGAGGAGGTTAAGGGGTGATATGATAGCCATGTTCAAATATATAAAAGGATGTCACATAGAGGAGGGAGAAAGGTTGTTTTCTGCTGCTCCAGAGAAGTGGACACGGAGCAATGGATCCAAACTACAAGAAAGAAGATTCCACCTAAACATTAGGAAGAACTTCCTGACAGTAAGAGCTGTTCGACAGTGGAATTTGCTGCCAAGGAGTGTGGTGGAGTCTCCTTCTTTGGAGGTCTTTAAGCAGAGGCTTGACAACCATATGTCAGGAGTGCTCTGATGGTGTTTCCTGCTTGGCAGGGGGTTGGACTCGATGGCCCTTGTGGTCTCTTCCAACTCTATGATTCTATGATTCTATGATTCTATGTATTATTAGCATGCGTATAACAAATTTGCTTCAATAAATATGGTACCATTGATTCTGAAAGAGGAAGAAAGCGGAATGCATCCAACAACAACAAAAAAGGAAGATTCTAAAAAAATCAGTTGCTTGAAACTCAAAAGCACACGTAGCAGCAGTTTGCAAATAATAAATATTTCCCAATTTTTCTGTTTACGTCTGGAGACATAACCTCTCCGTCCCTGAGAGTCAAGAAAAGTGTGAAAGAGAGATTCTCTGTTCAATGTTCTGGACTCATTCCACTTTTGCCTCTGGTAAACAGGTTTTGCAGGTTGGTCAAACCCTGCTGCAGCTGTTTGTCCAGAGGTAGAAACTGGAGAACAGAAATATCTGCATACAGATCAGGAGACTTGACGTCTGCCTCTCAAACCACTTTCAGGCGGTGTTAGAAACAGATATGAAAGCTAGGAGCTAAATGGCACCTTAAACCTAGATTATGGGCGCAACAATGGAATGTCTAGGTACACTTTGTATATACAGTGGTACCTCAGTTCTTGAATGTATTATGTTCTGGAAGATCGTTCGGCTTCTTAAATGTTTGAAAACCGAGGCGCGGCCTCCCATTGGTTGCAAGAGCTTCTTGCACTCTGCGGAAGCTGCATCGCATGTTTAAGTTCCAAAATGGAAGCATTTACTTCCGGGTTTTCGGCATTTGAGAACTGAAACGTTCGACAATGGAGGCGTTCAGGAACTGAGGTACCACTGTAACAAGAATACAAAGCTGAAAATGAATGAACTGCAGCTAAAATATTATGTTCATTTTTCACATGGTCCAGTCCTTCACCAGCCCACCCCCCTAATATTCTTAAGAGGGTCTCTTCTCCAGTCTTCAGAAAGTAGCTGGAAGTGGGGAGGCAGAAAAAGGTCCTCCTTTCCTTCCACTCGGCGGTTTTAATCTGAAATCTTAGGCGCAGTACTGCGCCCAGAGCTCAGAAACTGGTCGTGCTAATGGAATTCCCTGTCACAAAATGTGCCTAGAAAAATGGGAGTTTTGAACAGTGCTTTCAAGTGTCTTCACATTTATTATTTCTCCCTAGCAAGTTACTTTTACGGAGTGATGAGGTAGAGCCAGACCAGGTGCAGATCAACTCTGGCTTTGGGGCTGCTGTTTCTCACAGCTCCACCTCAGAGTTCTCCTGAATGGCATGGACACTTGAGGGTGCTGGAATGGTTCGAAGAGCCTGTAGCCATCATTGTGCTCTCCATGACATTGCCAGGAATATGTCAGGGCCTAGAGATCTTGGAGGATAGCCTTTCCCAGCATGGCTTGTGCTCTCCTTGATACATTCACCCTCTTGGATAGCACTGTGGAGATGCCTGGAAGAGCAGGAAGGGAGGGAGAGTAAGCTTGGACAGTGATGATCCTAGTAATGGGCCCAGAATCCTAACCTGCAGTTTTGTGGGACTCTTCCTGCTACTCCCAAGTTTGTATGAATTACTGGACGTGGTTGTGCCACTGTCACAATGGAGAGGACCTTATCCAAGCTAGGAGAGACATAGGCTATGGGGTACATTAGATTCTTTTGTGCATGTGTGGGAATCTAGGTATTATGAGAGCTGTACAGTCGTACCTTGGAAGTCGAATGCCTTGCCAGTCGAAAGATTTGGCTCCCGAATGTCTCAACCCCCGAAATGATTGTTCCGGTTTGCGAATGTTCTTTGGAACGCGAATATCCGACGGGGCTTCCGATTGGCTGCAGGAGCTATCTGCAGCCAATCAGAAGACGCACCTTGGTTCACGAACAGTTTGGAAGTTGAATGGACTCCCGGAATGGATTCTGTTTGACTTCTGAGGTACCACTGTAGTTGCACCGATGGCTACAGTACAGAAAAGCTTCAGGGCCTGGCATTCCTGCTATTGCCAAGCATTTGAATACATGAGGGTCTTCCTTTTCTACAGGTGACAAAGGGAAAAAGATCTCTGTTACACGTGCAACTCCTGCTCAAAGGATAATCCAGCATCCATAGGATTGCATCATGGGGATTTTCCTCACACCTTTTGATGTACAGTGGTACCCCTGGATGCAAATGGGATCCGTTCTGGAGCCCCGTTTGCATCCTGAAGCGAACGTAACACGTGACTGCGTGTGCGCGGGTTGCGTTTCGCCGCTTCCATGCATGCGCGTGATGTCATTTTGAGCGTCTGCACATGCGCGAGCGACGAAACCCGGAAATAACGCATTCCATTACTTCCGGGTCACTGCGGAGTGCAACCTGAAAATGCTTAACCTGAAGTGTATTTATCCTGAGGTATGACTGTAATTCGCAGCCCCGATTCAAAACATGGCTCTTCTGAGAAATAGGAAGGGCTGCTGGTGAAGTGAGTGAGATCCTTTCTTCAAATACCACTCTCCTGGTTTACATTGCCCCCATCCCCACACCCTGAAGTGACATTTGGACCTGAAGGAGGAAATCATCCAGGTACTTAAATGTTTCCCACTTCAGAGTGAATTTCAATTTGTGGGTGGCTTTTAGACTAGGGAATAACAAGGGGAGAAGAGGCTAACCAGTGCTACTTTGCTGACATTTAAAGCAGCTGTGTAGGCAAGCTTGGCTCCAGGTTTCAGGGGGCTTTACTAATGTTGCTGCTCTGAGGGGGAATTTTCGTTGTCACTGCCCACGATGCCCTGGGCTGATGTATTGTTGCTCCGTTGTGGGCAATTGCAACGATGGCCTCTCAACACTGCTGCACAGAGGAGCCCTAGAAAATGGTTTCCAGCGCTATCGCCAACATCTCACTGACTCATACAAGACTCTTCTCGGTTGCTGGAGGGGGAAAACGGAACATTCTGGGATCGAATCATAAACTGGGATGGCTTCTGTAATTCGAGGGTGTCCTGGGAAAATCAGGACAGTTAAGTATTATGCAGCAAGGCCTCCAACAGCTGTCCAAGGAGGCGGATGCCAAATTGCTAAAAAAAAAGTATAGGGATGCTAAATTGCTAAAAAAATGAAACTGTGGGAGCTGTCTATCAGAGATCTCCTCCATCTTGTCTGCTCTGAGCCTGAAAGGCATTTCCCTGTGATTTCAGGAAAAGAGAATTTTTACAATCTGCGGACCTTATCCGGTAATCCGTGCAGCTTTAAGGAAGAGAGGCTGGGTAGAGAGAAAGCACACCGTTAAAGGCGACATTCAGGACCACAAAGAGGAAGGGAATGATGCTGAACGCGTTGCCAAATCTGGTAAGAGCCCTTCAAATGTAATTAACCCTTTCGAATACTTCCCCCTGCTTTTTAATCTGTGCAGAAATTGGCATAAAAAGATGAGAAATAAATGTGCAAGTTTATATTTTCCTGATTTGACCTTTAGGGGAAAAAGTTATTGTGGGTACCTTGGTAGTTCATAATGGTTTAACTTAATTATCATGGGGAAAGGGAGAATGCTTTGCATGCTTTTGTTGCATATTTCTTTCTCACAGACAAGAGTTGCCAGTCTTCAGGTTTCCCATAGCCATGCTTTTTTTTCTATTAAAAAAAAAGTTTAGGGGTACTCTCATTTTCCTACTCATATTGAAATACTGCCCCTCAATGAGGCCAAACTTAGATTCACAAAATGTTTAGGGCTCTGCGTACCCCTCCATCCCCCCAGGAAAAAAAGCACTGCCCATAGCTCTTGGTTTAGCTACTTCAATGTCACAGAATGCTCACAAACATTCTAGCTAGCTAAGGAGAAGGCTCACTCACGAAATGTTTAAAATCCGCGCAGGTGAAAAAAGAGCCAGTGGACAGGACATACATATATGGATATGCTGTTTGCGGAAAGAAAGAGATTTCAGTTCTTAATTCAGATGAGTTTTGTACTGTGAAACTAGACTTCTCCCATGCTTAATACATGTTGGGGGTCAGTTTGCCTCAACACTACAGTGTAGTAACTATTTCTCCCATCAGATTTGAAAACCTTCATTTTTACCCCGAGATGAAGAATCACATGGTGGTCAGTCACTCAGTTAAAGGAGAAAGGAAGCTTAGCTAGGGTTGCCATATTTCAAAAAGTGAAAATCTGGACACTAAAATCTCCCCCCACCCAATAGTTTTTGAGCTATTTTTTTAAAAAAGTAAATCTGCCAAAAAACCAACAATTCTGACATGGGTTGCCATATAGGCAGGGGTCAGCAAACTTTTTCAGAAGAATGAGTTGCTAACTGTAAAATGGGATTAATAAACTGGATTAGAAATGGCCACAACTTTATTGATTACAGATATAGGTGGAATTTTGGCTCAGGAATTGGGTAATTAATTAATTTTTAAAAGGTAAGGGAACTCAGTTCCTATGAGTTCCTGCTCAATTTAATTTGCTGCAATCTCCTTGATTTGTCTGAAAACAACACACTGATGATTCCTGTTCTGTTATTTTTCACGGCTCTCTGAAAAGAAAGCAAAACTACTTTGCGTGATGAGGAAGGTCAGATTGCCAATTCAAATGACATCCATGATATAATGGTAAGGTTACAGAGGTAATGAGCGCTCCGGTGAAGCAACCTTTGTGAAATACATATGAAAAATCTGCTCTGGATTTCATTCCCCTGGTTTTCTACACACCTCTCCACCGCTGGGCAACATATTTTGGCCATGGAGCAAGCTTCGTCCTCAATGGGCTGTTTTTGAGGTTCCGCCTCCTTCAGGCTCCCCCTGAAAGATTTTGCAGTTCCCCCAAACCTTCAAAGCCACCACAGCCATGTGAGATGTAGCAAGGACCGTTTTGTCTGGATGGGTTGACTGGAGCATTTAATCACCTCATTTCCAATTGCATACTGGCAGTCCTCTCATGGGGGACACGGGTGGCGCTGTGGGTTAAACCACAGACCTAGGGCTTGCCGATCAGGAGGTCAGCGGTTCGAATCCCTGCTATGGGGTGAGCTCCCATTGCTTGGTCCCTGCTCCTGCCAACCTAGCAGTTCGAAAGCACATCAAAGTGCAAGTAGATAAATTTTTATGAAATAAATAAATATTGGGTTAATAGGATAGGAGTTTCCTGGTGGAATCATAATGCAGCCTTCTTTGGGTCAGTCTAGGTTGGTAAGAAATGAAGAAACTACCTTTTACTGGACGATAAAAAAGGATGCCGTCGATTATTATAATCTCCACATTGATCAGATGCTGAACCATTATGCAAGAACTGGCTCCTTTACAACTAAAGTAAGTAGTGTAAATAGTGGACAGGATAACTTGCCATTACATCAGTGGCTGACTTCTGGTATCAGAACTGTAAAGAAAGCAACGTGTGGGATTTTCTGTGCAATAAAAGCAGTCTTGTAGCCGAATCGGTGCTTCCCATCTCTTCCCATCCCCCACATCGTTTTGGAATTTTAGGAATTCCAAAAAAATCCACCCATTTTGTCAGAAACCACCCCCACCAATAAAGAAAGCTCAGCATTGGTATTGATAAGGGAACACATCCTAATTGTGTGAGCTTTGATTTCTTACACTTATTACTGATCGATACTACCTACAAGATAAAAAGCAGCTGGTGAGAACCTCTGCTTTCATCTTGTTTAGAAGGATTGTATTGTTCCACCCAGGTTCTTGCAGAGCGCAAGCTGTTGCTTGCCAGCTTCCACCTCCTTCCTGATTTTCTCCAACGCTTGCCACCTTTTCCTTGCAGAATTTTATATGCATAAGGTATCTACTGTTAACCGGCCCTTTGCAATGGGCGAGTGCCTTGGTCTAATTCAGGGGTCAGCAAGCATTTTTTGGAGGGGGCTGGTTCACCGTCCCCCAGACCTGCGAGCGGCAGAGGCTGTCGGCGGTGGTGGAGGGATGAGCAATCTGAAAGGGCTGGCTGGCTCCGGAAAGGCGCTTCCCAAAATGGTGCTCAGCCATCTCAGCCCAGCCCCCTTCCTCCTCTAGGCAGGTGAAATATACTCAGAGTCCTGTAGTGATTTCATGCTCTTTATTGCAGCTTGTAAAACAGTGATTGACTTGCCCCCCAAACCTCAGGCTTTTATATACATTATTTAAACAGTGAGTCCCATCTGATTGGCTGATTCTGCTTCCCTCCTGGAGCCTGATTGGTCTTTTCCTGCAGGCCAATCAGTTGTTGCATTCTACGATCCTACCAGCCTAATAGGCTGATTAACTTCCTCCTGGAGCCTGATTGGTCTTTTCCTGCAGGCTAATCAGTTGTTGCATTCTACGATCCTACCAGCCTAATAGGCTGATTAACTTCCTCCTGGAGCCTGATTGGTCTTTTCCTGCAGGCCAATCAGTTGTTGCATTCTACGATCCTACCAGCCTAATAGGCTGATTAACTTCCTCCTGGAGCCTGATTGGTATTTTCCTGCAGGCCAATCAGTTGTTGCATTCTAGGTTCCTACTTGCCTATTGTTCTAGAATCCAAGCTTAGTACGTAACAGCAGGGCGGGGAGAAGCTAGGAGGAGGGAGGGAGGAGGCGCTGTGGTGTGTGTGGGGGGGATGGCATCCAAAAAATGACGGCACTGAAAAAAAATTAATGGAAAAAAATAACAAACAGAATCGCCGACCCACAGAATGTCTGCAGGCTGGATCCTGAGGGCAATTGTGCTGGATCCGGCCTGCGGACCGTAGTTTGCTGACCCCTGGTCTAATTCCTTCCGTTGCATCACGGCACCATGTTTTGGGTCTGGGCAGCACCGTTTACTGAATGGAAGGGATGCTGCTGTACAGGAGAAAAACAGAGCCAAAGTGCTTGCTTGCTGGCAAACTCTCTTCCATCCCATTAGGAAATCAGAAATCACCTTGAGGGCCACATCAATGATGCATAAGGCTCTTACAAATACCGATGGCGTTCACTTGACTGCTTTCCATTCCTGTCCACAGATAAAACCCGCCAACGGCAGCAATTTTCACCAGAATGCTGCAATGCTCCTATGCATGCTGAATTTATTTGACCCCATCTACACCAAGTTGTAAGGGATGTGGGTGGCGCTGTGGATTAAACCAGAGAGCCTGGGGCTTGCCAATCAGAAGGTCGGCGGTTCGAATCCCCGCGACGGGATGAGCTCCCGTTGCTCAGTCCCTGCTCCTGCCAACCTAGCAGTTCAAAAGCATGTCAAAGTGCAAGTAGATAAATAGGTACCGCTCCGGTGGGAAGGTAAACGGCGTTTCCGTGTGCTGCTCTGGTTCACCAGAAGCGGCTTTGTCATGCTGGCCACATGACCCAGAAGCTGTACGCCGGCTCCCTCTGCCAATGAAGCGAGATGAGCGCTGCAACCCCAGACTCGGCCATGACTGGACCTAATGGTCAGGGGTCCCTTTACCTTACACCAAGTTGTATCTTTATCACTAAACCTTGTACATAATTGTCTGTTGTATTATTTAACATTACTTTTAATATATTAGTTGCCCCGCGGTGATTTTAGCTTATAAATTTTAATGTCTAATGTTTGAATTTGTATATTAAGGAGTTTTTGTAGTTTTGTGCGGATCAGGTCATGTTTTGACAATACAAATGTTTTAGGTTTTGTATCAAACTAGTATATATTTTATTGAATGACGTTGTATACATTGCAGCGGCCTTTGGCTATAAGCAATAAACTTGACTGACTGACTGCCAATTCTCTATGCATGCTGAGTGCATGGTTGGTAGGGGCCATGATGGGTCACGACTCTGCTCCCACCTCCCAAAAACAGCCAGGGTGTTTTTCTGACACTCCTTCCACAGTACTGCTGAAGCCCAGAAGGCCTGGTTATGTAAACTCCCTCGATGGGAACCGTATGCAGGCTCCTCTGAGAGAAAGCAGAGTAAAAATGTAATTTAAAAACGAAGGCTGATCTCTGGATACATGTGTCCAAAGACTGCATTGGATTCCAGGGAGGAGAAGCAGCTCCAGTCCGCAAAACTACAGTACCTGATAGAGTAAAGTAAAACGGGTAAAAGTAAAGGACCCCTGGATGGTTAAGTCCAGTTGAATTCAACTACGGGGTGTAGTGCTCATCTCTACTTTCAGGCTGAGGGAGCCGGCGTTTGTCCACAGACAGCTTTCCGCGTCATGTGGCCAGCATGACTTAACCGCTTCTGGTGCAATGGGACACTGTGGTGGAAGCCAGAGCAAATGGAAACACCATTTACCTTCTGCAGTGGTACCGACCGTATTTTTCTGTGCATAAGACGCCCCCATGTATAAGACGACCCCTATTTTATTTAACCCAAAATTAAGAAATTAAGTTAGCTTTTTTGGGGGGGGGTAGGCCAATCGCTCACCCGCCTGCCCACCACTGCCAATCGCTTGCCACAGCCACTGCCAATTGCACACCTCGCCGCAGCCGCCAATTGTCTGCCTGCTCGCCGCCAGCAACAGCCCACCCACCCACTTGCCACAGCCGCCATTCGCCTGCCCAATTGCCACAGCCAATCACCAGCAGACCTTGCCGCAGCCCCCAATCACCCGCCCAATCGCTGCCGCCAATCTTCTGCTTGCTGCTGCCATTAATCACACGTCCCCCCTCTGCATTCACTATCTGAAGACAACACCCAATTCTTGCCTATTTTTTTTTTTTAACAAAAAGCATCGTCTTATACATGGAAAAATACGGTATTTATCTACTTGCGCTGGGGTGCTTTCAAACTGCTAGGTTGGCAGGAGCTGGGACAGAGCAACGGGATCTCACTCCATAAGCAGACTTAGTACATATATCATTTTTACACATTTGGAGAGAGGCAGGATTGTTTTCTTAGAATCACAGAATCCTTCCTTTTTCTTTTGACTTGCATGTGTCTATTAAAGCAACCACCCTCAGGTAATACCCTTGTTTTATTTAAAGATTGGGCTTTGTTTGCATATGAGGAATTTGCCATGGTATGTGTCAGCCAACCCAAACGCTTTCTTCCCTCGGTGTTACGGCATTTGCATGGACGACGAGAAACTAGATTTTATTGGTGAGTTGCTTTAAATTTCTTTCCTTTCGGTCTTGGGAATGTGGCACGGTTTTAGCCTTGATAGTCAGAAATGTTTTATATGCTTACTTTTAAACATGCACAGTTATTTTCCTTTGAGGGGGGCATGTTCAGTGACTCACGCAGGCCATCCATGAACAGTGCTGGATTTACGTATAAGCTAACTAACTAACTAACTAACTAACTAAATAAGCGCGGGTGGCGCTGTGGTCTAAACCACAGAGCCTAGGGCTTGCCAATCAGAAGGTCGGCGGTTCGAATCCCCGCGACGGGGTGAGCTCCTGTTGCTCGGTCCCAGCTCCTGCCAATCTAGCAGTTCAAAAGCACACCAGTGCAAGTAGATAAATAGGTACCGCTCCGGAGGGAAGGTAAACGGCGTTTCCGTGCACTGCTCTGGTTTGCCAGAAGCGGCTTAGTCATGCTGACCCAGAAGCTGTACGCCTGCTCCCTCGGCCAATAAAGCGAGATGAGCACCGCAACCCCAGAGTCGGCCACGACTGGACCTAATGGTCAGGGGTCTCTTTACCTTTAAACAAGCTATAGCTTAGGGCCCCACTCTCTTGACGGCTCCCCAAAAAATTAAAGGGAAAAAACCTGGATGTACATTTCCAAAATATAAGATAAAAAACAAATAAAATAAAACCTACAGTACATACAGCAACGGTGTTCTGTGTTGCGTAGGCTCCTATTTGTTATGTGCAAATGGCTTTAGATACAGTGGTACCTCGGGTTACATATGCTTCAGGTTACAGACTCCGCTAACCCAGAAATATTACCTCGGGTTAAGAACTTTGCTTCAGGATGAGAACAGAAATCGTGCTCCAGCAGCGCGGCGGCAGCAGGAGGCCCCATTAGCTAAAGTGGTGCTTCAGGTTAAGAACAGTTTCAGGTTAAGAACGGACCTCCGGAACGAATTAAGTACTTAACCCGAGGTACCACTATACCTATTAGGTCCATAAATTACCATATAGCATATATTCAACACAAAAAACAGTGACAATTTGTTGAGAAAGGACATTTGGACGTATAAAGGGCCTATAAAGGGCCCATTACCTTCAGTAGCTCAGGGCCTCATCAAACCTAAATCCAACCCTGTGCATGAAAACACTTGCAGTTGCAGAACTAAAAGTTGCCCTGTGGTCATTTACTTGCCACACTGAGGTTTATGATTTGGGACACATGCAGGGGCCAGCAAGTGGCAAAATGTTTACTGGATTTATGTGGACTTTGTAATGCTCTCACCAAATTCTTACAAAACTCCCCAGGGCTCTGCTATTTAAGTTGTGTTTTGCTTAATGGGACAAAGTCCAAAATCGTATGTCATTTATTTCAGATGACTTCAGGAAAACAGCAGCATCTTCCATAATCAAATGGGTTGTCAATTCACGTATTTCGGGTGATACCTGTAACAGGCTAAGTAAAGAAAATGCTGATAAGGAAGATGAGACTTCCACTAAAGGTATTGCTTAGTTGATGTATTAATATTACAATTTTTTTTAAAAAAATGTTCATCTGACATTGTTGGCGAGTGGAGGGAAAACCTTCAAAAGCCATTGCTAGTAGACAAGCTAAGATAAACAGTTAATTCAGTATTTTTGTGTGCTCTTATTTTAAATTTTGATTTAGACTAAGGTTGCTTGCAGATGACCTATTTATTGAGCCCTCACCCTGATTTCTTTGCACAAAGTTTGCAGAGAGGTTTTCCGACATCCACAGTTTATTGTGCCTTCATTCTGGTTGGTTTGTGGAGAGGTTATCTGACATTGTGTCAGATAACTAAATTGTGTCAGATAGCTAACCATCTTGGCTGCGAGTCCTGGAAGACCTGCTCCTTGCCTTGCAGTCCTTTCCTCAACCTGGCCTGGGAGGGCAGAACCCTGACTGACTCCAGCTACAAAAGTTGTGGCTGCTGAAACGAGAAAGCTACACGTATACAAACAATAGCCCCTCCCCCGACTTTGAGATTTCAGCAAAATAACTGAGTGTGTATGCAGTGTCAATTCTCTCTACAGTTCTAAGATACAGTGGTACCTTGGTTTAAGAACAGCTTAGTTTATGAACCGCTTGGAATAAGAACGCTGCAAATCCGGAAGTAGGTGTTTTGGTTTGTGAACTTTGCCTTGGAATAAGAACATGTTTCGCTTCCTGATGAGTGTGTTCCATTTGTAAATTGAGCCCCCCGCTGCTAATCAGAGGCTTCCTGTTGAGTCTGTCGGCTGTTTAAGTCCCGAGCACCCACACAACATAGAGGTGATATTTGGAGCTTTTTTTTTTTCCTCCTTTTTTTTTGCGTTTATGGGACTGACTTGTAACTGTGGCTTGTGACTTCGTTTTTGTGACTTGTTTTTGTGGCTGTATGGAACCCAGTTCAGCTACTGGTTGATTGTGTGACTGCAGAATTGGATAAAAGCCCCCCATCCAAACAATGGCTATCATCAGTGTACGTAAGGAATTTTTTTTTTTAATCACCTACAATACTGTCTTATTTATTTTATAGTACAGTACATTGATTATTGCCATCATTTTATGGATCAATGGTCTTGTTAGATAGTAAAATTCAGGGGCGGCCACCAGGTGGCGCATTGGAAGATGGCCGACAATAACATCTCTCTGACCCACACGAGGTAATTAAGAGGCTGCTATGGGAAGTATGCAGCCTTCCCCCCCCCAAGAAGATGGGGGGGACTGCCTTGCCAGCGGTGGCCATAATGCACCCCTGGATTCGAGAGAAGGGGGTGCCCCGGTCACTTGGCACCAGCCCTCGGTGAAGTCGGCTCTTCCTGGACGCCGTCTCCAATCTGCGCGTGCTGGTTTGCTTTAGCTCGAAAATACAATTGTAAATATATAATTGGAAGATGTTAAAGCACATGCGTCAAGCAAAGGTCGGGAGATAAGACTGATGATTAATGGATCTCTGGGATCGGAGCGGCGGACGAGGACAAATAAATCAAGCGATGAAGCGCCATTAAGAGATTGGTATGTCTGGAGTGAAGAAGGGGGGGGGTGGAGGAAAAAACTTTTCTTTTCTTTGCCTTATGTGAATATTAATAACCCTCCACCCCAAAGAAGAATCGCTGTATTTTATTACACAAGCAGGAATTTAAAAACTGTGTGGAATGAATTAATGATGAATGAAGAGAGGATTGGTAAATATCAGAGAATGGAAAAATTCTATGACGCAGTTTTAAAATGGCGTCTCGCATAAAAAGGCTTGTAAAGACGGGGGGAGGAGAACCAGGATTATTGGAATGTGAATGGTGATTGGAATTTGATCTTAACATGGCAGAGCCCTCTATGAGATATTTTACAAGCCTGGGAAAACTAAAGGGCAGACCGAAGATAAACCTTTGAAGGAGGAGGGGAATGGTGGCTGTCCCTATGAGATACGACTTGTGGAGTGTGTAAAACCCACACAGACAATGTTTGCTTCCAACCTGCCTGTGAAGATTATCAGAGATCGCAAAGAAAGGAATATATGACAACAACAAGAAGATGAAGAAAGTAATAAAGAGACTATCTGGATAGAACTGTTTAATTAAAGCAGAAATAGAAGTGATGTTTGGATCCTCGTTCGGAGCTTGATGTATGGGTACCCCCAACAAAATTGAAAAATTTGGCTGTATAATTTGGAATTAATGTGATTTGAAATAATGTGATATGATTGGCCTGTTAATAAAAATTATGTTTTAAAAAAATAGATAGTAAAATTCAAGTTAAACTGCTGTTTTAGGGGTTGTTTTTCATCGTCTGGAACGGATTAATCCATTTTCCATTACATTCTATGGGAAAGCACACCTTGGTTTAAGAATGCTTTGGTTTAAGAACAGACTTCCAGAATGGATTAAGTTCGTAAACCGAGGTACCACTGTAGTGAAAAAGGGAAACACAAACATGTTTGTTAATGAGAAAGCATTGGTGTCAAAGTATTGGTTTCAGGAGAAAATGCACTTTTGATGGAATTGTTGTGTAGTTTTCATTCTATTTTACCATTTATTTATTTATTTATTTATTTATTTATCTATCCTTTGAGGAGTTTTAAGTGGCATATACGGCTCTCCGACTCCCCGTTTTATCCTCACAACAACCTGTGAGGTGGGTTTGGCTGAGAGACAGCTACTGGCTCAATATTCCCCAGTGAGCTTCATGGCCTGTTGGGGATTTGAACCCCGTTCTCCCGGGTCCTAGAGACACGGGTGGCGCTGTGGTCTAAACTACTAAGCCTCTTGGGCTTGCCGATCAGAAGATCGGCAGTTCGAATCCCCGCAACGGGGTGAGCTCCCATTGCTCGGTCCCTGCTCCTGCCAATCTAGCAGTTCGAAAGCAAGTCAAAGTGCAAGTAGATAAATAGGTACCACTCCGGCGGGAAGGTAAAAGGCATTTCCGTGCACTGCTCTGGTTCGCCGGAAGCGGCTTAGTCATGCTGGCCACATGACCTGGAAGCTGTACGCCGGCTCCCTCGGCCAGTAAAGCGAGATGAGAGCCGCAACCCCAGAATCGTCCTCAACTGGACCTAATGGTCAGGGGTCCCTTTACCTTTACGTCACGAGTCCTAGTCCAACCCTCAATCTACTACCTAGTTTTGTGTTTTAGGCCTTGCTTCAGAAGCTACAGTTCCATTCATGCTCTGTTCTACGCTGTCTCTCAAATCCTAATTTCCCTCTTCCTTGCCAGCACATTAAAGCACACACCTTCACCTGTAGTATCCTGGGAACTGTAGTTTGTTAAGGGTACAGGGCATAGTAGCTCAGTGAAGGGTAAACTACAGTTCCCAGGATTCCTTGGGTAAAGCAATTTGCTTTAAATGTACGTTGTGTACATAGCCTACACTGCAAGACCATTTTCAGTGTGTGCTTCGTTGCTCACCACAAATACTGCTGATCATGCTGCCCATTTTCTGCTTTAGTCTTCCCACATAAATACTCGTGGGGTATTTTGTGTGCTGTGCCCCTCCTGCTGCTGTTGAGGCATTTTAATTTTAATTTTACTGCTGCAGCTGCTTCTTCTTCTGTGTGATGGCATTATGGCATAATAGCAACACATCTTTTTAAAACAGCAAAACACATCAAAAAAATTCGAACAAGGACGCAAAAAAGACCAAAAAGGTGTGGCAGTTTCAGAAAAACGAGAAAAAAGAACCAAACCGGTAAGAGCAGTTTTGGACACTGCCTTGGTTAGAATAACACGAGGTGTTACTGGTTAAAATGAGCTGCATTTAGAACATGTAAACAAGGCACCTTAGAATCACATCAAAATTAAGTGTAGTTGCTTCAAACCAATAAATACATAACAGAATGAAAAATAAATCTAAAGAGCGACTAGAGCAACTTTAAAACAATTTATATATTTTTTGAAAATAATATTTATTAAGTTTTCCAATTTAATAATCCAATTAAAACCACATTAAAACATTCCAAATTACAATACAATCAGAAAAGCCAAATATAAATGCCAAATTATATATCTTTGGGTGACTTCCCATGCTCTGAATTTCATGAAGTGCTGATAATCTAATATTACATTGCATTTCTTAATCAATCAATCAATCAATCAATCAACCATTCTGATGTTAATCCTTCATTTAATTTTCATTTGTTTTTGCAACCACTAGTCTGTTCAACTTCCGCCTTCTGGGTTCTGTATGAAATATTTTTCCCTGTTGTTATCCACACTCCAGCAATTCCATTTTCAGTTTCTGCTCACAGGGGCCATAATATGCCACATCCCAAACAAAGAGACGCCATTGGCAGACATCCAGAATTTCCCTCTGTAATCTCGCCCCATCTCTCAACATGCTGGCACCTCTGCCGAAACACAATAACTCCTGTCCAGAATTCTTTGCATCCTTCCGCTGAGGGTAGCTGCCAGAATCTTCACCCAGTCAGTATTACAATTAAAGCACAATGGCAGCAGGATGCCCTTTCAGTCCCGCTTGCATATTTCAAACAGTTTCCTTTCGGGGGAGGTTTACCAGGTAAAACTGCAAGTACAAATATATCAAAAGAGAGTAATAAAGGCTCACCTCCCCCTGGGGCTATACAATTAATCCATCACTTAATTCAACAAGCATGTCAGTCCTTTGTGCTGTTGTTCTTGCTCCTCAGCGATGTTAACTTTCATTTTCTGCTCACAGGGATAATTTTAACCGTGTTACAGTCCACCATTAATCCCGGGCAGATATCCAGAATTCTTCTCTTTGGTCTCTTTCCAGCTGCTAATGAGATGGTGCCTCTGCACTAACAATAACTCCAATCAGGAATTCCTTTCATCTTTCCCTTAATGGTCATTGCTAGTCAAAATTTCACACAGTCCATTTCGTAGTTAAGCTTAGCGGCCACTCACGTATTTCAAACAGTTATTTTATCCCCGCTAGTTCAGAGCATGCCTGTTAATTAAGTCCGAATTTTTATCTTAAAAAACAGGTGTCCTCTGCTCATGGCTCCGGCTCTGGAGAGTTCCCAAGACGCATGGTGCATTGCACCTAGCTCCCCCTGCCCCCCGCGTTCCTTCAGGATGGGCAGCAGGTATTGGACAATCTGTGGGTTGGCTGCTCCCGACCTCAGCCCTGGGGGGTTGGGTTGGGAGGATAATTACTCCCACATTATCCACACGAAAGGGCTCCACTGTTATGGGTACAGCTGTTCGCCATGGCAGCCAAACAGGAACTCCATAAAACAATCTATAAACGTGTAAAATCCACCAACTAGTGTACAAGCACAAGTACAAATCGTTTTATTATGGTCAATGACCAGTATCAAGACAAAAACACCAATTACAAAATGTAAAAGCTCAAAACAAGATTAAAATTATATAAAATCGCATATACATTTTTTAAAAAACAGTTCTGGGTGGTCAATAATATGTCAGAAAGGAAACCCTTATGACCTAGAAGTTTCCATTGGTCGATATATTATACATTATATATTATACTAATCCTGGGTGCTAATCATTAAATGTCATATTTTGATCATTCAAGATCTGGGCAAAGGAAATATACACTTTAAAAGACTCCTTAAAAATCCGACATAGGTGCCTGACAGATGTGCCACTCCAAGATCTTACATGCATGTCTTAGAAACCACTAATCTCACTTCTTAAATCAAGGTATCTGGACAAAGCTGGCCTAATTAATCTTAGTACAGTGGAACCTCAGTTTTCAAGCGTTTTGAAATCTGAACGATTCGGAACCTGAATGCCGAAAACCCGGAAGTAATTGCTTCCATTTTCGAACACGTCTCAGAAGTCGAACGGCTTCCGAGGTGCGTTTCTCAATTTCCCCCATTGAACTTGCTGACAGCCCATGCAGCCCCAGTTGGCAAACAGTCTTTCGGAACAGATTATGTCCAACAACCGAGGTTCCACTGTATATGGAACAGTTCATATGGGAACTGGCAGTCCTAGAACATTTGCTGCTTGAAGCTCTAGAACAGCGCTGCCCAAACTTGGGTCTCCAGCTGTTTTTTGGACTACAACTCCCATCATCCCTAGCTAGCAAGACCAGCGGTCAGGGATGGTGGGAACTGTAGTCCAAAACCAGCTGGAGACCCAAGTTTTGGAACGATTGCTCTTCTTTAAGCACTAGCAAGGTGCGACAAATTCTAGGTCCTCTTGATGGTACTAAATCAGAAGGGTATCACATTATTAGGGTACTTTCCCATGAGCTGGAAACCTAAAAATGGGGCAACATGTAGTCTGAGACAGGCTGAAATATGGGGCACGTGTCTGCCTGTGTGTCAAAATGGGGGGTTAATAAATTTCCCCACATGCCAGAACTTTGAAGTTTAGTATATACATAATCCCAGATAGAATTTTGAGCAAAATCTCAAAATGGGTCATTTCTGTATTTGAAAGGCAGTCTATAAGACATAAAGCTGGAGGAAGTAAAGCATATGTTTTCCAATGCATAGCAAGTCAGTTTCCATGGGATATGCAATGTTGCCGCTCGAAGGCTTCTGTTGTCTTTTGACACATTTGGATCAGACCCGGACTAGACATTGTTGGCAGAAGTCAGTTGGTAGAGTTCACCACACCTCAGCCAGTGTGATGTATCAGCAGAGTATGAAGAACCCTAGCAAGAGTCTTCAGAGATTTCCGTCTCCCAGCAGAACAGCTTTTTCCAGACCCACCGTTAGGATGTCATACAAGATGGCGCCTCTGGACTTCATTTATTGGTTCCCCAAATGACAATTCATTTTCATTTTATGGAAATATCTGAACTTCAGGCTATTCACCTGAAATGACTGATACACATCCTACCATGTCATGGAAACAATTGAAGGCGTTTTTTCTTCTAACAGGCTTTTCCATCAGAGTAAATGGGTCTGTTGTGCATTGTTCTAATTTTGTTTAAGACATATTTGCTGTTCTTTGTGTTTCAATCTTTTCTTTGCTGTTTTTATTGCATATCACCTTGAGACGATTGTGTAGAAGATGATCAATACATGATGATGATGATGATGAATAATTGCATGTCCCTTACAGAGGACTCTTGATGAGAGAAGGTTTTGCCTGCAGGGAGAGAGCACATCACTAATAAATACTTTGCTTCGTATTCTGTAGATTCTGATGATAAGAAAGCAAAAGAGCTCCCCGAAAGACTAGTCGAGATGGCTTGCAAAGTGTGCGAAACCTATCTTGCACAATTTGAACACAGTGACATTGACTCGGAGGCAGAAACTACTCCTGTACTTTCCGACAGAGAATGGAATCAATTAATTGAGCAGTATTACTCTCTCATTCAGTAAGTGTTCACTTCAGCGTCTAATTGTGTTGACAGAAGATTGTGACCCTTTCTCTTGATTCCTTACTCTTCTTACCATCTCTACTGAATCGAGGTTCTGAGTGCAGAATTCTAATTCAGATTAAGAACTGGGAATTTCATATGGATCCAGGAAGGGGGGGGGGATCTCAGATGAATTAAAATAAAGCTCAAGGGTATCATCTTGTGAGTGTACTTTAGGAGAATAGTGAAGTCATATAAATAGTGAAGGACATATAAAGGGCCCCACTACCTTCAGCAGGGCTGTCTTAAGCATATGCGGTGGTGGGGTGCAAAGATCCACCCAGCACCACCCCCCCCCCAGGTTGCCCAGTCCCAGGCACACAGGAGGGCGAGGGCGAAGCCGCCTGCCTGCCTGCCAGCCTGCCTCAGCGTCTCGCTGGCTCAGTCGCCGACCGACAGACGGGCTCTTCCCCGGACTCAACTCTTGGGCCCCGGACTCTTGGCCTGGTGCTCCTGAAAGCCCGGCACCTGGGTGCCCTACACCCCAGCGCCTATGGGTAAGACGGCCCTGACCTTCAGTAGCTTAGGTAAAGCGAAGAACAAACCTAAATCCTGCCCTGCTGGCAGCCATGTTTTAGCCAAGCTGGCATGCTCTGAGCTATATGGGGAGAGGAGAGAGAAAGCAGTTTAAAACTCTGTGTCAAATAGATCAACCAGCAGGGCGATGAAAGCCAATCCCTCAGTAATTGTCAATCACCCAGTAATTGGAGCTCAAGTCAAATTTAAAGTGCTGTACAGTGGTACCTCGGGTTACATACACTTCAGGTTACAGACTCCGCTAACCCAGAAATATTACCTCAGGTTAAGAACTTTGCTTCAGGACGAGAACAGAAATTGTGCTTGGCAGCGCGGCAGCAGCAGGAGACCCCATTATCTAAAGTGGTGCTTCAGGTTAAGAACAGTTTCAGGTTAAGAACAGACCTCCGGAACAAATTAAGTACTTAACCCGAGGTACCACTGTACTGAAATTCCTCCATGGCACCCACACTGTGTAACAGCCTCCCATCAGATGTCAAAGAGATAAGTAACTATACAACCTTTAGAAGACATCTGAAGGCAGCCCTGTATAGGGAATTTTTAAAATGTTTGATTATTATTTTTTAGGTTTCTGTATATGCTAGAAGCCGCCTAGAGTGTCTGGGTTGACCAGGACAGACAGACAGTGTACCAATAAGAAAATTATTATTATGAATTATTCCTCCCGTCCTGGAAAAACCACAAGAATTCATAGCACTTTAAAGACCAAGAAAGTCCACAAGCTGTTATAAGACTGTTAGTCCCCCTCCCTTTTCAAATACTGTACCTGAAATAACCATTCTTTTATTTTTAATTGCAGGAAGCATTTCTAACATGTTTCCTACGGAGTTTTGACATGGTTGGGTTTTTTTTCTTTCAGTGAGGGTGCAGTGATTTGTAACGCAGAGAACTATTTTACTCAGTGTCAAAATATTTTGCGCAGAATTATATCAGTAAACCCGCAACGAGATATCGATGGCCTCCACAACATCTGGATTATTAAACCTGGAGCCAAATCCCGTGGCAGAGGTAAGAATATTATTACCCTTTGGTGAATAAAGACATCAAGCACAGGAATGCTTTTTGGGAAGTCTGAATAGGAGAAACTCATAGGTTCTGCTTGGCAGGTAAAAGCAATCCTATCCTATTCTCTTTTTAAGATGATGTCTAGACATCATCTTAAAAAGTAGAGACATCATCTTGCTGACAAAGATCCGTATAGTAAAAGCTATGGTTTTCCCAGTAGTGATGTATGGAAGTGAGAGCTGGACCATAAAGAAGGCTGATCGCCGAAGAATTGATGCTTTTGAATTATGGTGCTGGAGGAGACTCTTGAGAGTCCCATGGACTGCAAGAAGATCAAACCTATCCATTCTGAAGGAAATCAGCCCTGAGTGCTCAATGGAAGGACAGATCGTGAAGCTGAGGCTCCAATACTTTGGCCACATCATGAGAAGAGAAAACTCCTTGGAAAAGACCCTGATGTTGGCAAAGATGGAGGGCACAAGGAGAAGGGGACGACAGAGGACAAGATGGTTGGACAATGTTCTCGAAGCTACCAGCATGAGTTTGACCAAACTGCGGGTGGCAGTGGAAGACAGAAGTGCCTGGTGTGCTCTGGTCCATGGGGTCACGAAGAGTCGGACACGACTAAACGACTAAACAACAACAACAACAATCCTATTCTCTCAGGCATTTGGAGTAAATTAGTAACCACTTTTCAGTTTTATTGTTCCCATACTGCTGCGCTGTTGGTTGTATTTATTAATTGGGTTGTTGTTAAGAAATGTTATTTATATGTGCACTCAGTCATCTATGAAATATTAATTGTACACCAGTACAATACCAAACTGCGGGAGGCAGTGGAAGACAGGAGTGCCTGGCGTGCTCTGGTCCATGGGGTCACGAAGAGTCGGACACGACTAAACGACTAAACAACAACAATACTGATAATGGTACTTTTTCAAATAGGTTAATCTAAAAGGACCCTCTTTTGGAGTAACTCTTACTTTTAGGGATTGTCTCTGGCTTTTAAAAATAAGATTATATTGCTTCTCAGCCTGCAAAATGCACAAATGGACTGAATTTATACGCTCTCTGGCCATTATGCACAATCCCCAATGGGACTTCAAGTATGGGCATTTCTCAGTTGAATTTTGTACATTTCCTGGCTAACATGCACATTCCCCAAAGGCTGTTGGGGATGATGTGTGATGAGTGGAGAATGTACAGAAATCATTGAATAAATGCACATTTCCCAAGGCCTCTATAAGATTATATATATTGACTGGGAAATGTGCACAATTCCCCCTTCTCAGGTCTTATACATTTGGAGGCTGCCTAATACTGGATTAGGTAAATGGTTCCTCTAGCTCAACAAAAGAACAGCAGCAGCCGTTCAAAGGTTTCAAACAGGAGACTTTCGTAATCCTACCTGGAGATAGTGAAGATTGAATCTGAGGAATTTTTTTTGCATGCAGATCAAATGCTATGCCACTTAGCTACAGTCTCCTCAAAGCTACATTTTCTCACCTTGTATTCATGCATTGCTTTCTGTATACACTATTTTAAATTTTCATATTTTTATTCTCTCTTTTTATAATTTTTTTAATTAAATTTTCTGTTTTACAATTTTGAATATTCATTTAAACAACCTTAAAACATCAAAAACTTCCCTTCTTCTCTTTCCATGGTTCGTTTTGCATAACATAAATCCCTGCATATTTTATATAAGCCATTCAGTATTCCATTATTACATCCATCAAAACTTATTTACACTGTTGAATTTATCTTAATGCTGCCAACGTTTTCAAGTCTACACAATTACCCCTCAAATATTCAACAAAGATTTTCCAGTCTCCTTTAAACGTATGTTCTTCTTGTTCTCTTATTCTGTATGTTAGGTCCGCAAGCTGCGCATTTTCCATTCACATTTTTATTTTCATGTCTTCTAGAAATAGTATGCAAGAACCGACTGGATGATATATTAAAACTAGTGGAACCAACAGACCAGTTTCCAATAAAGGACCACAAGTGGGTTGTCCAAAAGTATATCGAAACTCCCCTATTGATCTTTGATACAAAGTTTGATATTAGACAGTGGTTTCTTGTGACAGATTGGAACCCGCTGACTATATGGTTCTACAAAGAAAGCTATCTGAGATTTTCCACGCAGCGCTTCTCCTTAGACAATCTGCACAGGTAACCAACAGTAGACCATGCTATAGTGTTTTTATTGTGTGGGACCTAGTTTGAGCACATGAAACCAAGGGGTGAATAAATGTGTTGACATTGTTGCGTGTCGAGGTCCCCAAGCCACCCCACCCAAATAACTCACAACAGACACATAATTTTTGCTTAAGGTTTTTGGCATAATTTTGGCCACAACTTTATTGAAATACATAAATGTGAGTGGTTGCTTAGGCATTGGTTAAGACTATCTGTCCCCCCGCCTGGGGACAGAACGGACTTCCGGACACCAATGGAAGCCAGTAAGGGAAAACAATATTGGGGAGAAATGGAGCTGAGCCACAGGACTCAAGTCTCCCCGCATGCTCCCCGGGGCTTGCCAGCCCTAGCCCCATTCCAGGGATTCGAACGAAAAGATAGCAAGCCCCTGGATTCCTTTAATGGAATTCCCTTTCCGCAGCAGCATTGGAGGGGCAGGCCCAGCCAATCCTAACCCCTCCTCCAACCAATTGATAACCAATGCCTAACCGCAGCCTTACAAGTTGTGACGATTTGCTACGCAGTAGGCAAAAACCAAATGGCCCAGCCAATCAGCCAGAAGGATAAAATTCCTACCAGGCCCCTGCCCCAACGGCAGACGACCCCATGACAGACATAGCAAGGTCAACGTGAAACCCCTAAAATTAGGGCGGGTGGGCAGGTGATCCGGTGCACGCAGCGAAAGAGAAAGCTCAAAGCTGCGTGCACAGAACTTAAAACGTTCGATCCCTCCCACCAAATTGCAACATAGAATTTAGCCCAGCAACTCAGCCATTCAATCGTTGCCACAGGTCAGCTTAGTAACCCTGCCTGGCAACAGAGGGGTGGCATGGCAGACCCCACCGCAACACGTGCTCTCCATGAGGGAGAACATGCTTTATGAGAGAACCATGACACCACCATGAAGGCAGTGTGTGCTGATGATCTCATGTTTGCTTATTGTATAAAGCTGTTTTTAGTCATGACAGCAGTTTGGATGTCTTGCTGCATATGACATTTAGTTGACAGAATAAGACGTAAAAGGTTTGACCTCAGTTTAATCCCTTAGTCTTCATCCACAACGGAGGCAAAGCCTAAATATGTAAAACTGCATTTGATCTGGTTCTACCTAGCTTAAGTGAGAATGACCCAAGAAGTGAAAACTTGTTTCGACTCAACCAGCCACAGGTCATATTTCATTGCTAACTCTGCTGGCCATAGACATTTTGCCGCCTGAAGCGGAACCCGATAGTGACCCCCTTTCCCTTATTAAGGCCAATGCAAAGTCAAACGCCAGTGCCTGCCTTCAGCTGTAAAAAAAGGGTAAAGGTAAAGGACCCCTGACAGTTAAGTCGAGTTGCAGACGACTCTGGGGTTGCGGCGCTCATCTCGCTTTCAGGCCGAGGGAGCCGGCATTAATCCGCAGACAGTTTTTCCGGGTCATGTGGCCAGCATGACTAAGCCGCTTCTGGTGCAACGGAACACCGAAGCCAGAGCAGCGCATGGAAACGCCGCTTACCTTCCCACCGGAGTGCTATCTATTTATCTACTTGCACTTTTTGGCGTGCTTTCAAACTGCTAGGTTGGAAGGAGCTGGGACTGAGCAACGGGAGCTCACCCCATCGCAGGGATTCGAACCACCTCGTCATGGGGATTTGAACCGCCAACCTTCTGATCAGCAAGCCCAAGAGGCACAGTGGTTTAGACCACAGCGCCACCTGCGTCCTGCCTTCATCTGTACCCATATCCAAAACTTTTTGATACTTTCTGAAGTGGTTTGCATTACCCTGTAGCACGGCAAGGCTGACCTTGTTGTCCAAAGTTCCTGTTGTGGCATTGGGAGTCACAAATCCACAACAAAACTGAAGCAAAACTGGTGCAATGCTTCTTCCATGTCTTCATTTTACTCTGTATCACTGAGTAATTTTAATACATTTAGGGTTTTATTGCTTTTTAATGGAACTCAACAGTACTTTGACATTACTGGGACTTAAGTATAGTCATGACTGCCATAATAATAATAATAATAATAATAATAATAATAATAATAATAATAATTTGACACCCATCTGACTGAGTTGCCCCAGCCACTTTGGGTGGCTCCCAACAGAATATTAAAAACACAATAATAATAATAAATAATAATAAATTTTATTTATATCCCGCCCTCCCCAACCGAAGCCGGGCTCAGGGCGACTAACAACAATAAAACATTACAAAAGTACAGCGCAAACAACACTCTAAAATCATTCATTATAAAATTAATTCAAATCAAGCCACTGGCAACCATTGGGCCAGAGCTCCGCGAAGATTGTCGAGGGAGGGAATCAGGCTGTGCCCTGGCCAAAGGCCTGGTGGAACAGCTCTGTCTTGCAGGCCCCGTGGAAAGATGTCAAGTCCCGCAGGGCCCTAGTCTCTTGTGACAGAGTGTTCCACCAGATCGGAGCCACAGCCGAAAAAGCCCTGGCTCTAGTTGAGGCCAGCCTAACCTCTCTGTGGCCTGGGACCTTCAAGATGTTTTTATCTGAAGACTGTAAGTTTCTCTGTGGGACATACCAGGAGAGGCGGTCCCGTAGGTACGAGGGTCCTAGGCCGTATAGGGCTTTAAAGGTTAAAACCAGCACCTTAAACCTGATCCTGTACTCCACCGGGAGCCAGTGCAGCTGGTATAGCACCGGGTGAATGTGATCTCGCAGCGAAGACCCCGTAAGGAGGTCTTCTTTAAACTACTTTAAACATGGCCAAACCTGGATCCAAGCCTATATCTTTAAGTAAATTAGATTAGATTATTGTATTTTAATATAGATTATTGTATTTTAATATTCTGTTGGAAGCCACCCAGAGTGGCTGGGGAAACCCAGCCAGATGGGTGGGGTATAAATAAATTATTATTATTATTACATAAGTGGGATGTTTTTACACTTCCCATTGAATTTATTTTTTTACAAAAATGGTTTTCTTTCTACATTTCTGTGCCATGTTTCTGTGCTTTACAACAGCAATTCTTGCATCCCATTTTCGCAGCTCGATTCACCTTTGCAATAACTCCATCCAGAAGAACTACAAGAACGCGCCAGACCGCAGTTCTCAGTTGCCGTATCACAATATGTGGACAAGCAGCAAATTCCAAGAGTATTTGCAAAAGAGGGGTCTTGGCCACGTCTGGCGTAATATTATCTATCCGTCCATGAAGAAGATATTAATCTACACAATGAAGATGGCCCAAGACCAAGTTGAACCTCGGAGGAGTAGCTTTGAACTCTACGGGGCAGATTTCATTCTCGGAAATGACTTTACACCTTGGTTGATTGAAATCAATAGTAGTCCAACCATGTACCCTTCGACCCCAATAACATCCAACCTATGTGCTCAGGTTCAAGAAGACACAATCAAGATAGTTATAGACAGAAAACATGACAGGAACTGTGACATTGGGCACTTTGAACTTCTCTGGAGACAGGTAAGAATTGTTTAAACTTTCTAATTAATGGGGAGCGGGTGGCGCTGTGGGTTAAACCACAGAGCTAGGACTTGCCAATCAGAAGGTCGGCGGTTCGAATCCCCATGACGGGGTGAGCTCCCGTTGCTCAGTCCCTGCTCCTGCCAGCCTAGCAGTTCAAAAGCACACCAGTGCAAGTAAATAAATAGGTACCGCTCCGGCGGGAAGGTAAACGGCGTTTCCATGCGCTGCTCTGGTTCGCCAGAAGCGGCTTAGTCATGCTGGCCACATGACCCAGAAGCTGTACGCCGGCTCCCTTGGCCAATAAAGCAAGATGAGCGCCGCAAACCCAGAGTTGGTCACGACTGGACCTAATGGTCAGAGGTCCCTTTACCTTTAACCTTTTCAAAGATTCACCTTCATTATATTTAGACACCAACCATGAAATGCAAATCTTGAAATAATTGAGGGGGGTATTGCTATTTATTATTTATTTTATTTATTTATTAAATTTGCATACCACCCTTCATCCAAAGATCTAAGGGCGGTTCACAGTATAGATGTACAAAACACAAAGACAAAATACAGAATAAAAACAAGGACAAACCAAACCCATAATCACCACTCCCACAAACACATTTAAAAGAACATAGAATGTTCACCAATCAAATGCCTGGCTGAAGAAGAATGTTTGTGCCCGGCTACTGGAGATGTATAGTGAAGGCGCCAGGCATACTTCCCTGGGGAGAGCATTCCACAGATGGGGAGCCACTGTAGAAAAGGCCCATGCTTGTGTTGCCACCCTCTGGACCTCTCATGAGGAAGCCACATGAAGAAGGGCCTCAGATGATGATCTCAGGGTCCAGGTCAGATCCTATGGGGAGAGGTGGTTCTTTGAATTATTGCAGTCCTGAACTATTTAAGGCTTTATAGGTCAAAGCCAGCACTTCGAATTGGGGCCAGAAACTAATTGGCAGTCAGGCCAGGATTGGTGTAATATGCTCAAACCATCTTGCACTGGTGAGCAACCTGGCTGCTGAATTCTGCACCAGCTGAAGTTTCCAAACTATCTTCAGAGGCAGCTTCTGAAGCCTCACCTACTGAAATTCCCTCTTCTATGAAACACTGAAAGATGCAGGAACCCCATCTTCTTTTCATCCAGACACCCTATCATTACCTCAGTATATAATTACCTCAGTACAGTGGTACCTTGGTTTTTGAACGGTTCTGGGAGTCGAACGGACTCCTGGAACAGACTAAGTTCGACAACCTTGAGTTTGATCTTGGTTGTCAAACTCAATCTGTTTTGGGAGTCCGTTCGACTCCCGGAACTGTTCGAAAACCAAGGCTCGGTTTCCAATTGGCTGTAAGATCTTCCTGCACTCAATCGGAAGCTGCGTCAGCCGCGTTGGACGTTCAGCTTCCAAAAAATGTTTGCAAACCGGAATACTTACTTCCGAGTTTGTGGCGTCCAGGAGCCGATTTGTTTGGGAGCCAAGGTGTTCGACAACCAAGGTACCACTGTACATAATTGTGAGAACAAACCCATTTGTATAAGAGAGGAGTGCTGAAAACCACCATTTTGTTTTCCTCTACAGCCCATGTTGGATCTGCCACCATTTAATCCTACAGACCTTTTTGTGGAAGGAATCAATGTTAAGAGACTGAAAAAGCATATAGTTAACATCACTAATTTTAATTTTCTCGAACCACTGCTGGGGGTAACACAACCTGTAATGGATATAGAAAACGACGAAGACCGGGGGACACCCGCCAACAACAAGCAAATTGTAAAAGGAAAACATGGAAATAGCGCTCCTTGTCCTTTGCCAAAGACCCTCAAGAAGTTGCAAGACAAAAGCCTTAAAGTGAAAAGCACCTACAAAAAGCCTGCCCAAACCATAGACTTTCCTCGCATAGTTAACGGCCGTGGAGCAACCGCTGTGTCTGATAAGAAAAAGTCAAAGCCCATTAATGAGCCAAGCCTTCAGACTGGAAGCCAAGCTACCACTCCCTCTCAAAAGTCACGTTCACTGGACTGGACATTACTTCAGCCCTCTATAGATGCAGGTAAAAGAGGATGAAAATATTTTACATATATCTTTATAAAATAAAACTTTTCCATATATATATATATATATATATATATATATATATATATATATGAGAGAATAAAATAAAATCAATTGATTAACTGATAACAATTAGAGCAAATATTTGTTAAAACAGAAATATTGGGGGAAATCTCTATGAAGTCTACTTTGAAATTAAGCTATACAAAGCAAAATTTTAATGGCTTTCTGCCAGTTTAACCGTCTCAAATAATCCTATGGAAATGACATTATTTAATTCATATATTGGCATAAGTGGATAAAATTTGCAGGTGATGCTGAGGGCTACTGAAACTAGGGTGGGCATAGGATTTGGATAAATCCCAAACTGAAGCAGACCACTTCAGACAGCTTTTGGACTTGGGTTTTTCTGTCATCAGCCAAAGAAACTGACATTTTAGGGTCACCAAGGAAGCTTTCTCTCCTGTTACACAACCGTCACTGAGAATTCTATCAGTTTGACTTTTAAGAATTTAAGAAGAAGAATCCTGCTAGTTCAGGCCAAAGGCCTATGTTCTCCAGCTTCCTGTTTTCACAGTTGTGCTAGGCCCGGGGGTAACCCAAGCAAAACGGTCCAGGTACGGTCCCGAATCCAAGGGTTCCACGAGGAGTCAGTCCGACAGGGCCAAGGCAGGAAACCAGGCAAGGTCAGGCACAGGATCACAGGCAGGTTCTGGCAAACAGCAACCTTGCTCCTGCAACCTGGGGTGGGGTCCAGGAGCCTTTTATCTCTGTCAGGGTAATGGCCAGTCCTGATCCCCCGGTGACTCACCTCCCTGTCTCGCCCGAAGGCGAGCACTCCTCCTGCGAGTACTCAGGTCTCTCCTTCTCTCAGACCTCAGTCTCTGCAGCTTGGGAGATGTCGGTCGGTTACTAGACCCAGAGGCCGCCTCAGCCTCTCCTAACCCAACTGGTAGTGGAGCAGCTGTGAGTGATTGCCCAGCTGGAGGCAACGAGGTAATCCCTGCATCTGGAGCCAGGGCAGGCTCAGGCCCCTGACTCAGCCCAGCTGGTGCTTGTTGCAGGGGAACCTGTGCAGACTGGGGCTCTTCAGAATCAGGTCCAGACTAGGTTCAGCTGCCGCTTGAGGCAAAGGATCCAGTGTGGACTGAGACTCCTCTGGCTCCGAGTCCGAGCCCGAGTCCCAGGCCATCACACCAGTGGTCAACCAGATACCTATAGGAAGCTTACAAGAAGAACTCGGATACAAGACTTGGTTTCCTTACTTATCATTGCCATAAGCTGACACTCAGAGACATATTGCTTCCAATAATAGAGATAAACCACAACCATTGTTCCTAGAGCTGTGGATAGCCTTATCATCCATGAATTTATCAAATCCCTTTTATAGTGATGCCCATCATTACCTCTTGTGAATTCCATTGTTTAACTGTGCACTGTGTCTTTCTCTTACCTGCCTGAATCTTCCAACATTGAGCTTCATTGGACTGCCATAATTCCTTGTACTATAAAAGAGGGAAAATAACTTTTGCCTATGCGCTTTCTCTACACCATGCACAATCTTGTACCTCTCTAGCATGCCACCTCTTACCTGTGTTCCCTCGTCAAAAAACTGAAAAGTGGCCACTATCGTAATCTCTCTCATAGCCAAGTTGCTCCAGTTCCTCGGCCCCTTTCTGGAACTTTCCTGTATCTATATCCTTTCTGAGGTGAAGGAACCAGAAGTGTACGCAGTATTTCAAGTGCAGTCACACCATATAATTTTAGGAGTCAATTATGAAATTGGCAGTTTTGTTTTCCATTCATTTCCTAATGATCCCTAACATGGAATTCACCTTTTTCACAGCTGCTGTTGACATCTTCTTCAAGCTGTCTACTACAGTCCCAAGGTTTCGTGTCTGGTCAGTCTCCATGAGTTCAGATCACACTAGCATATATGTGAAATTAGGATTCCTTTGCCCCAATATGCATCATTTTGCGCTTGGTTACATTGAGTTACATTTGCCATTTTACTTCCTGTACACCCAGTTTGGATAGGTCCTTTTGGAGCTTCTCATAATCTTTTTTTGTTCATACCACCCTGAACACTGCTCATCCCTGTTGATCATTTCTGAGCACTTTCTACAGCCCTCCACTGCAATAATTGTGTTTCCCCCCCTTTTCTCTGGTTCCTATTTCTTAACCAGTTCCTGATCCATAAGATGACCTGTCCTCTTATCCTTCAAATTCTAAGCTTACTCAGGAGTCTTTGGCATGTTACTTTGAACATCTAAGTACACAATATTTACAGAATCACCTTTATCTATATGCTTGTTGACACACAAAGAACTCTCAAAGGTTAGTGAGACATTACCATTGTAGAGGCCATGCAGTTGTTCTTCAGCAAGACTTGTTTTTCTACATGCTTGTTAATTCCACATTTAATATTGCTTTTGACTAACTTTCCTGGAGCAGATGTTAAGCTAACTGGTCTGTAATCTCCTAGATCCCCCCTGTATCCCTTCTTAAAAACTGATGCTACATGGGCTACTTTCCAGTTCTCAGCATCCGAAACTGACCATAAGGACAAGTCAATCTTTTTTTGTTAGAAGATCAGCAATTTAATATTTGAGCTATTTAAGAACACTCTGGTGGATGCCATTTAGACCTGGCAATCTGTCAGTTTTTAATTCATCAATAAGGCCTACAAATTTGTCTCACCACCACTATTTGTCTCAGTAGGCACAGGGAGAGGCAAAGAATTATTTCAGCAATCAGCTACTTAAATCACTTGTTACCTTGATGCTCTGCAATTGGGTCGAGACGCTTCATCGGCTGAAGCTCTGCTCTTGGCTCACGGAACCAATTTTCACTTGTGTCCACTAGCGACGCTGACAAATGATAACTTAACTTGTTGACCAGAAACACCTAAGATCATTTACAGTTATTAAATCAGATTGGATGCCCTTCCATCATTGAAAATATCTGCTATATGTGGTAGCTATTGGGATGGGAAGAAAACAAGGATAATTTAAGCATGATTGGTAAACTATTACTACATGAAAGGCAGGGTAGGGCATTTTTAATTGGCTCAAGGTCTATTTGTGAAAGAGAAGAGAAGGCTCTTGAAACAGAAACAAAGTGGGGAAAGGGATATTTTTGACCTAACCAAGGCCTGAAAATGATTAGCGCCATCAATGGCATTAAGTAACGTTTATCCTGAATTTTAAAGGCAACTGGCTGCTAAGTTTGGAAAACTGTTGGGAATCCATTGCTGGCATCTAGGTTGAGCAGGCTTTTAAAATATTTTATTCAGAGGCCAAAATGCCCCGACAAATGCAAACATTGCCAGACCCGCCAATTGTTTCTGTTTTCCAGGGATATTCCCAGATTTACAGAAGCTGTCCCGGTTTCTGATTTGATCCTGGAATGTCCCGCTTCCCCTTAGGACGTCCTTATTTTCATCGGAGAAATGTTGGAGGGTATGGTAGGATGCCCCTATGGTAGGATGCGGGTATGGGGTTATGCAGCCTCCAAGCCGAGGAGATAGGTACAGTGGTACCTCTAGTTGCGGACTTAATCCGTTTTGGGGTGCCGTTCGCACCCTTAAAGTCTGCAACTAGAGCACCTTTTCTGCGCATGTGTGCGCATCGAGCGCTTCTGCGCCTGTGTGGGCCGTGAACCCTGAAGTAAACACTTCTGGGTTTGCTGCGTTCGTAAGCTGAAAGTCCGTACCAAGAGCGGAATGCAACACGAGGTATTAACTATACAACCTTTAGAAGACATCTGAAGGCAGCCTTGTATTGGGAAGTAATGCTTTATTATGTTTTTATTTATGTTGGAAGGTGCCCAGAGTGGCTGGGGCAACCCATTCAGATGGGTGGGATAATAATAATAATAATAATAATAGAATAGGACAGCCCTATTTTTATCGGAGAAATGTTAGAGAGTATGCACTGCTTCTCTGAAGAGTCTTTTGTAGAATCCTGGTAAAAGGAGCATTGCTAACTATGCAATTCAGTGTTGATGGGCGTTAATATTTGCTCTCTCTTTAAAGGTCTGCAGAACAAAAGCAAGAAGATTCCATGCCTAATTTGTGGAGATGGTTTCCAGTCAGAGAAAGCTTGTAAACACTGCAGCTCTTTTTGTGCGACTGTATTACAAGGCGATTCATACCTACCTATGGGTCCGTGTTCTCCTCCTGAAAAGATGACCAAGAACAGGCTGACCGTTCCATGTTATGGACTTCCAAAATACCTTTGACTGTATTCAAAGTGCTTTGAGAAAGTGTTTTTTTAAAAGCCAATTCCCCAAACCTCAGACAGAGCTCAAGAACTTTCCTTGTATATAAAAAGAAGAAGAAAATGCTGAAAGGCCCCTTTTCTTATCAAATAGCTGTAGCCAATTCTACAGCAGAAATGCTGTGGAAAAGAATGGAAGCTGTGCTATGAATGCAAGTCCGAGAATTTCAAACTGCTGTAGCATACCTTGCAAGGAAAAAATGTGTGTGACGTAATATGGATGGTTATTTTTAAATTGGGAAAGGTGTGTTCAGAGGGATGAATAGGATCAGAAAAGCAGGTTAAGGGCAGGCTGGGTGCACAGAGTTTGACCTTTATTGTAATCACAGGACTTCAGGAACATGAAGGGAGCCATTCCCTGTGACACACTTTTATAGGTCTTCCTAAATGGTGAATTGACCTCCAGTAGTGGTGATGAAAAAGAAGGGCTTGCTCCATTGACCGTTAGCTTAATCAGTCATGCAATCTATGCGGTGCGACTCATGCAACATGTTGGCGATTAATATACAGGTGAAACTCGGAAAATTAGAATATTGTGGAAAAGTTCATTTATTTCAGTAATTCAACTTAAAAGGTGAAACTAATATATGAGATAGACTCATGACATGAAAAGTGAGATATGTCAAGCCTTTATTTGTTATAATTGTGATGTTTATGGCGTACAGCTGATGAAAACCTCAAATTAACCATCTCAGAAAATTAGAATATTAAATGAAATCAGCAAAACAAGGACTGCAAATAGAGCAATATTGGACCTCTGAGAAGTAGAAGCATGCACATGTACTCAGTACTTGGTTTGGGCCCCTTTTCCATCAATTAGTGCCTCAATGCGGCGTGGCATGAATGCTATCAGCCTGTGGCACTGCTGAGGTGTTATGGAAGACCAGGAAGCTTCAATAGCAGCCTTCAGCTCTTCTGCATTGCTTGGTATCATGTCTCTCATCTTTCTCTTGGCAATGCCCCATAGATTCTCAATGGGGTTCAGGTCAGGCGGGTTTGCTGGCCAATCAAACACAGTAATCCCATGGGCATTGAACCAGGTTTTGGTACTTTTGGCAGTGTGAGCAGGTGACAAAGTCCTGCTGGAAAATGAAATCAGCATCCCCATAAAGCTCATCTGCAGAAGGAAGCATGAAGTGCTCCAAAATCTCTTGGTAGATGGCTGCGTTGATCCTGGACTTAATGAAGCACAGTGGACCAACACCAGCTGATGACATGGCTCCCCAAATCAACACAGACTGTGGAAACTTCACATTGGACTTCAAGCATCTGGCATTGTGTGCCTCCCCATTCTTCCTCCAGACTCTGGGTCCTTGGTTTCCAAATGAGATGCAAAAGCTGCTCTCATCAGAAAAGAGATTTGGGGAGCCATGTACGCCATAAACATCACAATTATAACAAATAAAGGCTTGACATATCTCGCTTTGCATGTCATGAGTCTAAAGTTGAATTACTGAAATAAATAAACTTTTCCACAATATTCTAATTTTCTGAGTTTCACCTGTATACAGAATAATAATTATACATTCTTTATCAACCTTCTGAGAAAAATACAAAACATTAAACCAAAGCCACAGAGACTTGTGAACTACCCAAGATGAACTTACAATGTCTTGGTTTCAATAGATTTTTCAAATGCTTAACTCAGTCTTTTAGGTAAGTTCATGAACATACCAACAAAAGGTAAGTTTGGTGTTATTCACAATACTGAGAGATGTTAGTAGAGTTGTAGATAGATGTTAATGAAGTTGTAGATGACAGGGTGCTGGCATTTTGCATCTGTTTCGCCCTGGCAGTCCAAGTAATCTGGAGGCCACTGTTTGCCCCCGATGGGGCCCTTTTACTGGGGCTGGCAGGTAGCACACTCCCAAGATAGTTTTCCGGGCTTCTTCAGTGGTCTAATCTCAAAGTCTTGATACGTATATTGAAATTCACTGATAACAATTCAAAACAAATCTTATCAGAAATAGCTTAATGCACTTCTAAATGATCAATTAAATCAAAAATACATATTCATTATACAGTGGTGCCTCGCAAGACGAAATTAATTTGTTCCGCGAGTTTTGTCGTCTTGCGATTTTTTTCGTCTTGCGAAGCACGGTGTCGGGAAAGTTTTGGAAAAGCTTCAAAAATCACCAAAGTCTTTAAAAACCTCAAAAACGGCGTTCTATGAGTTGCTCCTCGAAGTCAAGTCGCAACTGTATTAACGGTGTTAAGAAAAAGGAAACAAACTTGCAAGACGTTTCCGTCTTGCGAAGCAAGCCCATAGGGAAAATCGTCTTGCGAAGCAGCTCAAAAAACAAAAAACCCTTTCGTCTAGCGAGTTTTTTTGTCTTGCGAGGCATTCGTCTTGCGAGGTACGACTGTATATAAAATCAAACTTACTACAGAAATTTATACATATACTTACATCTTATAGAGAATACTCTTTCTTGGCTTAAGCTTAAGAAGCTGATTTGCTTAGCAAAGTAACCCTATTTGGATCTGGATATAAATACACTCCTTCACTACTAATTGCTCAACAGGTGTTTAACACTGGTAAAAAATGAGGAGGTGTAGGAAAGCATGAAGGGAAGGGTGAGGTAGGTGCTGACAATACTTACATCACATGTATGTCACATAAAGATTTCAGTGCCCATAACTATGGTCAAATCTACGCAAAATATGTGGACAAATGCTCAAACCTGTCAGGTGCACGACTGCCAACGTAGGGGTGAAATCTGAGATTGAAATGTCTAAGTCAGGGAACAACTTGAACCTCCCTTGCAACTGCAGGCATGAACAGGAGCCTTCTTCATGTTTTCAAAACCCTGGTATCAGAACTCTGGCTGACAGTGGCGGAGCAAGCCAATTGGGCACCTGGGGCACTGCCCGGCGCCCAGGGGCGGGGCCAGCCATCCGTGGGGCGGGGCAAGTTGGGGCAGGATGCTCCGTGGGGCTTCCGAGGAGTCTGCCTGCCTCCTCCCACTCAGCTGACCTACAGCTGAGGGGGAGGCGGCGGGAGGACTGTTTGGGCAGTGCAGGGCCTGCACGCGCCCAAGCCACCGTGTCTCTCCCAGGGGAGTGACTAGCCCAAGGTCACCCAGCAGCTGTGTGTGGAGGAGCAGGGAATCGAACCCAGTTCACCAGATTACGAGTCCACGGGTCTTAACCACTACACCACACTGGCGCTCAACACTTAATCCATTCCGGAAGTCTGTTCCAAAACCAAAGCGTTCCAAAACCAAGGCGTGCTTTCCCATAGAAAGTAATGCAAAACGGATTAATCCGTTCCAGACTTTTGAAAACAACCCCTAAAACAGCAATTTAACATGAATTTTACCATCTAACGAGACCATTGATCCATAAAATGAAAGCAATAAACAATGTACTGCAGTCACACAATCAATCAATCAATCAGTAGCTGAACTGGGTTCCACACAGCCACAAAAACAAAACAAAAAGAGGCGCAGAAGCAAAAACACAAAATAAAAAGCAAAAACAGACAGACCTCAGCGTAACACTCAAAACAGAAGTGTGGCAGTCAAAACGGAGCACGTTTGGCTTCCAAAAAGTTCACAAACTGGAACACTTACTTCCGGGTTTGCAGTGTTCAGGTTCCAAGTTGTTTGAGTACCAGGGCGTTTGGGAACCAAGGTACCACTGTAAAGGATAATATGGAGCACCCCAGTTTTCAAGCTATTCAGCTTCAGTGAAGGATTCCAAAAGCTTTGCTATATATCAGTTATCCGTATCCCAATGCTCTCAAACTGTAAGCCCTGTCTGTGGAGCACTGATGCCAGGGTAAGACCACAGACTTGGGCACACTTGCCAAGGAATAAGTTCCATTAAATTCAAATTGGCTTGCTTCTGGTCGACATATATAGGATTACACTGCAAAGAGGTGTTTCTGTACTAGGAGAAGCTATATCTGTGGGGCTAGATTTACTGATTCAGACAGCAGGTGGCCCCAGGCATTGTGTGACGGCTCTGTTTCACTGATCTAGGAACAGGGAAAACTGCCTTATAGCAAGTCAGAACACTAGACTATCTTTCAGGGTGGATAAAAATAAATGATTTAAAAAATAAATAAGTCAGATTTTCTTGATTTAAATCAGATTTTTTAAAAAAATTAAATTGGATTTTTAAAATAAAATGATTTTGGAAGAAAAATCTTCCTAAAGATAATTAAATAGAAAAGTTACATTATAGTCCAAAGGCTATTCATCAGGAAAAAACAATTTGTTTTAAGCTTTTCATGTGTGCTAAAACTCAAAGTTTTTTTAAAAATAGTTTAATCACATCAGTTAACAAACATGGCTACATATGCTATAATGTTATTGTTTTAGTTAAAGAAATTGTTTAAATTGTTATTTAGGAAATGATTATTTTTTCTCCTTCCAATAAATAACTACAGAAAAGTCCAAATATAAACAGTTAACTTATTAAACCTCACAATAATTTCACAATTATCTGTGTATTTCTCATAATATAACCAAATCAGTAATTTTTTATATAACTGTAAAAACTACTCTGAAAAGTTATTATTCCAAAAATGAAACCTTCATCTGGTTGTAAATATAAAGATCATACCAGCAAGAATAAGTCTTTCTGTAAAAAAAAAAAAAGATTTAAATCAAGCCTTACTGACTAGTGATTTAAATTGTGATTTAAATCAATTTGATTTAAATCAAACCCACCCTGCTATCTTTATTGTCTAAATTTCTCGGGTTTCAGGCACAAATCTTTATAGCCCTTTGTACTCTGCCACTAAGTTACAGTCCTTTTCCTTTCAATAAGACCCATTTCTAGTTACTGTATTTTTTGCCCTATAAGACTCACTTTTTCCCTCCTAAAAAGTAAGGGGAAATGTGTGTGCGTCTTATGGAGCGAATGCAGGCTGCGCGGCTATCCCAGAAGCCAGAACAGCAAAAGGGATTGCTGCTTTCACTGCACAGCGATCCCTTTTGCTGTTCTGGCTTCTGAAATTCAGAATATTTTTTTCCTTGTTTTCCTCCTCCAAAAACTAGGTGCGTCTTGTGGTCTGGTGTGTCTTATAGAGCGAAAAATACGGTATGTGTTATTCTCTAACACCCACTATGACCATTGATTACTTTGGATCTACTCTGAGAAGGATTTAGATGACCATCACCTTAGGTTTGTACCCATGCAATGTGAGCAAAAGCATCTTTACTCACTTCCAGTAGGTTCAAAAGGATTTGCTCCTTAAGTAAGT